AATATGAACGTCGATCAGCGTCTCCTGCATAATCGGCATCCGCGTAACCAACAACAACTTCTGGGTATTTTTGTTTGTTGTATGTCAACCCAAGCGTCTTGCTTCCTTTCAGGTAACGGATGATTCGCTTTGCTACAATCCAATGTTGTTCCTCATAGCATTCATTGAACTGGCTAAGATAATTAACCACATGAGCAATGTCAGGCCTTGTACATACTGCTACATACATGAGCGAACCTATCAGTGCTCGATATGGAATTCTCTCATCTGGTCTCCTTCCATGTGTAGGCTTCTCTAGCCGTTGACCGGGTACTGCTGGTGTAACTACTGGTTTGCAGTCTTCCATATTAAATGCCTTCAGGAGTCCATCAATATACTTCTCCTGATGCAGTTTAATTTTGTTGACATCTTGAACAATATTAATTCCCAGCATTAACTCAGCTTTGCCGAGATCTTTCATATCAAATCTAGACTTCAACTCTTCTTTGAATTTGAACATCTCTTGCTTATTGTTCCAAAATATCAAAATGTCATCTACATACACAGCAATAATCATTATGTTTCCATTCTGTGACCGGGTGTAAACGCATGGCTCATTTTCAGATCTTCTGAACTTCAGTCTTATAAGTTCAGAGTGAAGCTTTGCGTTCCACGCTCGTGGCGCTTGTTTCAGTCCATACAAAGATTTTTTAGAAGACAGACATAATTCTCCTTGCCCTTTACCTCGAACCCCTCTGGTTGCTTCATATAGACGATTTCATTTAAGTCTCCATTCAAAAATGCCGTTTTAACGTCCATTTGATCTATGCCTAACTCTAAACGGGCGGCTAAGGCTATTAAGACTCTTAATGAGCTATGTCTGACTACAGGCGAAAAAGTTTCAAAGTAGTCGACTCCTCTCCGTTGGCTGAATCCTCTTGCTACAAGTCGTGCCTTATAACGAGTCTTTCCCCCCGCCTCTTCTTTAATTCGAAATAACCATTTCGAATCAACAATGTTGCACGACTTTGGCTGCTTCACCAACGTCCAAGTTTTATTCTTCTCGAGGGCTCTCAGCTCCTCCTCAATTGCGGCTTTCCATTTGTCTCCATCTTCTCTAGATAATGCATCCTGAACAGTTAAAGGGTCTGGCGATGCCTTGACTGCTTGGTAAGTTACAAAATCTGGATATGCTTTTGGTATTCTTTCTCGAAGCGGATATCTTCTATCTGATGGCCCATTGTCATTTACTGGTAGCTCTCTACCTTCTTCTACAAGACCATCCTCAGGATCTGCTTCATTCCCCTCGTCAGATGATTCCCAAACCTCATCTTCAACCTCAACATTCTCAAGAGCTGGATTTCCAGGTTCTTCAGGAATTTCTGGCTCTTCATGATGAGTTGAAACTCTATCATACTCAACCGTAACATCCGTCAGCGGCAGCGGGACGGCTTGATTAACGGGAGCACGTAGCTGTACTTTTGAGTTTTCAAAAAATATAACATCTCTACCTCTGTGCAACACTCCTGTCGTAGGGTTAATAAGGCGATAACCGTTTTCGCCATATCCAACATGGACTAACTCTGTGCCCTTAGGATCCCATTTTGTGCGCTTCTGATCTGGAACATGAAGATAAGCTTTACATCCAAACACTCTGAGGTGGCTTAAGTTCACTTTTCTTCCAGTCCAAGCTTCTTCGGGCGTTTTGTTTCTCAAGGCTTTAGTTGGAGACCTATTTTTTAAATACACGGCGGTGTTGACTGCCTCTGCCCACAATTTTCTGCCTAAACCAGCTTCTTCTAACATTGTCCTGGCTTTTTCAGTGATAGTTCTGTTAGCTCGCTCAGCAACTCCGTTTTGTTCGGGTGTATACTCTATTGTCAGTTGGTGACAGATCCCTTTTGCTTTACAGAACTCATCCATACGCTTATTGACAAACTCTTTGCCATTATCAGATCTGATAATTTTAAATTTCTTTCCAGTTTGACGTTCAGTAAGTTTTACGAATTCGGCAAACTTCTCAAAGACCTCTCCTTTACTTTTCAAGAAATATACAAATGTTTTTCTAGTGAAATCATCAATGAATGTGAGAAAATATCGTGAGCCTCCGTACGACTTCTCTCTCATGGGTCCGCACACGTCTGTGTGGACTAACCCTAAGACCTCACTTGCCCTAGTGGCACCAGTTTTCTTGAAAGGGTTCTTGGTCTGTTTTCCTACTGCACACGCTTCGCACTCTAGCTTAGAAGCAGTATTAGAAAAACTTACCCCATCTGCCATTTTGTTTTTAAGTAACATTAGGTTCCGTACCCCTAGATGTCCCATTCGCCTATGCCACAATATTATTTCGTCAGCAGCGGTTGAAGCTAGACCTACTTCCTGTGAACAATACTGTATTTTATAGACACCGTTATTTGCAGTACCTTCATACAAGGTCTCCCCGGAAACCTTACATCCATCTGCTTTGATTATCTTAAAGCCAGATTTCTCAAGTACAACTACAAGGTTTTTATTTACAATTGTGCTAACACTGAGTAAATTTGTAGCTAAGTTAGGTACATACAAAACATTATTAATTGAGACGTCCATATCCTCGTTGACTACATTACCAATTGCTTCACCAACCACAGTTTCTCCATTTGCACAAGCTATTACAATTGATTTGTCTAATTTCTTAAAGTCTTTAAGCCAATCTCTCCGATTTGTCATGTGGTTAGAAGCTCCGGAGTCGAGAATCCATTCTCCATGTCCTTGTGCTGCTGTTGCTAACGCTAATGAGGTTAAGGCATCCTTCTTTTGAATAGGGTTTTTCGGACAATCCTTAGCCTTATGGTTCTCTTTGCATATGAAGCACTTAACGACACGTGATCTACTCATATTCTTGTGTGACTTATCTTTCTGACTTTTATTTTTAGCTTGTAATGCAGTTGTCACGGTACTAGGACTTGCTTGATAAGTATCCTCCATCTGAAGTAATTTCGTTTTGACGTAATCTGTAGTCAATTCTATGTTTGTGTTTTCTATTGCTAACCTCATGGGTTGGAAAGTCTCTGTCAACCCCTGTAGCATCAACGCTGCAAGTAATTCATCATCTACCTTTTTGCCCAGATCACGTAGCTGTTGCGCTACTGTCATTATGGCAGTTATGTAGTCTCTGATTGAAGAAAATTGCTCTAGTTTCAGGCTCACCAACTTTGTAAGAAGTCTGCATCGATTATTCAGGCCCTTGTCTTCAAAGGCAGTCTTCAGGGCATCCCATGCCGCTTTTGCAGTCTTCGATTCACGTACGTGTATCAAACAATGTGGTTTAATCATTAAACAGATTTTTGCCCTCGCTTTCTGATCTCTTTTAGAGCCGGAAACATCACTAGCAGCTGGTGTTGTTTGAGTGTATTCCCACAAGTCTTCATGAATTAGATAAAGTTCCATCATGAACTTCCATGTATTATAATCAGTACTACCATCAAGTTTCTCTATTGCTGGTAAACTCATACTTACTCCTTGGGATGGATACGATTGTGATTGTATATGCGTACCATTGCCGCTGCTCCCAGAGTTATTCATGATCGTACTTTCTATTTCCGCTGGTGATCATAACCTGAAGGAGTGTGATACTACGTAGGTACACTCCTTCACAGAGTAGCTCTTGGAAGAAAAATTCATAAAGATATATTATAGGATATTAGTAAAAACACACTTGGCAGAACACATATTTATTACTTGACGTTCTCTTGTCAACTCAAAAAAAGAAGATTCAAAATACTATCATAAAATGCATAGAGATTAAAAAAAGGTCGCAATACTCTTGCTCTAACAGGCATCCGCCGTACGCTTGGGTCTGGTTCTGGTTGCTGTCCGCAAACCCACGCTTACGGTGGCCGGGGATTGTATCTCGATCCCACCCGACGCCCGGAGTGTCGCCTACTGCGGGGCGTGAGGAGGATAGATCACGAACGCGCTTAGCCTCGTGCGAGCTGACACTGCTTCACAGAAAGTGGAGACGGGTTACCAGTTCTTCTCGCTCCGGACTCTAGTAGGTAACCACCAAATATTAATATTCAGAGAGACTTCGGAGAGATTCAATCCTGAATAAACACGTATGAACCCGAAACAAAAAACCAAGTCACGAGTTTAGTCAAAGCTAACAAAAATTATTAGGTAGTTCACAGAGTGGTGCTACTATAAATATTTCTCTTGAGAGACACTGACTGGTTAATTTACAGTGTACTGTTAGGATTTCTTTGCCACAGGTCGTTTTAGAACTCCGTAATGAGAACTGCAACCGCTGCATCACGACAGTGAGTTCTCATAACGCGCACTGAACAAAATATTTTTAGCACAAGAAAACAACTAGTTAATCGACCATCTGCCGTACAGCACCGACCTAAATGATTTCTATATTTTCCCTAAAATAAAGAATGAATTGCGTGGTAAGAGATATTTTTCATCTGAAGAAGCTATGGACGCCTACAAAACGTTTTTTCCGTTTTGTGTATATGTGCATATGCATGTTACCCTTGCTGCCTGTGCAAATGCATGATTGCATAGGAGTGGGATTGCATCCTGCAACAAGCCTGGATTTTTGTCGCGGAATTAAAACAAAATATTTTTCCTAACATTTAATGCGGCCAATTTGGAGATCCTAAGTTCAAAATGGAACGGTTGCCTCAATGATTGGTATCGTATTGGAAAAATGTGTCAAAAATGTATTTTTAATTAGTATAATGTGTGCCACTGCTTTGATTCCCGAAATTTTAGTGCCGCCTTCGTATGAAAGGTCAGACCATACCTATTTGGTACGAAAATAAAGACAGATTCAGCACAGACAGTTACTGGTTGGCTACTGAGGGCGAACTATATTCTGCCTTCCCTCGTGGGTCAATTAAAGGCGTGTGTATTTATATGGTTGTATTATCACTTAGGGCTTCGCTTATAAAGATGGAGGCCTCGCTTACACGATATAAGTGAGCCAAGGCTCCGCTCCGTAAGCCTGCCTCCATGCTCAGTGTTTATCCGGCTACTTATTTATAATTCACAACATTATGTAGGTCAGCATCAGACTTGTTCATTTTGTGTTGACCGACAGTAATGTAGTGAGCAACAATGTTGGTGGTCAGCGAGAACGTGGTCGCAGTTATGTCATTTGCGTTGCCGATGGTTGTGGACATGAGAGGATCTAGGCACAGCAGGTGGTCCCGTAAGTCACTCCAGCCGCCATTGCCCCTAGGAGGATGCTTCACTTCTGCGTTCACTCGGCCATTACTGCTGTAGAGTATTACTGCCTTTACATTTACTGGAAACATACTCGTGCCAACTAGCCATAAGGCAATTTGTTGCATGGCCGCGCGCCCGCTAGGGAACACGCTGGTAGATAGTACACGTGGCATCAGGGTGGCCACCATATCCACAGGCCTCTCTTTGAACTTTCTAAAAACGTTGAGCAGTGAGTAGCCCCAACTGAGGTCGTCATACAAACAGTAATATACAGAGGCTGCAGCTATTTTCTGCCATAGGCTCTTATTGAACGCCAGACCTTTGTCAAAGGGAGGATGCCACGAGGACACTGAAAGTAAGTCAAAATCTAAACCTTTTGCGTGTGGCCTTCCAAAGGATAGCAGGTGGAGTCCTGGAAGGTATGCATGCGACCGCCTCATATATCGCAGCATGTGTAGTAAGTCGGGCAAAACGTAGTCGTCTTCTTGTAAAAAAATTACAGTGCCCTTGAATGTGGCGGACCAGTCGAGATTATTGAAGATGAAACTAGCTTTCCACCACCAGTGGTGCTTGTGCTCTGTGAGGCGGCCGTCGCGGCTGCTGCAGAACGTTTTTCTCCTACCGGTTGCACTCGCACAATCGTCGGGGTCTATGCCAGGGAACTTGTTCGGATACAGCTGAAGCGAGTATGGGTAAAATATCTGCATGAACCTGCAGAACGTGATTTTAGACACGAGTTTGTTAATTCTGTCATCGTAATAACTGTGTGAGAAGACAAGTAGCACGGACTCGATTTCGCGCACCTGCGCCAACGACACAATCAGGTACTGCAACCGCTCCAAGTCGCGGTGCACCTGCACCACCAGTATGGTCGTCTTGCTGGTCACGGTGCCGTACTTGTGGGTCTGGAACACTGTGCGCTCGTAGTTCAACGCTGCGATGGTGCTGGCTAGCTCGCTGATCTCTGCGCTCTGCAGTTCACGGGGTACGAGTATAAATTTCTCATTATACTCAACATATTGGTGAAGGTGTTTCGGCACACAATCAGCGTGCTGCAATCTCGGGTAAAAAAACTGCTTGTAAAACAAATATAGCACACACAGGAAACAACAATATACCGGGACCTCTCTAATTCTCGCCCTATAGATGAGCGCTTTTAAATTCATTGCTAAAATGTGAGATTGACATAAAACTACACAACTTTTATAGTAAGCAAAGAATAAAGCATAGATGAATATAAGTATTGACGTAATATCATGTCGTTTTGACAATACACAGGTTGTCCCTCCCTATACTTACCAACTATTTAAACTCTTTGGTCTGTCTTAAAATTAGGGTCATTACCAAAGTATACAATTTAGGTGTCTTCAAGGCTAGAGTGAATAGGCTCTTAATGAACTAGTGCGCCTTACCATCAGGTGGCATCGCAGTCAAGCACTAGTTTATTGCAAGTAAAAAAAAAAACAAAAAAAAAGTTTTATAGGAACTACTCATCATCTTGAACAACTTTTGTTAATACCTATATAGGTATTTAGGGTACATCATCATCATCAGGCTTAGCTCTCCACGTTGAATAACAAGTTGCCACCTGTATCAATTGGCTGCCCGCGACTCTGACGACGTCGTCGGTCCATGTAGCGGGAGGCCTGCCCACGCTGCGTTTTCGGGTCCTTGGTCGCCACACTAGCACTTTTCAGGCCCATCGGCCCACCGTCCTTCGAGCGACTTGGCCTACCCATTGCCACTTTAGCCTGCTGATTTTACGAGCTATGACGATGACTTTGGTTCTTTGGCGATTTTCGATTCCGCTGGATGACTCGTAAGTGATCCGACAATCGTTGTGCAGATACGTTGACGGATAGTTCGAGCACCTGAAACAGAGCAATTATTCTGACACGGTACGCAGTCATGTATGTCGTAAAATGTCGTGGTGGCCCGGAGGTTAAGGAGTCCGCTTCTCATGTATGAGGGTGTGGGTTCGAAACCTGACAAGTACCAATGTGACTTTTCCCGAGTTATATGTACTTTCTATGATTATTTAGACACAACTGACATACGGTGAAGGTAAACATCGTGAGGAAACCTGGACTTATAATTTCTAATTATAAGTTTGAAATCGCCAACCCGCATTGAGCAAGCGTGGTGATCAATGCTCTAACCTTCTCCGTATGAGAAGAGGCCTTTGCTCAGCAGTGGGCACTTATAGGCTGATGATGATGATGACGCAGTCAGGTTATTTCCTCCCTCTGTTGCCCCAAAGTATGCGCGCATAACATTTTAATTTATGGATCTAGTCCATTTCATACGCGACACACTACCACATACTATAAAAGGCGTATAACTCTTTCTCGCCCAGAAGATTCACGCTTTAACACGTTTTAGAGGTATGAGGGACACGGTTGAACGTTCCTCATCCTCCATTGAAAAGGGAGGATCCTCCGACCAGGCGAGGTGTTCGTGCCTGTCTGGGCTACTGCCCGACAGTTGTTGTCGGGATTTTTCTATTGTGCTATTTAGCGCGTAAACTTCACTTGCGCGATGTAGAATCTTGCACGTGATTGGTGCTGTTGTTATGGTTGTGCGATAGATGTCGCTACAACGTTATGGTAGGCCCTCGGATTCGGAACCCCGAAGCCTTTCAACTCCAACTGCATAATCGCTTCCTACTACCTACCTACTACTGAGCGCGGCAAGGACGGAGTGTTGACTTCACCAGACGTGACATTTCCAGCTTGACATTGATATCCAGTATGCCCTACCAATTCGGTGATCGCTACCGGTTTTCACCTTAGCAATCACAGAGACATCACTGAATAATGCGCTTGTCAGTCGCCATGATGAATTCGATCTCATTTTGTTTTTAACCCATCGTATAGAGTCTCTCCCTCTCCATAAAGTCGACCAGGCGCTGTTCCCGATAGTTCCATTGCCCACATCCAAATGGCCCCACTTTCAACTCATCGCCATTCGGTATGCTCATTCACCTTTGCATTGAAGTCTCCCATCACAACGGTAAAGTGTGCTTTAGAGGTGTGTATGGTTTGAGATATTTCCTAATACAGAACCTCTACCTCATCGTCGCATGACCTTCAGCGAATACTGATTTGGTATTCTGCGTATAAGGTGCGCTACCTTGCTCGATACACTCTCAACTCTGCTCACGCTGTTGATGAGGGACTAGTGGACGAAAAATCCGACACCACCCTGGGTTTTTCGTTCTCCATGGGGGGTTGCCATAATCTCCACGCTTGGCAGGCAGCTTGGGGATCGCAGTTAGGTCACCGCATATATGGATGGAATGCTGCTGCCTACTCCTTGGCGTCTGGTCGCAGTTTAAGGACGTACCCGTGTCGGGATGTAGGGTACACCCCAGGCTAATGTACGCTAGTAATATAATATGTCTATGTTTCCTAACATAGATCTTAAGTACCTATCATGCATCATATCATTAACAAAATTAGTAGGTATGAAGTAAAGAAATTAAATTGAATAAAATTATCTTAGTGTTTTGCTCCGTATAAAAATGGTGTTTAGTAATTTTATAAATTTAAGGAAGGAAGAAGACGGTGACTGCCCAGGAATGTTTGGCATAATAGTAAAATGTACCTAAAAACTTTTCCTGGAGCTGACTCTCCATCTTTCCCTACAACATAGCAACAAGATTAAAGCACATGCACAACCTATATAGGTACTTTTAAACCTTAGTTATAAGATAGATAAGTGGCTACGAAATAAATTGTTAAACTTGCTAGAATGCTGCTCAACGATGATTCGACTGTTACAGTTTTGATATTTGTGTATTTTGACTTGCGGTAAAGTTATTTTAGATTTTATATAAACATACCAACTATTAAAAAATCGTATAAAGAAACGACCGAATTCGTGCAGAAATCAATTTAATCAAATTGAGACTTAATACTGTGTGTTAAGCTTAAATACAATAAAAAATGAAAACCAAGGTACGTGTAATTATAAAAATTCTTTAATGCGTTTATACTATTGGTGTAAAGAATACTAAAATTTGCCTCGACATCAAGTAAAAAAAATAAAATTATCGTATATTTCTCTAATCATTATTTACATTTCGTTCAGGACCTTGCCAGTCTTGTATTGAATGGCTACCTGTCAGCTGTAGGCAGTACAAGTACTTTGGTTGCGAAGCTGTCAAACGGTGAATAGATAGAATATTAGAATAGCAAAGCAGGAACGGTAGTGAGAATTATTTCTATTAAATATGAGTTTTTATTCGCAATATCGAATTAATAGGTAATCGTGACGCCTAGCTCTTAATCTTAGAATAGAACAAAACAAAACTGATACCGGCTTCGTCGTAAAATGAATTCGAGAGATAGATCATTACAAGACAAATTGAAAGTGCTCTTCAAAAAGGGTGCATCGGGTGAGTGTTTCGGTTCGATCTGATGGCAAAGCAACAAAATGACTCACTTGGTAGGTTGGAATGATGATGAGTGTATGTTGTTGACGTGTGTAGCGCCGCTGCCGCCGCGCAATGAGCTCGTGGTGAGCGGCGAGCTGGAGCGCGAGCTGAGTGCAGACGCGCCGCTGCACCGCCGTCTGCGCGCGCTCAAGGAGGTCGGGGAGAAGGCGATCCACATCCGAGTGCAAGAAGTGAGCTCCATACTCAATATTTATTATTGTAGTACCCTCTATCGACAAGTTCCAATATATAACGCACTTTCTATCAGTTTCTTCTGTTTCATTCTTGAACTGACCAATCAAAACCAGCTTAAGATACACAAATATTCATTTTTGTATTATCTTATTATTAATTTATTAGTAAACAATTGTAGTTCATGTCATTTATTTACATTAGTATAGATTATTTAAAATAATCAGAGGTACAACTATATACTTATTTAAAGTTAATATTATTATATTGAATGTAAATTATGACTAAAGGATATAAAACTCCATGGAGTTTGGATAACCCCAACCTCAAAATATTTCAGTTCAGGTTTTGAGAAAGACATTAACATGTTAACCGCCACATAGGTCACCAGTGACTTATGGTAGTGGGATTTGGCTTATATAGTTTTCTGTTGGCAGTCAGAAAGTAAGTAATTGATAAATACTGATGGTGAAGTGACAAGAACCTTCAACTACAAAGACATAAGGTGTAGGTTAGGTTTGAAGCCCCATTACTGTTAGTTAGTATAATATTAGTTCTGTACAGTTGGTCCTACTTCCATTGCCATTGATGTTATATACTTTATTGTCAAAAGGGAGGAGTTGAAAAGCTTTGGTCTTTGACAAGAGATCTGCTAGAAGACAGCAATGTGGAGGCTCGGCATGCAGCATTGTGGTTCCTGCGATGCCTGGCAGAGGGGCAGGCAGACTACCTGCAGATCATGCGCTCAATCTTGTTCCATTATTTGCGGGACACTCATGCTCGCCATAGTCCGGAGGACACACAACTACGCTTCAAATTATTGCACACACTTACCAACACAGGAAAGAATATTAACTGTTTTGAGGAAGAGGTAAGTGCCACCAATAACCAGGCCTCAAAGATGCAGCAAAACTGGCTTCCACCTGACTCATCATCATGAGCAATGAAATGTACACACAAGTATGGTTCTCTTATACAAAAGTAGGTTTCGCCATAATTTTCAAGCTTGGCTAGGGAGTTAGAACACAGTTTCAAAGTAGTAGGAGTATATTTATTTGGATTGAATTGAAAATTTGAAACTGCCGACCTGCTCTGTATCTGTGTACATATCGCCAGGTACCTGGATAAATTTGTGTTTAATACAATGTGTGTCCTATGGTGCCTGCATATGCCAACACTCCAACGCTTAGATGCTTTTTGTACTCACTAACATCCCGTTTCAGAAAGGCTGATCAACTGTTACATCTTTTGATCAGCACCAATTGAGTTTCAAGGAATGTCAATGATAAAAAGTCTTTTGAATAAGTATTCATGTTTGGTTGTTCAAGTTACTTGAGTTGTAAGATGACAGTATCATCTAAAAATATCGGTGGAATATTTTAGAACTTAAATCTGTAGAGGGTCACTTTCTCAATGAGAAAGTGACCCTCTACAGATACAGATGAGATGAGAAGTGCTTGCCATTGGAAATTGAGTATGAGTAGTTCTTTTTGAACACCATTGCAACTGACATGTAGTGTTATTAGTAAATTTGACAAGCCTTTCTGTAATTGGGTGTTAGGCACTGAAACATAATTATTTTAAATTTATTTTATTATACTTGATTTTACTTGGTCTTGTTAAATTATGTGAGAATAATATGGTAATCGACTGGAATATTACCAAGGCTTCACAGATAAACTGGCCTGAAACAATGCTAGCCCCGCGTTTTCGCTGTGTGATTAAGGTTGCTGGCAACCCAATTTTCCCAATCTCCTGCCAACAGGTGCTCCGTGTGGTCATATGTCGACCTTTTCCATAGATAAAAGGCTGCAGAGCACCCATTGCAGTTTATCGTGTATCGTAATTATTAAGACAGTAGCCTCTTTACAAATCCGAGTTTTGTAATTAATTATAAACTATTATTCTGTATGCAAATAGGCCACTAATACACCAAAAAAGTGTATTTATGCCGCCACTACACATCACATACAAACATTTCATTTTCGTTTTACCATTTGATATTATGCCACATACATTGTCTTTTTTCTTTTAGCACTACTTATGTTATTTTTTTAATTAATTTTGAATCTTTAATGGTTCATTATTACCTTGGTTATAATTTGTTCGTTTATTTATTTATAAAGTTATTGACAGTAGACATATAGACCAAAAATAAATGGACCCAATATTGAGCCCTGCGACGCAACCACTTATATGTTAGCACCTAGTAAGCCAACTTTGGTATTAGTACTTGAAAATGCCTCTGCGAAAGGTTTGACTTCAGTAAATGTAGAGATCCTCCGAGAATGTTATGTAGTGTGCTTAAACAGTAGTGGATCCGGCGAAACCGGCCTATTTTGGCTATTTAGAATTTGCATTAAGGCAGATGGTTTTAGTTTTAAGTAGAATAGTTGCTATTTGATACCATAAAAAAGATTAGGTAAAGGTAGAGTGAGACAGACGCGCACATGTCCACAGATCGGGCCATTCCTGCTGGAGTGGCTGCCGCAGGTGCAGCCCGCCACGCAGCTGGTGGAGTTCCTGCAGCTGATCATTAATGTCGTCAAGTACAACGCCACATATCTAGACGAGCACATCGTCCATGGGATAGTCGAGTATGTATCCACCGTCCCCTTAGAGCGATAGCTTCTGTTTGAAAGTTGCGTAGACGGCGTTTGTTATAACTGTGACGTGCGACAGGTGCGCGTGCCAGCTGTGCGCGTACAGCGCGGAGGGCGGCGTGGTGGCGAGCTGCCTGTCGCTGCTGGAGGCCGTGGTGGCGTACTCCATGGTGCCGCGCGCCGCGCACCGCGCCTTCGTGGCCGCGCTGTGCCGCACCGTCAACCTGGAGCACTACTGCCAGACCAGCTGGAAGCTCATGCGCAGCGTGCTGGGCGCCGACATGGGGCACGCGGCGCTGCAGCAGCTGGTGGCGCTGCTGCGCGCCGGCGGCGACGAGGCGGGGCTGCAGCGCGGCGCCGTCTTCTACATCAACATGGCGCTCTGGGGGCCGCGCCGCGTGCCCACGCTGCGCGTCTCCTACCTCGCCGTGCTGCCCGCCTTCCTCAAGGTCCATTCATCATTCCACTTGAACTGTCTGTTAATGTTACGCAGGAAGCTACAGCGATGATGATGAAATTAATTATGGAAACCAATTAAGACCAAAAACGAGTCTATTTGTCTAGTTGAATTCCATTCTTATTTTGAGTTCAATTAGAGCGGGTTCAGAAACCATCAAATAGTATTTGTCAAATATCTGGTTTCTGCTAAGTTTCGTGTGTGTAAGTATTTCGAATGGAATGGATGGAATCAACTATAATTGAATATGTTGGCAAGGAGATGTATTATGCACCGCAAATATAAAAGAAGTGTTGTAAGAACGCGCGTGGCGCAGGCGCTGGAGGGCGAGCAGCCCGTGGTGACGTACGAGGTGGTGGTGAGCCTGCACGGCGCCGTGGCGCGCGCCCCGCTGGAGCTGTGCGAGCCCGCCTGGGACGCGCTGCTGGCCATCGTGCGCCGCGTGCTGCGCCAGGACGCCGCCTACGACCCGCCCAACGAGCTCATCCACAACGCCGTGCACGCGCTCATCTCCAGCATCGAGCAGCTGCAGGACGCCGGCCAGTACCGCGGGGACCCCGACGCGCTGCTGGACCTGCTGGACGCCTGCGGCCACGAGCGCCCGGTCAGTGCGCGACCCCCTCCCCCCTCCCCCCTCCCCTGCCCCCTCGGGCGGGGCGCGTTATGTTACACACTGACTGCCGGCTGTGCAGGAGGCGTCCGCCATGCGGCTGGTGAGCGCGCGCGCGGCGGCGCTGGCCCCGCTGGGCGCGGACTGGGTGGCGGCGGCGCTGGCGCTGGCGGAGCGCTACGTGCGCCAGGAGCCGCGCCGCGCCGTGCGCCTGCACGCGCTGCACGAGCTGCTGGCCTTCATCCGCCGGCACCGCTACCTGTACGGCGAGGAGCTGGTGGAGCTGGTGGCCGTGCCCGTGCTGGGCTCGTGCGCGCTGGACGCCGAGGTGTCGCTGCGCGCCGCCGCCGCGCGCGCGCTCACCGAGCTGGCCAAGTGCTGCACGTCGGACGCCTGCACCGACCTCATCGACCTGCTGGAGAAGATCCTTAACCGGCCGTTCGAGATGTACGTGTCGGAGGTGCCGGTGCCGGCGGAGGCGGACACGTCGGACCTGGCGGCGGCCTGCGCCGGCCTGCTGGAGCTGCTGCACGCCAAGCTGCTGGCGGCGCCGCCGGCGCACGCGGTGCGCGCCTTCCTGGTCCTGCTGGACCACCTGGACAACCACTACCGCCGCCCCGCGCTCTTCATGCACCACCCCGACATCCGGATCAAGGTAAATTTCTGAAATGAGCTCGCAGCGCTGTCTGCGTCACTCGGCCCCGGCCCGGTCGTGGAAGTAAACATGAGTATAACATAGTGCACAGTTTGAGGAAGTAGAGTCGTGTGCAGATCTTCGAGATGCTGTTCGGGCTGCGCGCCAACCAGTTCCACTGCGTGGGCTTCTGCTACGACGCGAGCGGCGCGGCCGTGTACGGCGCCGCCAGCCTGCGCCTGCGGCCCGTGTGCTCGCCGTGGCTGGTGGCGGAGCCCCCCGCGGCGCGCGGCGCGCCGGGCGCGGCCCGCGAGCTGCCGCCGGGCGCGCTGGTGCTGGCGGTGGGGCGCGCGGCGCGGCTGCTGGCGACGGCGCTGACGCGCGAGAAGGAGTGGGCGGTGCTGGCGCGGCTGCTGCGCGCGCTGCCGGCGCTGCTGGCGGCGCGCGCGCTGCTGCTGGGGCGGCGCGCGCAGGACCTGGACCTGCTGGCGTCCACGCTGTGCGCCATGGTGTGCGACCGGAGCCTGAACTTCCCCGAGTGCCTGCGCGCGGCGCCGGCGCACAAGCTGCTGGTGTCGGAGTTCCACGGCGCGGCGCTGCCGGCGCTGGCCGCCATGGCGCCCTACCACGCCTACCTCGAGCCGCAGACGCAGCAGCGCATAGTGCGCTGTCTGCTCAAGTACGGGATGGGTGAGTGCCGGGATACATAGCAAACTATAACTATACTTCGTATATAGTGAAGTCCCGCGACCGGTATTGACCGAAAGACCGATAACCGTTTGTAAAGCTATTAACTATTGATATAATTATTTTACAAGAAACTAATGTTAGCTTTGGCATTCCCCTCACAGCAATTTGACAGATAGAATGTCAAACGGAATTTAAGCCTAGAAACACGTTGAAATTGCTTTCTATTATTATAATAATAATGTCTGTATAATATTTGTCCAGCATGTAGACAAACACAACGCTGTCGTTGTTTCACGTCAGTTTTTGATGAAGCCGTGGTATCACTCCGGTCGGTCCGACCCATTCGTGCCGAAGCATGGCTATCCCACACATAAATTGGAGTTATACAATGTCGACTCAACTCTGCGTACTTTGTTGAGGTCATGTATGAAACTGCGGAAAACAGTCCCGCGCTATATGCGGACAGATCAGTGAGAGAGACAAACCTATTAGGGGTAACTTGTAAAGCGTGGTATATGCCAGGGTGGCAGTTTGAGTCCGTTATGGTTTTGCTTAGCCCTGAATCCTCTAAGCACTTTGCTGGAAGGCTCAGCGTTAGAATATATAAAATTGTATCCCATCTACGGATGACTTAAAGCTGTTTGCCCGCAACAATTCACATTTAATAAGATTGCTAGTCAGTAATTTCATTACATGTGACTGAAATGTTCAGGAATGCCATTGGGGTGGAATTTGGTGTGGACAAATGAGCATGCACGTAAAGAGAGAAGAGATTGTGGAACGGATGGAGCACTAAAGTCAAAATTCTGATTCCACAAACTTCAGGTCCCTTTCTCAAACCAAAGCTTTAAGTACTTGGGTTTGTCAGAAGCGTTGGGCATCGATACAGCCGTCATCAAACAAGCGTTGCGGATACGTTTCTTTGGCCGCCTGAGGAAAGTTCTAAACAGTCTTTTCTCGTGTCCGTTTCGACCGCGCGGCCACGGCGAAATTTAAAAAAAAACCGTGCCATGGTTTTGTAAAAATTAGTAGAAATTGATTCCCAAAACCATAAATTTGTCAAAGTTAGGGTTAAAAAGTTATAAGAGTTTAACCGTGGCCGCGCCATTGAAACGCGGAGAACCGCGCGGCCACGGAGATCTTTAAAACTAAGCGTTGCAGAGACCTGCAATTTAGGTCAATAACAGATTCAATTTGTGAAAAAAAATGTAAAAATATAGAAAAAAATCGTAGGTTTCTATTTTAGGAGCTATAAGACTAAAACTCCATGGCCGCGCCATTGAAACGGTGAAAAACACGTTATTGCCGATATCTCGCTGAAAAAGTATCGCAGAGGTCTGAAGTTTTTTGTCAATAACAGATTCAATTTGTGAAAAAAAATGTAAAAATATAGAAAAAAATCGTAGGTTTCTATTTTAGGAGCTATAAGACTAAAACTCCATGGCCGCGCCATTGAAACGGTGAAAAACACGTTATTGCCGATATCTCGCTGAAAAAGTATCGCAGAGGTATGAAAACTTTTGTAATACCTAGATTTGAATTTGTCGAAATATGTAAAAATATTATTACGATAGATAATCACGACTTATTTCTATGCGATACCGTACTACAGTTCCTGAAATATTAACCTGTGATATTTTTGTGGATTATTACAATATTTGACAAATTTAAATCTAGGTTTTACAAAAAGCTTCAGACCTCTGCGATGCTTTTGTTCAAATCTAGGTTTTACAAAAAACTTCAGACCTCTGCGATACTTTTTCAGCGAGATATCGGCAATAACGTGTTTTTCACCGTTTCAATGGCGCGGCCATGGAGTTTTAGTCTTATAGCTCCTAAAATAGAAACCTAGGATTTTTTCTATATTTTTACATTTTTTTTCACAAATTGAATCTGTTATTGACCTAAATTGCAGGTCTCTGCAACGCTTAGTTTTAAAGATCTCCGTGGCCGCGCGGTTCTCCGCGTTTCAATGGCGCGGCCACGGTTAAACCCTTATAACTTTTTAACCCTAACTTTGACAAATTTATGGTTTTGGGAATCAATTTCTACAAATTTTTACAAAACCATGGTATGGTTTTTTTTTTAAATTTCGCCGTGGCCGCGCGGTCGAAACGGACACCTTTTCTCGGGCAGTAACAAGGTGCGTGCCTGCAACGGTTGGGTCATGCCAGTACTGATGTACTTCTTTGGCATACTGATACTAGCCTGCATAGAAAAGTCCGTTCATTGCTGACTGAGCATCGGGTGCAGTGACTGTACATTCCACGGTAACTTTTATTTTTCGCATTTTTATTTTAAATTATTATTGTGGGCACGGACCCTAATCAGGAGACGAAGAAAGTACCGTGCTGACCACACACTGTAGTTGCTGGATTGGTGAGGAAATGAGGCACCCCTTTTTGTAGTTTGGAAGATATATATTTCCGCCGTCTTACAATGTTCGTACTATGTTCCAGCCGTTTTTCTCTATTGTTCTTGCTGTATCTTGCTGGTTTCTTCTTTTCCTTTCTTGAGGAGGTACTGCTGCCAACTGTGTCGGCTCTCGAAACCAATGGGTCTTTTATACGAAATCCGGGCACGAAAATTCACTTACTCTGATTAGTCGACCAATCAGAGCCCTTACATTTCCGCCAATGAGAATCGAGTTAGAATTCGTACCCGAAGCTTAAGTACTACGAAGCTTCGATAGCTTTCGAGAGCAGGTTACTATATATCTACGTTTTTACTTATTATTTCATATTTTACTTCACAAATTATGTATTTTTATGTTCAGAAAACTATTTCCTATCTTATAAAAATAAAATTAATATAAAAACTGGCAATAAGTTACATTATAGAAATTTCAAGAATGTTCTCAGAAGTTTCCGGCTCTCCTATTGTTCGGCGCTATTTAGGATCAACTCGGATGACATCAAAAATCCCACAGTGCCTGAAGACCAGGATGTTTAACTAGTGTGTGTTGCCGGTGATGACGTATGGTACTGAGACGTGGTCCTTAACTTCTGGCCTTCTTGCTAAACTCAGCGTCGCTCAGCGCGCGATGGAGTGGGCTATGCTCGGGGTCTCTTTGCGCAACAAAGAACCAAAGTCACCGACATAGCTCGTAAAATCTGCAGGCTTTTTTTTATGAGGGGAAAATCATCTAATTACTTCTCCCGCCCAGTGCCGGGCGGGAGGGAGTGTCAGACTCTTACTGACTAAAAACCCCCCTGTTCCTTCTCCTGCTCTGGGCCGAGATCGCGGCGCCTCATTCCAGCAGTGGACGTCTTCCGGCTGATGATGATGATGATGATGATAAAAAGCATATGTTGTTTTATTTTGCTCAGGGTAATTTATAAACACGGTATCGGTATTTTTAAAAATCTTACTCGAGCCCATCACTATGTTTAAAAATCTGGCCACATTATTTTGTTGTTTGACATTTGTAGTTGTCAAATTGTTGTCTATAATTATGGAACGAACTATAGCTGTGTCTGCCTCGGCCACCCCAAAGACTGTGAGGCTACCGGGCTTATAGGCTTGGCCACACCAAAAGCAGTTGCGGCGCGTGTATGTTTAAAAGTAATGTAGCTATAAATATGAGGTATGACACACTGAACAAGCGCGGGTCCGGTGATCCTACCTACGACGTCCGTCATGTTGACTAGTCACATCAAAGCAGTTGAGCGGGACAGACGCAGCGCGGGTCGTAAGCGGTTGTGTTTTTTTTTCAACTTTATACGAATATTTATAACATGGATACGAATAAAAAACATATTGAGTTGCTGAGGAAATATAAATGTTTATATGATTTAAAGGACAAATCAACAATAGCTCTTCGTCAGAGCCAGAACCGGTCAATATCTTGAAGTGTACTGAGTGTAGCTGCTCGATACGACACACATACCGCAGTAACAAAGCGCGCGTCCAAACTGCTTTCTAACTGATCATGTTTCTGGTGGGACACAAACCGCGGCGCAACTGTCCCGCTGTCGGCCTGCCGGGGCCTGTCCCGCTTTTGGTGTGTCCAAGCCTTTATACTTTTGACAGTTTAATATCCGCAACACATAAGATTTTAAGTGTGGGTGAGCCATCCCTCGGCACGAATGAGTCGGCTCGACCGGAGTGATACCACGGTCTCACAGAAAACCGGCGTGAAACATTTACAGCGTTATGTTTCACCGTGTGAGTGAGGTTACCGGAGGCCCAAACCTTCCCTTCCCCTATCCCTATCCCTAAATCTCCAAATCCCTAATCCCTAAAAGGTCGGTAAGGCACTCGTTACTCCGCCGTTGCGGGTGCTTGAGTTGATTTGATTGCTTACCATCAATCAAACCGTCAGGACGTTTACTGACATCTATCTATAATAAATCTGTAGAGAGATCAAATCCTTACATTTAATATATTTGCAAAATAACTACCTGGGGGTTATTTTGCAAATATATTAATTAATCTAATATAATATTAAATAAATTTTCGTCTGTCTGTCTGCCTGTATGTTCCTTATAGAAACAAAAACTACTTGACGGATTTTAATAAAACTATAATTATTTTGTTTGTTCTTTCCTTTCGCGGGACCACAGGGTCCCGGACCTTTGGAAGGCGTACGAGGAGCCGAAGCCAACTCGCAGAGGCCCGTTGAACAATTTTAATCTAAATGTGATGGGACATCAGCCGGCAATTATCCCTGTAAGCACAATAAAAGTGCACCCAAGGACAATCCCTGGTTGATGCAGGACTATTGTGAAATGTTTTAAAAATTGATAGGGTTATGGGTATGGGTTGCTATGCACTAGTGGTTGAAAACTATGGAAATACTATGGCCCCAGCCCCTGACCAATATTGACACATACGGATAAACAAGCAGGGGGTGACTGGCAAACTCAATTAATGGGCTCCTGGACGTCCGCTAGCATGTAGCGATATGGAGGCAACATACGTTGAGCTGCTTGGGGAAGGAAAGGTATCCCACGGCTATCAGAGCAATCCCGGAAGTACGGTCAAGACCCCTCCCAGCACCTTACTGAGATACATCCTTCCCCCGAGTCTCCTTCAGCTCCTACTCTTGCGAATCTCCACTCAAGCCAGCCAATTAAGGCAAGAATGAGGTGGGAGGGCTTGTTCTTCATCAGTGTTCACTCCAGCTCGTCACGAGGACTAACTGGAGGTGAAGAACAAGACACCACCCGACAGTCAGGTCCGTGGGGTCGCCACTGCCCAACAGCTCGCCACAAGCTGCCTTGCGGATAAAAAACTATAATTATTATTATACGATATAATTATTCTTTACACTCCTGGGCAGGTTGTAGGATACTTTTCATCACGTTACAAACTTTAGGAGCAGAGCAGTGAAGAGAAATGTTGGGAAAACGGGAGAAGTTACTCCCTTTTTTAAGTTTCGTCGCGTGTGTAGCCTTAGTGGTTAAAGTTATATAGAAACTATGTATAACGGAAACATACTCCATAAAATTATCTAAAAAAAAGTTAAACTCGCAATAGCACGTGTAACTCCTGATAGCTTACCATGCTGTAAGGATTATTTTTGTGTAACGGGTATTCGTTAGATCCGTACCATTCTATCTATGGACGGACGGATAGCGGAGACTTAGTAAGTACTAGGGTATCTACCCTACTACAGATGTATCTACTTTTGAAATTAAGACCGCAAACCTCCATAAACTTGTGTCATCGATGAAATCAGGTATTGGAAACTAAATGACTTACAGTCAAGTTGAGACATGCTCCCTTCTGTCCGCAGTGCTGAGGACGCCGCAGCCGTACATCAACGCGCTGACGATATTCACGCTGGAAACCAGGGAGACAATGGTGAAGATGCTGCCGGAGGTGCTGCTGGACCTCTCTAAGATCTCCGACACGAAGGCCATCGCCAGCCCCATGCTGGAGTTCCTGTCGAGTAAGTAGCGCGGCGGCGCGCGGCGAGCAATGCGCGGGCGCCGCTGAGCGAGGCTCTGTTGCAGCGCTGACGCGGCTGCCGAAGGTGTTCGCGTCGTTCGTGGAGGACCAGTACATGTCGGTGTTCGCCATCCTGCTGCCCTACACCAACCCGTCGCGCTACAACCACTACGTGGTCTCGCTGGCGCACCACGTCATCGCCGCCTGGTTCCTCAAGTGCCGCCTGTCCTACCGCCGCAACTTCGTGCGCTTCATCATACACGTACGTGTCTCCGCCCGCCCCCGCCTCCGCCCCCGCCCCCGCCCCGCGCCTCACTGACTACTCACCTTGTTGTGTGACAGGGCCTGCACAATTACATCATCATGCCGTTCGAGGAGCAGCTGCAGTACAAGACCAACCACTTCCAGAACGCTAACGAGGACTCGTCCAACCGGCAGCGCAGCTCCAGCCTGGTCAGTTACACAGATTCTTGCACAAACATGTATGTGTAGACGTGTGGTCCGCAGGGGTCCCGCGTGTGTGTGCGCGAGTGTAGACGTGTGGTCCGCAGGTGTTCCGCGTGTGTGTGTGCGAGTGTAGACGTGTGGTACGCAGGGGTCCCGCGTGTGTGTGTGTGTGTGTGTGCGAGTGTAGACGTGTGGTCCGCAGGGGTCCCGCGTGTGTGTGTGCGAGTGTAGACGTGTGGTACGCAGGGGTCCCGCGTGTGTGTGTGTGTGTGTGTGTGCGAGTGTAGACGTGTGGTCCGCAGGGGTCCCGCGTGTGTGTGTGCGAGTGTAGACGTGTGGTACGCAGGGGTCCCGCGTGTGTGTGTGTGTGTGTGTGCGAGTGTAGACGTGTGGTCCGCAGGGGTCCCGCGTGTGTGTGTGCGAGTGTAGACGTGTGGTACGCAGGGGTCCCGCGTGTGTGTGTGTGTGTGTGTGCGAGTGTAGACGTGTGGTCCGCAGGGGTCCCGCGTGTGTGTGTGCGAGTGTAGACGTGTGGTACGCAGGGGTCCCGCGTGTGTGTGTGTGTGTGTGTGTGTGCGAGTGTAGACGTGTGGTCCGCAGGGGTCCCGCGTGTGTGTGTGCGAGTGTAGACGTGTGGTACGCAGGGGTCCCGCGTGTGTGTGTGTGTGTGTGTGTGCGAGTGTAGACGTGTGGTCCGCAGGGGTCCCGCGTGTGTGTGTGCGAGTGTAGACGTGTGGTACGCAGGGGTCCCGCGTGTGTGTGTGTGTGTGTGTGTGCGAGTGTAGACGTGTGGTCCGCAGGGGTCCCGCGTGTGTGTGTGCGAGTGTAGACGTGTGGTACGCAGGGGTCCCGCGTGTGTGTGTGCGAGTGTAGACGTGTGGTACGCAGGGGTCCCGCGTGTGTGTGTGCGAGTGTAGACGTGTGGTACGCAGGGGTCCCGCGTGTGTGTGTGCGAGTGTAGACGTGTGGTACGCAGGGGTCCCGCGTGTGTGTGTGCGAGTGTAGACGTGTGGTCCGCAGGGGTCCCGCGTGTGTGTGTGCGAGTGTAGACGTGTGGTCCGCAGGGGTCCCGCGTGTGTGTGTGCGAGTGTAGACGTGTGGTACGCAGGGGTCCCGCGTGTGTGTGTGTGTGTGTGTGTGTGCGAGTGTAGACGTGTGGTCCGCAGGGGTCCCGCGTGTGTGTGTGCGAGTGTAGACGTGTGGTACGCAGGGGTCCCGCGTGTGTGTGTGTGTGTGTGTGTGCGAGTGTAGACGTGTGGTCCGCAGGGGTCCCGCGTGTGTGTGTGCGAGTGTAGACGTGTGGTACGCAGGGGTCCCGCGTGTGTGTGTGTGTGTGTGTGTGTGCGAGTGTAGACGTGTGGTCCGCAGGGGTCCCGCGTGTGTGTGTGCGAGTGTAGACGTGTGGTACGCAGGGGTCCCGCGTGTGTGTGTGCGAGTGTAGACGTGTGGTACGCAGGGGTCCCGCGTGTGTGTGTGCGAGTGTAGACGTGTGGTACGCAGGGGTCCCGCGTGTGTGTGTGCGAGTGTAGACGTGTGGTACGCAGGGGTCCCGCGTGTGTGTGTGCGAGTGTAGACGTGTGGTCCGCAGGGGTCCCGCGTGTGTGTGTGCGAGTGTAGACGTGTGGTCCGCAGGGGTCCCGCGTGTGTGTGTGCGAGTGTAGACGTGTGGTCCGCAGGGGTCCCGCGTGTGTGTGTGCGAGTGTAGACGTGTGGTCCGCAGGGGTCCCGCGTGTGTGTGTGCGAGTGTAGACGTGTGGTACGCAGGGGTCCCGCGTGTGTGTGTGCGAGTGTAGACGTGTGGTCCGCAGGGGTCCCGCGTGTGTGTGTGCGAGTGTAGACGTGTGGTCCGCAGGGGTCCCGCGTGTGTGTGTGCGAGTGTAGACGTGTGGTCCGCAGGGGTCCCGCGTGTGTGTGTGCGAGTGTAGACGTGTGGTCCGCAGGGGTCCCGCGTGTGTGTGTGCGAGTGTAGACGTGTGGTACGCAGGGGTCCCGCGTGTGTGTGTGCGAGTGTAGACGTGTGGTCCGCAGGGGTCCCACGTGTGTGTGTGCGAGTGTAGACATGTGGTCCGCAGGGGTCCCGCGTGTGTGTGTGCGAGTGTAGACGTCTGGTCCGCAGGGGTCCCACGTGTGTGTGTGCGAGTGTAGACGTGTGGTACGCAGGGGTCCCGCGTGTGTGTGTGCGAGTGTAGACGTGTGGTCCGCAGGCGTCCCACGTGTGTGTGTGCGAGTGTAGACGTGTGGTCCGCAGGGGCACAGTATAAATATGAAACAGTAAGGTATCTAAGCCTATTTGACCGTATAAGCCTTTGACTGTCGACAGAAAACTGTTGAAGGCAAATCCTCCGCTAACGGAGGTCACCGGTGACCCCCATGGCGCTTAACGTGATAACTACCTACCGGCGGCACTAGGGTTGTTACTTCTAATGTTTTTGATATTGTTTGTTTTTTTGAAAAAAAATATTTGTGTTTTGTTGTAATCAATCAATCAAATTGAAATAACTAGTTTACAAATAAAATTTAACTAGGTAATCCAATGGTGTCGCGTATGTCAACCTCAAAAAACGTTAGTTTAAATAAATGTCTGAATGTGAATTTTACCCAAACTAGAATAAGAATAAATAAATCTTACTTTGAACATGGTAACCCGCCTAGGCTCATGAGAGGTAGTTTACAGGTATTTGCCAAAACCATGAAAACGACACCCATGATGGAAAAGGAAATAAAAATGATCAGTCGTCTTGACGCGGCACCCGATACTGACTGCAGTCTGAGGTTGACTTAGTTCTCTATTGATTGATACTGCGGCAGGGGTCCCGCGCGGTGTCGCGCGTGCCGCTGGGCGGGCGCGGCGCGGGCGCCAGCTCGGCGTCGGCCGCCTTCCACGTGGAGCTGACGGAGACGTGCCTGGACCTGCTGGCGCGCTACACCAGCACGCCCTGCAGCGTCAAGCCGCAGCGCAGCGACACGGCCGAGTTCCTGTTCAGCGGCGGCCAGTCCATGACGTGGCTGGTGGGCCACAAGCTGGTCACCATCACCACGTCGGGCTGCCTGCAGAACTCCATCAAGCAGGGGCTGTGCGAGCGCTGCGCCGCGCTGTGCCGCCAGCACGCCGACAGCGTGGCCTCGCCGCTGCCGCCGCTGGCGCCGCCCGCAGCGCCCGCAGCGTCCGCAGCGCCCGCAGCAGCCGCAGCGCCCGCAGCCGCCGCAGCGCCCGCAGCCGCCGCAGCGCCCGCAGCCGCCGCAGCGCCGCCGCCGCCTTCAGCGCCTGCAGACCTCGAGCGGTACGTTGTGGTCTCATTATTTGAATCACATTCATCATACTAATATTCCAATATAACGGACACTTATTTATTTCGGAACCATTTTTGAAAGTATTCACTTCTGTCAATCCACGTTGTTATTATTTTGTGGTTCAAATTACGTTTTTCATAGGCAAAGGTGTTCTCATAACAGGGCTGAGTCATTTAAAAAATGATCATTTGCACGCGATGAGCGTTGATAAACGGTAGCGTTTTGAGCTGCATAGTGGGAAGTTACTTCCAGACAAAACTCGTCGGAGAACAAGAGCTCGGAGCCGCTGGCGGCCGTGCTGCAGCAGTTCTCGGCGCACTGGGAGCGCGTGTCGGCCGACGTGGACAACGAGGACGCGGGCTGGTCGCGCGTCGCCGACCTGGCCGCCGCCGGCGCCTGTCCTTGCTGGGCCGCCAACTGGGCCGAGGTGCACGTGCGCTCCCCCACCGGCGACGTCTGCTGGGTCATGCGCATGCAGAACCACATGAACTGGGACTACCTGCTGGAGTCGCCGCTGCAGGACGTCGCGGCGCTGCTGGCCCCCGCCGGCCGCAGGCCCGCGCCGCCCGCGCCCGACGCCCGCCGCCCGCCGCCTCCGCAGGGCTCCGACGCCGGCCCGCGCGCCCGCAGCGGCTCGTCGGGCTCCGCGCCCTGCCCGCAGCCCGCGTCCTGTCCGCCCGCCACGGACCTGCACAAGTCTAGGTGAGCTCTGTGCGCCAAATAATCTTTTCGTCAGTCAATATGAAAATATTCTAAGAAAGTACATGAATCTCGGAACATTGCACAGTACATATTTCGTATCGTATTTGGTTCGCGTTCGCGCAGCTGATATTATTGACGCACTGCATTCCTTCATCACTTTGACTCGGTCTCCAGCTTTTTCCATAATAAGTCGTGTGATACTAAATCAAAGTCAGCGGACGAGTCCAGGTAACAAACAGGCATAGACCGGTGTGTCTCCGGCTGTATAATACTGCATAGTCTGTTTGATATTTATACAATGACATACATATGACAGACAGACAGCTACAATGTTCCTGAGTACTATAGGCTACAAATTAAACTTGACTTGTATATCAACGCTGCTGTTTTTACATATCTCTGAATACATTAGCCTCGGGCGGAAGCTAGTACATTATAAGGGCACTATGATATCTGCAATATAGTACAAGGCGCTTTAAAACTCGTCGATCCGCCACCGTAAGAGCCGGGGAATGTTCCAAGCACTTGACTTCACTTCACTGGAAATTAAAAGTCAGTGAAAGAAATATTTGCTTATTCGGCGTCGGACCTGAAAGCCAGGAACAAAAGTAATATAGTTAAACTGTCCCAATAATGTATGCCACCGCTGGAGTATTCACAATATTCGCAAGGGATCAGACATTACAGTGACTTGATTTAAATAGTAACACGGATTTATCTTATATAAGTTAATATTTGATCGAGCGCGTTTGGCTCGAGATCAAGGGCGGCACCTTGCTTTTGAAGAACTCCACTAACACAAAGAAACATAATATTAATGTTAGCATGGCATACAGTGGTGTCTAGTATATAACAGGCACAAGCGTGTTTAGCTAATGTACAGCAAGCCGCGGTGAATGATTGACAAGTAATGTTGTGGCACGCGTGGTCCGTCGGTGCCAGTGTTTACTGAGGCACAGTCTGGGCACACACACACTCACAGCTGGCGTCTGTTGTAGCTCGGAGTCCACCGTCGGCGACAGGAGGACGCCGGCCGCCGCGCACAGGTGAGTGGGGGGGGCCAGCGGTGGGGGGAGGGGGAGGCGAGGCGCGCGCTACATTGTGTGTGTGTTGCAGCGCCGCTGTGAGCCGGATGAGCACGCAGCCCATCAACATCCCCGGCTCCCCGCAGCGCCAGAGCTCCTCCAGCACCACCGACGACGACGACATGCTGCTCATCGTGCCCGAGGTGAGCCGCGCCCCGGCCGGCGCCGCGCGCGTCCGCCGCGGGACTCTAGCGTCTGCCTTGCAGGGCAAGTCGCGGCATCCGGTGCGCCGCTCCAACTCCTCGCCCGAGATGTCGTCCTCGTGGAAGGCCAGCGTGGCGGCCAGCGTGGCGGCCAACGCGGCGACCGGCGCGCTGGCCAGCGCCGCCGAGCTGCCCGTGGACCCCGACGACATGATCCTGCTGCCGAGCTGCGAGCCGACGTGAGTATAGGCGGGGCCGGGGTGGCCGGCGCGGCGCAGCAGAGTACAGTAGACTGGTTGCGTTGCAGCAGCAGCACGGCGCAGTCGCTGCACGCGACGAAGAAGGCGGCCAAGAAGAGCGACATGCGCGTGTCGTGCGAGGCCATCCCCGAGGAGATGTCGGGCACGTCCCCGCACGCGCCGCACCCGCACCTCTGCACCTACAACTCCGACCCCGGTCAGTACGCCGCGCACTTCTTGCATGCTCAATACGTTTATTGCAAACTAAGTGTAGGTACAGTGTCGCTGTTGTTCTCTGTTAATAATTAATTAAATATTCATAAGATAGACTGAATTTTATGTCCGCATAGACTACTAGATCGCCATTTTTGTGTAGAAAAAAAAATATTATAAGCTCGACTCCAAAAACTTTTATACTGAGTAATAACATTTTTGGATTAGGGTAAATGTTTCCGATGTTTCAGTTTTTCACGTTTTTTAACATTGTGGGTATCTTCTACTTTAGTAAATTTGTCTAAATTTTTAAACACAAACAGACAAATGTCAAATGATGTATATTAAGGGCAGGGTCAGCAACTGATATATTATAAAATAGGTTTTGCAGTTCGCCGTCTTGTCTGTTTGGGTTAAAGTTGTAATACATTTCTTTTGTAATATGAATAATTCATTTACGGTAACACTATTACCACATTACATGACGCCATGCATGGCGTAGCAAGCAGCCACAGCTGTTGGTGTGCCAGTGCTTTGTTTTGTTTGGTAGAGATCGTAGGATAATTAGGAGAGTTTTGTTTTTATATGTTCTATGTGTGACTTCCAGTTTATATGAGTATCGATATTTATGGCAAGTAGACTTAACGAAGTAACTTCTTCTATTTGTGTGTTTTTGACTGTTTTTAGATGGAGTGGTGTTGTTTGTTCTATTAAAGTGTATTATTTTAGCTTTGATACCGTTAGCTTCCAAGCTGTGGACTCGGAGGCAAGTAGTACGTTAGTTGATTCCGTATAAAATGTCCGCGACAGGGTCCGGCGAGGGCGCGGCGGGCGGGTCGGGCGGCGCGGCGCTGCAGAAGGTAGAGCCGGGTGCGCAGCTGCCCCCGCTGGCGCGGTCCAAGCGCTCGAACACCATCTCGGTGATGAGCCCGACGCGGCGGCAGGGCGCGGCGGCGCGCGGCGCGGCTGTCGCGGCCGCGGCGCCCGGCGCCGTGGGCGGCGGCGGCGGGGGGCTGTCGCCGTCCTTCGTCTTCCTGCAGCTCTACCACAACATGAGCACCTACCCCATCACGCCGCCCGTGCCAGGTACGCCGCTTCTTATCTCAATCTTGACGACACTCATAATTATATATACATTTACAAATGTGTATATTTACTTGTACGAGCAGTAACCGATAAGTATTACTGCCGCGGGACAGGTATTTGTGCGCAACAATTTCTGTGTCGATATACGCGATCTATCCACGACCAGTAAGTTTTCTAATGGTTAAAAAAAGAAAATGATTTTTGATACTTTCATTACTATAAACACGTAATATAACACGAAATAATATAAAAAAAATAGTGATATAATACGGCGGAATTGTTTTTTTACGCCAAAACTACTCTTAGACGTTTTAATAATGTTGCCACAACAAACCTAATATCCCAACCGCAACTCAGCGGAGCGTCGACACGACTACTTTATTTCTTTTTGAAAATGCTTTGAGCACGTGCGGTGTGGAACAAATGTAACCTTTTGGAAGACTGCCGTTGACTTGTAGGCGGCTCTACGGTTACGGATAGGATAGTCGAGTCGAGCCGGTGTAACAAGAGCGCGCAGTACGGGGGCGGCCCTGTACTCTCGGGCTAGGCAGACCTAACACACACTATCTCGAGAGTTGGACGGAGAAATGCGCTAGGGTAGTACGTGACAAGGGAAAACTGTCTTTGGATGGCAATGCCACAAGTATGTGACAGCAACGAAGGTGTAAAGACACGAAATAATCAATATTTTAATACATGTTTATTTATAGAAACTGTAACGCTTGTTTATTTCTATTAAATCACAGAGTAGCCGATTGTAGTAGACACTGTCAATCGAATGACATTTCAACATGGCGGCCGTGGTTCCCACTTTCTCCATTTCACAGATAACTTGGTACTACTGTACTGTACTACGTACGGTCGTATGGTCGACGTCAGTTGGCGAGTCTAATGTACAACCGTGAAGAAAACTGTTAGTGTCATCTTTAGTTATTTTCATTTTTGTGACAACTTACACTTGCAAATATAATACGAAATAATCTTATGCCCGGTTCCTATAATTGAGAAACGATCCGTTTTAGTTACGAATAGTAGTTTTATATACGACTCGTAAGCTAAAACCGTTCCTATAACAAACGTCTCGTCGTGCAACTTACTGACGGTTTGCAACTAACGGATGTCGGTAAGCGAATTGTATGGAGATCTATGGTGTCTGTGGTGTTCCTATAAATATTTTAACCGTCAGTAGACGGTCAAGATAACTATTCGTAATGTCATTTGGTCGTAATGCGTATACAACGACGATTCGTTAAATATAGGAACCGGGCATTAGACACTAAACAAGAATCATTTAATACAGTTAAAAGTTAACAACAGTAACTTATCTTAAAAACTAAACAAAATAGAACAATACTAATAAAACTTAATAACAGTATCAACTAAAGCTTTTGTAACCGACTGCGCTCAAGACAGAGATAGCCTCATCTAACGTGTGACGCTGGGGCCACACTGACGGGAAATGCCAATAATTGTCGAACAAGCCGAACTATCAGCGCCTGGTAGTGTACAAGGTCACAAATAGACTACATCGTGACGTCACAAGCGCGGGCGATCAGAAATAAGTAGTGGGGAAAATGAAAAATATTTATTTTTTATAATATCTATCGGAAGTTTCTCCTTTGTCATTAAATTCGCACTCGTTATATCTGACACTTGACTTACTACTTATTTAACGACTAATACTTATTTTTATGATTAATTTTCCGAGAATCGTGCAAAGTGATAAAGTAAAGTTTGGTAATGATTAGAGTAAATGTGTGCAGGGGAGACGCCGGCCATCCTGAACCCGCTGGCGGAGCGGCCGCTGCGCGTGTCGGGCGTCCAGCACGAGCGGACCATCAAGAACCTCGATCTCGTGCCGCCGGTCGAGACCTACAAGGTACGCCCCGCCCGCGCCGCCGCCCCCCGCCGCCACCCGCCCGCTCACCGACCTCTTGTTGCAGATCGGAGTGTTGTACGTGGGACCCGGACAACAAGACAACGAAGTTCTAATACTGAACAATGAATACGGCAGCGTGAGGTAGGTGCCAGCGACGCCGCCCCGGGACGCCTCGGCTCGCGCGGGCGGCGCCGCTACACTCTCGTCTGCGCAGATACGCAGAGTTCCTGACGCAGCTGGGCACGCTGGTGTCGCTGGACGGCGCGGAGGCCGACGACCAGCCACACCTGTTCCTCAACCTGGAGAAGGGCGGCAAGGATGGCCACTACACCTACGTGTGGAACGATGACATCATGCAGGTAAGGGCCGGCCAGCCGCCGGCCGCCGGCCGCGGCCCGGCCCGCCCTCACGCGGCCCGTCTTGCAGGTGCTGTTCCACGTGGCGACGGCGATGCCGTGCTCGGCCAAGGACCCCACGTGTAACGAGAAGCGCAAGTACATCGGCAACGACTACGTGTCCATAGTGTACAATGACTCCGGCGCCGACTTCAACATCCACACCATCAAGGTACTCGCAGACTCGGCCCACGGACGCCGACACGACTAGACGAAGCTCTGAATGTTGACTGGCGCGCGTCGTTTCCAGGGACAGCTGAACTTCTGCATCGTAGTGGTGGAGCCGTACGAGCACGGCATGAACCGCGTCTTCATCAAGACCAAGGACGAGCGCATCCGCACCAAGTTCCTGGCGCACCATGACACGCACTGCGTCTCCGACTCCAACGTGGCGCTGCTCGCGCGACAGATGGCGCTGCACTGCGCGGTACGTATGGCGGGAGGGGGAGGGCGAGGGCCGAGGGGCGCGGGCTGAGTGTGTGTGTGTGTGCAGCTGGCGTCGCAGATCTCGCAGTCGCTGAAGCTGGGCGGCGCGCCGTACGCGTCCAACTCGCTGGAGCGCCTGCGCCTGCTGAAGCGCCTGCGGCTGCGGGCCGAGGCCGAGCGCCTGGCGGCCGCGGCGCGCCCGCCGGAGCCCTACGCCGGCCCGCCCGACCTGGCGCACCGCGTCGCCATCGACGACTTCAACGACTACACCTAGACTCGGGATTTCGCTAAGCTGAGCGATCTCTCGAGTTGACCGATTTGTTGTTTCGAGCAGCCCGACGTTGCCTCGTGATCACGCGTGGGTCACGACCGCCACGGCGTGACCCTAGCGTGCGTACGCAGGTTCTGTAACCCTCACATTTGTAAATACATTACTCAATTACCAAATTAGCGAATTTCGCAGTGAGCCGACTCCCTCGGCCGGGTCCGGCGCCCGCACTCCGCTTGCTGCGTCCGTACACCGACGCACTTTGCTTATATTTTGATCAGTTTATTTGTACATGAACCCTTACGTGAGATGTGATAGTAGAGTAACGAGTAAATACGGTATACAAATATCAAGTATATAATAAAGCAAGTTTTCTACAAACCGCTTCGCTTACGAGTTCCCGCGGCGTGAAGTAGTGCTTTGAATAAATAGCGACGATACAACGCTGCGACCCGACACCGCGGACATGTTTATGTTGCCCTCGACTCTACTGGTAGGTGCGCGTCGCTCTTGGTTGGACGTGGCTTAAATAGTTTAATTTCAGATATACATTTAGATTTTGAACTGAATAATGTAAAAGTTAATATTAAGGATCTTGAATAAGTACATGTTTTCACAAATAAAAATGAATCGTTGGTCGCGCAGCGCGGCGCGTCCGCCGGCAGTGACGTCACGCCGCCGGCCGCGCCGCGCCCTCGACTCTCGCTACACAGTTGAGGCATTTCTTGTTTTATATGTTTTATGTAGCAATTTATTTCCTGACAAAACATTTTGTAATCAAATAAATGATGGCTATTTTTCCTATGTTTCATTGTCAGCTGCGTATTACCATGACATACATGTATCCTTGGTCAATCAGAAAGTTGTCGCTGGAATGCAGACACAACGCGGTCAAAAAGTATACAAAAAGCACAGACACCTAACTGCCAGAAAACCGCCAAGAGAGAGCGACAGCGTCGTACTAACCCTTGAAGGATTCTGTAGCCACCAACAGAACTAGTGGTAGTTACATGCATATTACCAAGTCTTGAGAATCAATCATATTTTATTAACGTCAAAAGTTTGTTTTATGATCATCTGAACGTAATTGGTAACCACTCTCCTCTTAACGTCATATTTTTTTCTTGTGTTTTTGTAATTTCGAAAAGCAGGTAGGTCCCTGAAATTTCAAAAGAAAAATGTTACATCAAAATATTTCTATCGTACTATCTAATATTTATATCTACATAGGTTTATTATGGAATAGGAGGCAAACAAGCACACTACTGATCACCTGATGGTAAGCGATCGGCGCCGCCCATGGAAACCCGCAGCAACAGAGGTGCGTTGCCGGCCTATTAAGAAGGAGTACGCTCGTTTCTTGAAGGTTTAAAGGTCGTATGGGTTCGAGAATACCGCCGCCTGAAGGTCATTCCAAAGTTTTGCTGTGCGGGGCAGAAAGTTACACGTGAATCGCACATTTGTTGACTGCCAACCATCTGTGTGATGGGAATGAAAATGCTTTCGCCTAGAACGTTGGCGAAAAGAAGCGGCGGTGATCCAACCGAACAATTCCTCAGAACGCTCCTCGTGATTAATGCGATAGAGAACACACACGCAGTGCCAAAGATTCCAACCGGTCCGTCGGACTAGTGGTACTGGGGTGCCCCCGCCCAAAGATGAGAAAAGGTACATATAATTTTATTTATTTATCAAAACTTATTCTATTTTTACAGGGTTGTCCCTAAAGCGACAGATAAGACCTTAAACTAAACTTAGACTAAAATAAACTTTATACCAAACTATTGAAACAAACTTACTTAATAATAAACAATTAAATTATAACAAAATATGAGACAAAACTATTTTATACATACCTACGTAAATACTTAAACTACACTACGTTAGAGCATACATTTGTTTTAGTTTTGAATTTTTAATTATAGACTGCATGGTTGGTGCGGTGGCTGGGCAACTGGCTGCCGTGTGACGTGTCGCGGGTACGATTCCCGCACGGAACAACACTGTGTGATCCACAAATTGTTGTTTCGGGTCTGGGTGTCATGTGTTTGTGAAATTGTATGTATGTAAACGCACCCACGACTCAGGAGAAAATCCTAGTTTGGGGCAACGTTTTTTATGAAAAAGAAAAAAAAAGAAAAAGAAAAAATATTTGTTACACAACACCAACTGAGATGAAGTTTTTCTCCTACTAATATTTTAAAGAGGTAAAATTAACAATTTGTTGTACTTTGTATGTAATGGGGGTAATCTTTGGAATCCCTGGTCGGACTTTCAAAATTCTTTCAGTTATAGATAATGTTCCTGTGTGGCTATAAAACATATGTATTTGTATTTTGAAGAAGTAGAGTTGCTGTTGTTGTGTGAACTAAAACTTTAACTTTGAAGTCTGCTCGCGCTTGTTATACCTACTCAGATGTGGAACAAATCTCCATCGTTAATACGATTCCTATGTACCTAATGATACCACAGTGGAGTACCAAAATGTCATTCAGTTTTTTGGGAAAAAAGTGCAAATGCAAATCTCGTAGATGTATTGAGTACAACTTCGCCAATGTAGACTAACATTAAAGATGTTACATCATGTGAATATAGGCTTTTTACTCTGGTACTGCACGCGAAGCCGTTGGCAAAAGCTAGGTTTCCCAAAATGTTTGAGCGTTAGATTTTTTATGGGATAAGTCGGCAAACGAACAGACCTATTACCTGATGGAAGGCAATCGGCGCCGCCCATGTACACCCGCAACACCAAAAGAGTCACGAGGCCGTTGCCGGCCTTTTGGGGATAAGGGTTATTATCCCCAAAAGGCCGGCAACGGACCCGTGACGGGATATTAAGGATTGGGGGGCCTTCGGTAACCTACTATTTTTATACATTTTTGTCTGCACTAGGTACGTGCAGACAAAAATGCGTAAAATCTGTTCCTTACAAATCGGTCTGTTCCTTTGGGACAAAAATAAAATTGTTAATCATGGCATATAGAAAAAAAGATGGCTAATAAGGCATTCCGCCGCTCTATGCTAAAAGACAAGTTAAGTAGGTATATGCACCTACTTACAGCTTGTGTGCTGGCCGTTTACAAGCCTTTGTCAGTTTTACATTATTTAAACACAGGGCTTAGGTCGCGCCTGACAGTTACTGAAATATTCCACAGCTGCTATAATGTGGCTGAAGGTTGTTTGTTTCGTAGTAATAGCAAGCAGTGCGGTTGCCAAGCAAGATGAGCTACTGGACGAGTTGTACGGAGTAGAAGGACGGAACAAGATCGCGATCTGCGTGCGAGCGAGCGGCGGCAACTGGCGGCGCTGCGACGGCGCGCTCTACAACCGCGAGTGGGTCGTGGCGCGGGCGCACTGCCTCGGCGCCGCGCCCAGCCGCGACATGGCGGCCGAGCGCGTGTCGGCCGGCGGCGCCTGCCATCTGGCAGCGGCCGGCAATACGGGGCTGTACCGGTCGCGTGCCGTGCGCCACCACATCATGCATCCATGGTTCGACCTGGCCATCGTGATCGTCAAGACGCCGTACAATAACTTGGACCAACTAGCCAACGCCACTAAGACGCGGCTTAAGTTGCGGCGACACGGGTAACGAACGTATTGTATTAGTATCTCGGGTTATTCGTTTAAACATAAAACACCAGTTTGCGGACTCCACATATTATATGCGTACGTAGTAGGTATAGAATCTCCAACCCTCATACGAAGAGCGGCAAAGGAGCAAGCAGGTGATCTCGTGGTAATCAATTAACGCTACCCACAGCAATACCCAAGGAGTTACATGGGCGGTGCACGCCTTTTTGGGTTTGAGCATGGTGGAATTGGTACTGGAAGAGAGGTTTAATATCCATTGAGTATAAAGATATACGCATTTAATAAAAGGTAAGCCAAAAGCCGTATTGGGGGATTATTTCCTACCTACAAAAAAGTGTCGGGTTCATGAACCTGGCCCTGTGACATCACTCTAAGACGTTTCAATGTAAGAGCATAGGCGACGACGACGACGAACCTACTCACCGGATCACCGCCAAGGTTAATGGAACCTTCGTAATATTGATAGACTACAAATATCACTGATTCTGTTTAAGAACACAATCGGATTGATTATTATTAGACCTGTTCACTGGCTGGCAGTGCCACAAAAACCAATTTTTTAATGTAATGGTCAGCCGTGACTGATTGCCCTTTTTGCTCTAACCAATTGAATGATTTATACATGCTGTGTTGTTGCAGGGTATATAAATGGATGAAGCATTATTTTGATGCTTTTGCATTAACTCGCAATTATGACTACAATATAAATAGAATTGCACGGAGTTTAAAAACCTACCATCATCCGATCTGGTACTTCTTCACTACAATGGTGCTGCCATCTGCATTGTTCATGCTGTTTTTTGTTTATGTCACATTCTACACAGGCAAAACACAAGAGGTCCCATATAAGCAATTGCGATATTCTAAGAAATTAACTCATGTGTAGTTTTAATTGTCTATGAATAATACACAATGATGTAATGTGAAAGTATTTTTATTATTAATTTATCTATCATACTTCTAAATCAAAATAATAAGAAATCTGTTGAGATTTCACCTAATATGCAATAAGGCAATTACTCTAAAGTATTGAAATGCCCTATGATTGATTAATGCAACATTTTATTCAGACTTCTGATCTAGTTTCCTCCTCCATACTTTGACTTTGCCCCTGAGCTCGCGAAGCCTTTTCATTTCATCCTTAAAATCTTGGTGTTCATCTCTGAATAAACCATACTCTCTGAGTTTGAGCATCAAGCTGTGCGTCTCGACGTGTCGAGGGTAATAGTGAATGATGTCTTCGTTAGTGTGCAACGGCCGTTCGGAGAACATTTTTACCACTTTCATGGATTTGGGATTGGTAGGAATTGCTACTTCACTAAATATTCTATTAGATAAGCGCTGCATGCGTCGTGCGTAGTTTGTCGACGCTTTGATTAATTGAGAATACTGTGCATAGTTTGTAGCCATGATTTATCTGTAACATAAAAGCGTTCGATGATAATAAAATGAAATGAAATAAAATAAGAAAATACAACTTAGGTATAACTACGGTATTTAATAAAATCCCTTGAAGATAATCTTCGGTGCATGGGAAACCCGCAGTGCCGATGGAGTTGAAGTGCGTAGCCAGTGATGAACAGTAATAATTAATTAATTATACTATGCAAAGACTAGGGAGTTAGGGGTCTCTAGTAACCTCACCCAAAAAACTCTTATGGTTGTGTCACGCTGCATTATACCGGTTTTATTAAAAATATTAGTCTTACCTTTCAAATTACAGCCAAATAAGTTTTCGATCAGCTGCAAACAGTAACATAAAATCATTTACCAAAGATAACTAATATTACTCTAATTGTTAGTTGTGTTATGTTATGTAGGTACTGAATAAAATTACTCGCTGTCACTGTCATAACACGACTACCAATAGTACCAATCATTGACATAAGAAATATAAGGACTTGAAATACCTACGAAACAAAGGTGCATACCTACAATCCAAAATTTCGCATAAGATGGCTGCCGTTACTAGGATTGTGCCGACTAAGTATTCAACGAGTATCGATACAATTTGAGTATAAGTTCTACGTAGGTATAGATTTAGGGATTAGCCAGCTGATTTACGGTATTTTTCTATGGGAAATCATCTAATGTCATCTCCGGCCCTTTTCGTGACAGACCGTTACTGACTAAAATCAACTCCTGTTCCTACTTTGCCGTCGGCCTAGCTAGAGCCCGGAACCCGGGGTTACCTAGGTCTCTTGATTGGCTAATGATTTTCTCAAGTCAAATTTGTATTCATATAATTCTACGGAAAGCGTCTTTTAAAAAAAATAGGACTGTGTTGATGAACAGCGTTTAGTGGAATGGTGAAATAGAAAAAGATAGTTTTTGTTAAATCCGCCGAAATATGGGGCCCCTTAATTGCGTATGTGCAACACCTGTCGAAATTTGTGATGTGCTCGCGCACAATTTCGGCTCGTCTAATTAAGCGATGATATCTTCGAAACTACGTTACCACAAAATAGATAAGTAGTGAAGTCAATCTTAGTGTTTGTATCTCACTTTTTATTATTAAGCTTGGTGGTCGCACTGGGATCGCCGGCAACGCCACTCTGTCAATCGCGCCCGGATAATTATAAAACATGATAATTTGAACTTCTACTTATGTAACTAAAACCAATACCAAAATACTGACGTCTTACTTTAGCCTTACTCAAAACTGAGGAAACATCCATTGCTAAAATAGATTATTTAGGATATTAAATGTTGAATTTTAAATGGGAGATTATATCGATACTTTTGTGGAATGGTACGTAACTATGCCATATTGACATATGATTGTAAACAACATTTTTTTGCAACATTTACACACACACACACACACACACACACACACACACACACACGGACACATACACACGCACACACACACACACACACACACATCCACATACACCCAAATACACGCACGCACACATACATTAAGTATAAATAAGTTTAATAAGTAAGAATACAACATGTGTACTTCAGTTTTAGTAATGAGCATAGATATAATACAAAACTAGATAATATGTACTGTATAATAAACCTCTCCAAACTCTATGCTGTGCCCTAACGGGTCCATATTTTTTTTTTTTTTTGTGTCGGTTTGGAAAATCCTCATGGAGACCCATCGCCCTCGGGGAAGGGCGAAGGCTACTGTCAGACTCTTACTGACTAAAAACCAACCCGGTGTTCCTCCACTTACCCATGTGTCGGAGGGGCGGGTATCGCCGAAGCATTCGTCGCAACCCCCCGACGGGTATTGGCCCGCCAGATGGTAAGGCTCCACTATGAGGCGCGCGCGGAACACGGCGCCGCCGCCTCGAGGCGTCTAGTGCGTCTGCTGCGGGAGGGGAGAGAGGAGGCAGCCTCTCTCTCCCCTTCCGCCGCCTCCACCCTGTAAAAGGTAGCGACGGTACTCCACCCTGACTCGCTCCCGACCATAATAGACACTACAGCCGGAAGCGAGAGATTTCCCGCAGCACCTACGGCCGCGACCAGGTCACGGCGCTGCTCGGCCCAAGCTGGGCATTCCGCCAACGTAAGCACCTGCGTCAGCCGGAAGCTGAGGGCGCCGTGGCTCCTATTGAGCCACTCCTCTAGAACGGGCCTTACCGCCTCTATAGCGGCGTGCCCTGCCGTGGGTTGCGCTAAACGCGTCTGCCACTCCGCCATTAAGGCCTGGCGGAGTTCTGCCCTGCGTGCCTCAACCTGTCGAGGCACCAGGCGCTCGCCCCGCTCGACTGCCTCCGCGCGCCACCAATAGAGCGACGCGAGGAGTTTTGCGTCGAGGTCCCAGGGCGGGGATCCGGCTAGGAGGCTCGCTGCCTCAAAGGATATCGTACGGTATCCCCTTATTATCCTGACGGCCATCGCGCGCTGTGGCCTTCGCAGCGCGGCGATGTTACGGGCCGTCAGGGCGTCCGCCCATACTGGCGCAGCGTATAACGCCATCGACCGTACGACCCCCATGTAGAGCCTCCGGCAGGAGGAGATGGCCCCCCCCTGGTTGGGCAGCAAGCACGATAGCGCAGCAGCGGCGCCCATCAACCGGGGAGCGAGCAGTGTAAAGTGCGGCCCGAAATTCCACCGACTGTCGAGAACGAGTCCGAGGTACTTCATCGTGGACTCAACAGCGATGGAAACCCCTCCTACTATAATGCTGGATCCTTGAGGCGGCTTCATCCTCGGCCCATGAAAACACAGGGCCTCCGATTTGTGCAATGCCACCTCTAAGCCCAGCCGCCGGATCCTACCCACGACGTGCGCGACACCAGCAGTCGCGCGTATGGCCGCCTGCCGGTACGACTTTCCACGCGCTGTAACTAGCGTATCGTCGGCGTAACAAATGACGCCGACGCCGTGGAGTAGCGCACCGCGCAGAGCCCAGTCGTAGCAAACGTTCCACAAGAGCGGACCCAACACCGATCCCTGCGGAACGCCGCACGACGTCTCTCGCCGACCCCATCCTTCTCGACCCGGGTACACCACCGACCTGTCCGACAAATAAGCCCCGACAATGCGTTGGAGGTAGCGTGGCACCCCGTGATACCGGAGCGCCTCTCGGATGGTACTCCAGGGTAAGGTGTTGAAAGCGTTAGCGATGTCGAGCGACACCGCCAAGACCACCTCACCCCGGGCGACTGCCTCCTCCGCCAGGACCTTTACGCGCATGATAGCGTCCACTGTGGAGCGCCCCTGGCGAAAACCATATTGGTTGTCCGCCAAATCCGGCCCCATCCTGGTCATGTGCTGGACGAGGCGGCCGGCGATGATTCGCTCGAAGATCTTACACACCTCGTCCAGCAACACGATCGGCCTGTACGCAGACGGGGAGTCTACGTCGAACTTATACTCAAATTGTATCGATACTCGTTAAATACTTAGTCGGCACAACCCTAGCAACGGCAGCCATCTTATGCGACATTTTGGATTGTAGGTATGCACCTTTTTTTCGTAGGTATTTCAAGTCCATATATTTCCTATGTCAATGACCAATACCTACCTTTTAATGTCAAATGTCAAAAAGACATTGTTTAATACTGTGCCTTTTCGTCTATTAGTTGAAGCATTATTAGACGCCTTACTAGACTTATTATTTTAACCAAAATATCCATCTATTCATATTTTTGCAGTTACTTCTACTTGCGATATCGTCGCCCTATATACGCCTTAATATGCCTAATTAAAAACTGCAATTAACTTTAATCTGTGGACACTAAGAAATGTCACTGCCTGCTTTGACATTTTTGATGCAGTCTGAGACTGATTTATGTATTGTCCAGTATTGTTACTTGTTAGGTTGTTTATCGATAGTTGTGTGGTTGACGGTTGTATTTGTATTTATGTTAATTCTTATTAGCTTATTATGATTCGGATTATTTAGTAATTAAAAATAAGTGAAGTTAGCTTTCTGAAATTTTAGCTTAGGTAGAAGTAAGGGTAGGAAGTTATACTAGCGATTTAAGGAGGTTAATTAGACATTATTCTGAATGTCTCGATTCGTAGCAGAGGTGCCGGAAGTTCTGGTAAAACCAGTAAGTATGACCTGGGCAGCTTAAGATTTTCCATCCAAACCATTCCAAGCTATTTTTCAGCCTATTTTTGTACAGCATGTACTATTCAGATCTTAGTGCACTGTATGTGCTTCGTTAAACTTGTAAGTAGACCCTGAGTAGCATGTTATATAAACGTCATTTATTGTAACATTGCAGGGCAAGATGATCAGCCTTTCATCTTCCAAAATGAAAGTGTTGCTAGTGGCAGTAATTATTGTGATGTATGTATATTTATTGATTTATTTCAAAACCATATACTTGAAAACAAAAAGACTGGATGAGATAATGGCTGTGGTAAGCATTAGCATAGTTTTTTTTAAATCCTGCAGTGGAATTAATAATAGGTCACATTAACAGCAGGCCAAACTGGCAATGTTAAAGGTCATAGGTAGCGAGTCACGTAATCTGAATGGGACCTTCATGTTTATACTTTTAATAGCTACTAGGTATACTTATAAAGTTAAGTTCTAATTTAAAATATAAATACATAATATGTATAACATAATGTTCTATTGTGATAAAATATTGCATTAAATTTATTAAACAATGAAAAAATATATTATCATGTAACATGAACAGCAAGCAAGAAAAATCTTTCACCTGTTTAAAAAAAATGGTTCGATGTCCAGACCCGATACAATAATTTGTGGATCACGCAAAGTGGTGTTCCATGCGCACATTAAACTCACATCAAGCACCTTCAGGTGTGCTAATATTGGTGTTTTTTTTTTGTGAGGGGAAAACCATCAAATGACTTTTTCCACCCAGGGCCGGGCGGGAGGAAGTGTCAGACTCTTACTGACTAAAAACCCCGGCTGAACATCAGCCCTATAGGGCCCCGTTTGTGGTGGTCTATTAGCTCTTTGAGGCGCGCGCGGAACGCTACGCGCCGTACGCTCGCGCCTGGTTCTGGTCGGGCGGCGAGCTGCCCTTACTCGCCGACCGCCGACCGCCGACCGCAGACCCGCGCTTACGGTGGCCGGAGATCGTCCCTTGAGGGATCAAGCGACGCCCGTAGTGGTGCCTATTGCGGCGGCTGGGGCGTGAGGAGGAGGATTGCTCTCTCACGCGGGCCGCCTCCCTCTTTGCGAGCATAACTGCTTCACAGAAGGAGGAGACGGCGTCCCAGTTCCTCTCACTCCGCACCATGGCCTCGACTAAGGCCGGGTGCGAGAGGTTGCCGCCGCCGCCGATCACTTCCCTGAGGACACGGCGGTGCTCAGCCCAGGCAGGGTATACCGCTGCTAGTCAAAAAAAAAGTCAAAAATCATTAATTTCAATTAGACCACAGTAGGCACTTTTGAACGTCAAGCAAGCAAAAAAGGAAAAAAGTATATAACAAGAGCTTTAAAATTAAGCGTGTCAGTCTGTCCATCTGTCCTCTAGTGAAGCTATTTGCTCGTTCCAAAGTGTAGATTCCTATGGAGAAGAACGAGCAAGAAACTCCATGGTTACTCTTTTTCAATTAGTTTTACAATACATTTCTTTGTTACATCATTTAGTTGGTTCTGATATGTGAGAACAATGTAACACTAATGTTCAGGCAAAAAGTACGAAAAAGAAGTGATCCTCAAGGACAACATATTTAGACAGCCTGGAGCTGACCAGTCCCAATAGGCGGCGCCCGTTCACGAACATGACACGCACGTACACCAGCACCGCCCAACTCAACAGTATTATAGGGAATTGGGCGATCCAGTGCCCGTGCCACCGCCAATGAGACCTCTGAGTGAGCATGACAGCTCCCAGCCGACACAAGTACCTATATTCTACAAGTCTTACTTAATTATAATAGCTAATATTGGTGTTGCAATCTGGTTGTTGCAGTAGTTGATCGTTTGTTGCTTCTGGTAATTCAGTAAACTCTAATGGGACTACCACTTGAGTTCTGATCCCTTAAACAGACACTCTGCTTCAGGGAACTCTTAACACTTTCCAAGTGTGCGATATCGAAGTACCTAAGCAACAAAAGACTAATATAATCAGATTCAAGTGGAAAGCTGTCTCCCGCTCTATATCCATCTATCACGCGATCGTAAAATTGGTGAGTGCCTTTGAAATGAATTGTGGGGCTAAATGTTTCTTATAAATGTTAATTGGTCAGGGTACTCGATTTTGCACTGAGTCACGACTTTTCTGTCTCTTTTCTCACGTCTTTTTCTCTTATTTCCGAAAAAAAGTGGAGCTACAATTTTATATTAATTATATTCATCACGCCGTTACTTTTACCTGTATGACGCCATGGCGTCTCTAGTCATTCCTGAAAGAGGGGTATTACCGCAACTTATCATGTGTGCATGGCCCTCGGTTGCGATAGACGTTTCTACCACTCTGCCGTGAGATCGCGCCGGTCGGAGCCCATTCCGCTACGCAGTAATTTGACAAGGCAGAGGAGTTTCGCCCCAGCGAACAAGCAACAAACAAATTGTAGACGCGCGCGAGCGCCTTCGGATCCCCTAGCGGTGATCCGGCAAGGAGGTTCGGCATCTCTCCGGAGGTTGTGTAATAGGGCCATGACCCTCGGGGACGCAACCAGCGCAAGAGCTGGCTGTCACGTCCAGTCACACCCACACGCGGGCCTCGTAGAGGGCCATTTGCGAAATATAACGCTGTGTGTGAAGCCGTGGTATCACTCCGCTCCGAGAAGCATGGCTCTCCTCCTTCGCCACATTTCTCCTGCCGTTAAAGCTTGTATCTGTCTGACATTATTTGACCTTATGAGCTGTATTGCTCTTGTTTTGCTATTATACAATAGAAATAAAGTTATAGTTGATACCAAACCCATTCGAGGCGTTTCCACGTCCTTCTATTCCGTGAAAATTTTGCAATCTAATATCACATTTGCAGGCATTGAAGACTGAAAGAGAATTGCTGGATGTTGATGCACTGGACAAGAAACTGGCAATGCAAATGGCACGCGTTGACCAGCTGTATGACGACTATTAGAGATAAGTGCCAACTCTTTACTCGATTCCTCGTATTTTACATGTTTAAATCGATAATAGCTGTTATTGTCTATTTTAATTTGATTAATCAATTGTCTAAAAGTAAAACGTGTGTTGGCATCGTTAACCCTTTGACCGCCACGCTAATAACGAGAAACCGTGCTCCCGACGCCAAGCAATAAATTCGTTGTATTATACCTATAAAAAAATAGTGATGGGAAACGCAAACCGATAAAACATCGATACATTTTGTTTGTGCATAGTTTACAAATAAAATAATGCTTATACAACTGAAGTTTTACTAATAATGAAATAAAAAAATATTTAGTTTATCATTATTAACCCTTAGACCGATAAAAAAAAACCTTTGAATCGATAAAACATCGATACATTGTGCTTGTGTACACGGTTTACAAATAAAATAATACTTTTACCATTGAAGATTTAGTTTATGATCAAATACCTTAAATTAGTGTATATGTATAATAAATGCCTCTGTAAATATTGATTTTGCATATAAAAATAACACATTACCCTATTTTCCCGTAACTAGTCGACGCTTTAAAGCGTCAATGGCGAAGGAGAGGGGTAATTTTGTCATAAAACGTAACATAGACAGTGATGTGATGATAGATTTATTAATAGTTGTCGATATTTATTATAATCAAAGTATGACAATAAGTTATGCGTTAGTGCAATATTTTTATTTCATGATACTCACGAAAACATGTAACACAAAGAGGCACTTTACAAATTTCACACCAAAATCTTGTATCTCGCCTTTTGCGTTTCAAATTACTACATAATTTACAACGTAATTTTTTCGAATCCGGTAAATATGCTGGCATGTGGCGTGCCGCATTTCCTATTAATCGTAATGGTTGGTCCATATTTCGTGAAGTCATCGGTAAGGTCTTGTCTCCTGCGTACTTTTGGATAATTTGTGTTACGACTGCCAGTTGGTACTTGGCAAAACGTAGTGTTTTGTTGTCTTGCAAAACTTTGTAGTAGTTGTAACCGTTTAGCAAATAGAGGTCAATTATATGAAAAAATAACTTTTTGTACCATTTCGTCACTTTTCGAATACTGTGTAAAGAACTTAACATCATGTCATTCAAGTCAATGATTCCCATGTGTTCGTTGTAATCTATAACACATTCGGGTTTCATTTTTGGTAAACCTGTGGACCGATCAATTTTTTCAGTAGGTCCCATTTGATCTTTATGCATAGTAGTGATCATGTACACATCTTTTTTGTCGTGCCATTTTAGAGCCATTATATTGGGAGCATATTTCACATCCCTCTCGCCTTTTTTCAGTTTCTTGAATTCAGGCATTTCTTTGCGATTACGTTTTACAGTTCCACAAGCACCTATATTTCGATTTAATAAAGAAATAAATAATTTGGGGCTGCTGTACCAGTTGTCCATATAAATTTGTCTATTCGAAAAGTAATATTTTTGTAAAAAGGTAATAACTATTGATCCACTTACACCTAGGTCTGCATCGCGTATTATTTCAGTTTCTAAACCAGTATATATGATAAAATCCAATATAATTCTCGTTTCTACATCACATAAGACAAACAGTTTAATGCCGAATCGATTACGCTTATTAGGTATATATTGTTTGATAATTAACCTTCCTTTAAATGGAACAATACTTTCATCAATACATAGCTTCTTGTACGGAATAAAATTAGATTGAAATTTTTGTCTTGCGTCATCTACCACTGTTATTATCTTTGACAATATTAGGTCATTGGCATGCCTTGGTCTTGGTTCAGAAAAATGCAACATTCCTAATATTGTCGTATAACGATTTCTACTCATTAGAGTTGTGTAAATTGGAGAATTCAATAGCGGATTTGTTGACCAATGCTCTTCAATCGTTAAGCGACTGTTTCTAGTCATTAACATAGTAATAGCCAAAAATATATACATTTCTGGAACGGTTACATCTTTCCAAGTCTGCAGCCTCGAGTGGTTCCTCAAATCCGTGTTTAGTATGAAGTAGCAATGATACCGATTAGTGTAGCGTATTATTGTTTTTATTAACTCTTCGTCCACGAACTTCTCAAAAACTGCTAATTGGTTTGACGATGATGTTAAGTTTAATGAAGGTGAAATACCACTACCAAAGTCATCAAAAAAAGGAGTTTCTATTCCAAATGGTTGTCTTGTCCATTGAATAGGAGGTGGTCCTGGTATGTTCTCAACTACATCACTTTCATCCTGAACATTTGGAGGATTTGATGCTGGGAGGTTCTCAGTTAGTACAGCCTAAAAAAGATAAATGAATATCAATTAAAATTAATTATTAAGGACAGTAGTCCTTAGACAGTAAACTTTAAATGATAATTATGAATATCCATTACTATGGATAATAAACGATTTTATTATGATTTATTATGGACAGCCTCGGTAGTCGAATAGTTTAGGTCGTTATTCCCACATAACACACACATTTGTGTTTTTGTGTCCGAGTGTAATTTGTACCCGTAATTCTTAGAGTACTCCGTGACACAGGGCGTAAGGGAGCTAAAAAACGCTAAACTAAATTTCGGGCATGCCGTCCAATCTCAGCGGAGTATAACTTGTAATGTTAGAAGTAGGTTTGTGAACTTAGAAATGACTCACCTCAAATTCATCTTCAATTTCACTGTCAGATGCAGATTCAATTTCGATTCCATCATCGACACCTTCTAAAATACGAAGGAGCTCCTCGTGATCCATATTTATCTTTAATAAAAACGCGTAACACAAAACGATCTGCTAGTGAAATACTTATTGCAGTTATAATAATAATTTGTCTTGAGGGTACATCGATAAAATGTTATTTTTTCCTACCGTCAAATCCCAACACTATAACAACCAACGTTCTCGCTTGTGACGTCATAGGCGGACGCTTTAAGTCGTCAACGGCGTTCATGACATAGAAAAATGTGTGATTATTAGTAATGTTCGAATAAGTTGTCGATGTTTATTTAAGTAAAGGGAAAACTATAATGTTACAAGGAAACTAAGTACCTAGGTAAATAAATTATATTTATAAATCAATGTATGAAGGTACTGCAAACAAATATACCTACTTAATACATATTAGTTAGAAACTAGGCACTATGTTAAATAATAAATATTATATAATATATTGAAAAAAAAACTGTATTAATAATATTCTTTATTTTTTTCATCTTCAAACATATCGAAACCTACTGTTTCTCTGTGTCTGATAAATCTATGTTTATTTCGTCAAAGTGAGCGTTCTTTGCATGCTCTAAAAAATTCAACATTTTTATGTAGCAACGTGAACGAATACACGGTTTAATATACATGAATTCTTCATTTAGTAATTGACAATAATAGTAGTTCCTTTTATCATCACGTTCATATTTGTTACATTCTAAACATGGTCTTGTGATATTTTTTTCTATATTAGTATGTTGAGAAGTTGCAGCTGATGTGGGCTTATGTTTGGCTTGTGTTTGAGCAACTTGGGGTAGGATGCTCGGCGATTGCTCTCTTGGGCGCTTCAAATCTGTGTAAAATCAGTAAGCGATACAAATAATAATATATATTTTTTCGTAAAATTATGTTTAATTAATACGTTACACATGTTGGCTATACTTAAGTAGTCTTAGAGTTAGGAATTTTATTTATAATACCTATTATCACTTTTGATGTATCGACATTCGAATGGTGGGCCACTATTTCAAAATTATTAAATATTTTGACTCGAGGAATAATATTTTTTCAAGCAAATGCGGTACATACTGTATGCTAATTATATTTTTACTATCAATTTAAAGAAATGTAAATCAAAGAAAAATAACGTAAACTTACCAGTCTTCTTCTCCATTACGGTTCAAAACGCAGCTTCAAATTTATGCGGAAACAGTAATAATAATATGCTTGTCAACCAAAAATACACAGAGCCGTTTACACGCCTCGCTTTCGACAGTTAGTGTAAAATAATATATGACGTAAAAATCTTGACTGGCACCATTTTTGAAACTACCGACCTATTATTTTTTTTTTTCATTCGAGGGTAGTCACAACACTAGTCGACGCTTTAAGGCGTCGTTGGCGGTGTGAGTGTAAACTATATAAGTAAATTTTTTGATGAGTTAATTTTTAGTATTACGTGTCCAATTATACTATAGCTCAATGTTTTAATGCATAATTATAGTAGTCGAAGTCAATATGAAGAGTTTTAAATATTCCTGATTCAGAAAATTAACATTAGCTAAGTTTTATTCGTCATTAAAAGTTGAAATGCGATGGACGCTTTAAGACGTCATTGGCGTCTCGATCAAGTTATTGAATGACGCTTTAAAGCGTCTTTGGCGGTCAAAGGGTTAAGTAATAAACAAAACAGAACCAATTAGACGTACAACAATTCGTTTTGCTTTTATCTGGCGGATGGTATTCTTCGCCAGTCGCAGGTAAAGACGAATGCCGGAGCAACACTCCTGCGCATGCGCCACCTACCGGCTGGCCAGATAACTTGCTCTGTTAACATTTACTTGGTTTGTCTATCGATGTAATAATATGGCGAGATCCGCGGGCTCGCGCTATTTTATAATCGTCCTCGTTGTTCATTACAGGGTAACGGATATTGCCAGCCAGTTATGTACTGTATCGGAATTCGAGTGACACTATTTTGACCAAACTACATGGAGTGGGGGTAGTTGTAAATCTGATTAGGTTATTGCAGCAATCTAGTTGTTATACTTCGGGCGACCAGTCAATGCACAATGATTGCGCGCGTGTTTACCTCCTTACTTCTCCTGACCTACCCTAACCCCAATATTTCAGCGTAATTTATACGGTTTGAGTATTGGAAGTCCCTACTGTTTGCTTTAGAAACGAAACAATTTGCTTATGAACGAATTAATAACAAAAATTGCAATTTGTAGAGAAAATATAATTGTAGCATGTTTTTTTAACTTTGTCCCATCCTTGTGTTTTCTCTTGTGTCGTGAGTGCGTTTACAAACATACAATTTCACATGCACATCACACCCAGACACGGAACAACAATTTGTGGATCACACAAAGAGTTGTTCCGTGCGGGAATCGAACACGCGACACGTAGCGCGACAGCCAGTTGTCCGGCCACCGTGCAAGTCAATTATTGAGTGCAGTCAAATACTGAGATGTTTGTGGCCATGAAGTGCAATAACTGCAGCCTCAGCACGGACCATTGTCAAATTGGTATACGTTAAGGTGGCGAGTCGTCCGAACATGCCGTGTCCACTACACACAGCTCACACAAACATCTGAAAAATTTTTATTCCTATATAATGAAGTTAATAAATATAAAGTAGATGAAAAAATTGTGAAAACTAATTAAGAGGAATATAAATATAAAGTGACATTATGTTCAATAAATAAGTAATAATCTTTAAGTATGAAATTGCAGTTTTGTATGAAAAAATTAACTTGTTTTTCATGTATGTATTTTTTATTTGTAATTAATCTAAGTAATCACCCATGCAATCTATGCATATTTGCCAAGTTCAGTTTACAGTAATGCGCTATGGCGAATATAGAAGGTATAAGTTTTTTATGTCAATGGTCGGCAACCGAGTAGAGACATTACCAAGTGGTAAGCAATCAGCGCCGCCCATGGCCACTCGCAATTCCAAAGGAGTACTAGTACAAGTCCGTTGTCCTATTTACCTATGTTGCAATAAGAGTTTAAATCCCCTATAATTAGTAATATATAATACATAATCTTCAGTTTATGTAAGTAAAAACGAAAACTAGAGACTATATGTGGTAACCTGAATTGAATGTATTCCTGTTAGTCTATTTATTTGAATAGAGAAATAAACACATTCATTTATATGACGTAGTTTTATTTGCAATGTCGAGATCATTCCGGCGGTTGTTGCAAGCAAAGACAGCTTTAGAATGTGCGAGAGGTAACATCAGACGCGGTGCAGTAAGCAGTAGCTGCCTACCACAATTTACAATATTTTCATCTTTCTAAAAAAAGTACAAAATTCTATTCTATACATATAAATAAATAAGATTGTGATGATAATTTTATAAGCGTGTGAGTGAAGCATTTGTAATGGACTGTGGAAATAACAAACATAAAATAATCACAGACGTATAACTTGAAATTTGGCACACGCACAGGATACACTTTACTTATTATCAACATACCACGCGGGCGGAAGCTAGTACCAGTTCAAAATAATTTTCCTAGAAAGTATTTATAAATTTTACTTCCGAGACTTCCTATATCTATTTTCTAAACTTATGTTTCGAAAACTGCACGGGGCAGGGGACGCATGTTTAAAAATTTTTGGAGCGATTATTTCCGTAAATACAAACATTAGAATAATAAACCCTATTATTAGGTACTATTTTTCTATTAATTTCGCAATTTGTTTTTGTGACATAATTTTGTCGGTGCTATTTTATGTGAGACCAGTACCTAAATATAAAAAATTCGTGTCACGTGTTTGTCCGCGATGGACTCCTAAAGTACTAAACCGATTTTAAATTTGATGTGCATTCCGTGTGCATTTTGATCCAACTTGAAAGATAGGATAGCTTACATCTCAATTTATAGCCACTTTATTATTTTGCCTCGGCCACAGCAACGCGTGGCTGGGCCTGTTAGTTATATTATAAAATTCAAGTAGGATTTCTATTGTTGTTTCGTCTGCTGCTGCCTTATAAGTCTGTAGAAGTCAAATAATATATTTTAGTTAAACGTGCGACCTAAGTACTAGAACTATAAAGGCGCGTGTAGGAGCAGAGTGGGCTAGCGATGCAGCAGCGGGCGGCAGACGGGCGCGGCGCCGGGCCCGCGCTCCAGCACGGCGTCGGGCGCGCACTGCCAGGGGTCGGCCGACGCGCGCTGCCAGCGCAGCAAGCGCGCGCGCAGCCCCGCCTCCACGCGCGCCAGCGCCGGCTTGCCTGCGCGCCACCACACGGTTAGCTCGGCGGCATGGGGCCAGCTTGTCGCTTGTGCGACCCATGTACTTACCGTGCAAGTTTCTGGTCTCCGCGGGATCAGCGCGGATGTCGTAGAGCTCCCACTGCGGGCGATAATAGTACTGCTCGAGGGTCTTGTACCACGGCAGGGGCTGCTTACTCGCCGTGCGGTTCAACAGGTCCTGTGTCGCAGTCCACGGACATTCATTAAAAAAAAGTGGCAACACTCCAACTATTTCTAAGTTGGTATTAAATCAATGTAGACTCGCCTGGAAAGTAGGTGAAACGTAAAGATCCTGGTCTATCGGAAAAGGCATTCCAAAGTTAAGGTTGTGTATAAGTTTGTACCGCCGCGTGCGCACTGCTCTCATGGGATAGTACATGGTGACCTCGTGATGGGTCTGCGACGCGAACACGGCGTCGTCCTCGGAGTACGGGGGCTCTGCAACAATAGGCGAACACACCTCAGCCACACGTAGGTACCTGACTCATCAATAACAACAATGCAACTGCGCAACAATTAGACTCACACGACAGTAGGTAGGCGCCGACCTACTGTCATGCGAGTCTAATTGTTGCGCAGATTGCTAACTGACCTTTTTCTAAAATGGGAAGCAAGCTCTTAGCAGTGTCGGTCTGTGATATATCATTGGTCTCTTGCGGGAACGGGATGCCGAACCAGTCCAGCACTGTAGGCATGACGTCCAGCAGGCTGACCATCGCAAAAGATGCTTCATTCTTCCTGGATCGCGGGCGCGGCGAGGAAATGATCAACGGCTCGCGGAGCCCCGGGTCGTACATGTTAGTGCGGCCGGACGGGAACGGGATGCCGTTGTCCGACGAGTATATAACGAGAGTGTCTTCTGCGTGGCCCGCGCTTTGTAATTCCTGGAGCACCAGCCCTACACCTGTTGAAGGAAGGCGTGTGAGATATCTCCCGGTTCTGGTCGGACGTACGGTTGTCGCGGCGCACGGCGGTACCTTGATCCAGCCGCGATATAGTTGTGTACTGTGCCGCGATGTCTCTCCGAGCTGCTTCCGTGTCCTGCGCATCATAAAACGTTATCTGCTTAATGTCATGGCCACTTCGTAGTTGTGTAGGTATCTGACCTAGTCCAGAGTAGTCGCATTTTGTGAAATGGCTTACTGGCTATTGAGTACATTATGGAGAGGTTTGGGCTCACCGCTATGATTCAAGACCGTTTCTCGATGTGAACAGTTCACGCGATTACCTACTTCATGATGTGGTCAAACAACCTCTTTGAGGGGTGACTAGAGAGACGCAATGGCGTCCTCACCTTCCACTTGACTCAGCTGCTTAGATACCGGGCACTGCAGCTTCGGTAGGTTCCTGTTTCGCATCCGGCGGGAGGAAACGTCCTAGTGTCGTCATTATGATGACCACCCAGAAGACACGGTGGAACATATGGTGTGCCGTTGGGGCTGTGTACTCAGGGAAGTGACGGCAATAGCGGCGCGGAGTAAGAGGAGCTGGGAAGCCGTTTCCTCTTTGTACGAAGCAGTCGTGCTCGCACCCCAGCCGCCGCAGTAGGCGACACTCCGGGTGTCGGAGACCGAGCACGATCTCCGGCCACCGTAAGCGGTGGGTCTGCGGTCGGCAAGTAAGGGTAGCTCGCCGCCTGACTACAACCAGACCCGAACGCAGCGCGTTGCGATCAAAGAGCCAATTAACACATCACCACAGACGGGGCCCTGCAAGGGCTGATGTTGAGCCGGGGTTGCGGGGTCAATCAGGCACCACGGCATCGACGGCGGGAGAAGTCATTCGATAATTTTCGTTGCACGTAAAAACCAATACAATGTAGCCATCACCATCAGCCACCAAGTTTGTAATAAATTACAAAATGTAAAGTGCACGGGTACTAAATACCTAATATATGTAGTACATACAAAGCATCTAATTATAAGCCGGCCTAGTCATAACATAAAATGCGACCATAGCATGACATTCAAATTGTGTTTATCTTTGAAATGTTTGAGTTTTATTCTTGTATCAGTAAAATTGTGACTCCTCTGGTATTCCAGCACATAACATGCTTCCTCATCCAGCTGCGAAGCTACCTGTACTCGAACACCTACAGCCCGCTGTGGGTCCGCCTCGCCATTACCTGTATGAAGTACGGCAGTTGCACTTGCTCCCATTGGTAGTAAATAGGATGCCAGTCCGGTATAAGGCCCATGCCCTCTTCGCCGGAACCGAATCGTTCACAGAACGGACCAAACTGCGGGTCCGTGTGACCGCACCGGTGCGGGTCGTGGAAACTTATGTAAAGTAGAAACGGCCTGCAAATAAATAAGCATATGTAAGCAACCAGTTGCATATAAATATAGTAAATACCATTTCGAATATACATTATAGGTAATTATTAAAATGAAGAAACAGCTTCACTCGAAATATATTTACTGACTAGGCAGTATCTACCTACACACCGACCGCAGCATTGTGTTTCGCTGTGTGCGTGAGGTTACTGGAGGCTCAATGCAACCCTCTCCTCCATCCCTTCCTGATCCTTAAATATTTGAAACCCTCATCCTCAAAGGCCAGCAACGCACTCATAACTCCTTTGGTGTTGGGTGTCAATAGGGGCGCCGATTACTTACAATCAGGTAATCCGTCTGATCGTTAGGCGACCTATCTAAAATAGTATGTAGGTTGTCTATTTTTACGAATATTCTGGAAAAACAAAAAAGCCGGTTTTGGCTTTTTTGTTTTATCAAAAGCTTTATAGAACAAACTTATATGAATAGTCGTTACATAAATTGCTATTAGTAATACGTTAAAATAATTGTTACTTTTGGTCGCGGTTAGCTTTAGCGAGGAACTCCCTGGTGAGCAGCTTAATGTGTGTGATGTTCCGGCCGACCTGGTTCACGTGGTTGTTCTCCTCTGTCTGCTCGTAATCAAACTTATACTGTGCAGCTGGGCCGACGTCCTTCTTACCGATGATACCTGACGAATAACGGCTTAAGTCAGCTTTCCAAAAACATTTCACTCAATATCATCAGGACAGATATGATTACTACTTAGTACTTACTAAATGACATTGTTCAGGAACATCTCATGCCGCGGCTTGCCACTGTACTGCGTACCTTCGAGAACGTTCGAATAATAATAATTGACTGCTCAGTTGACGTAGTGGCTTGGCAACCGGTTGTTATGCAACAACGGGTCGTGGGTTCGATTTCCGTACGGAACAATTCTTTGTGTGATCCACAAATTGTTATTACGAGTCTGTGTGGTATGTGTATGTTGTATGTTAGTAGATACCAACGATATACGTTTTTTAAAAAGAAAATAATAGAATAGCAATAACTAGAACACTCGCTCCTCCGAGGGAGTCCAGGATATAGCTACCACTTTATTCATAACTTCATATTTCGTTTTCTCTTTCGCAAGAAACCAAATTATGAGTATTTACATATACATATAATATAAACACAGATGTATAAACGAACCGGTGGTGACATTGTGCGCGCTCAGCAGGTTCGGCAGGCTGGTGACGGTGTCGAAGGAGCTGAAGTGGTGCACGGTGCGGTGCAGCCCGTACATGCCGTTCTGGTGGCTCGGCGTGCCCGTCAGCAGGGCGGCGCGGCTGCGCGGTCAAACGGTAACAATTCTATCACAACGGCAAGATAACATTATGCGTTACAAGCTATTCCTATATATTATTGTACCTACATACATACAACATCAAGTTTGTCGATCAGTGTCAATGTGGATGAAGGCTTTTTGTTTTGGTGGCCGGTTGGAAAGTCCTCATGGAGACCCAACGACCTCGGGGAAGGGCGAAGGCTACTGTCAGACTCTTACTGACTAAAAACCAACCGTTCCTCCATTTATCGCTGAAGCATTCCTCACATCCCCCGACGGGTATTTGCCCGCCAGACAGTCAGGCGGGCCCCGTCACCCACCGCGGCCCGCGGCCCTCACCCCGACCTCAGGACTTCACAATGAGGCGCGCGCGGAACACGGCGCTGCGGCCACCCTACGACGTACAGTGCTTCTGCTGCGGAAGGGGAGAAAGGAGGCAGCCTCTCTTTCCCTTTCTGCCGCCTGCTTTGCGAGCATGTGGATGATGCCACCATCGGTTACCTATAGCCGATTTTAACCATTTTATGGTATATAGCATGAGTAGGTACTTCTTTGATACATTTCATAAATAATAATTTTAACTTTAGTCTAAAATCAAATATACTGGACCGCATCTGCCAGCGCTTCCATAGCGAACAAGGAGTGGCGCCGCTGATTACTGGGCATCAGGTCAGCAAGCCATCATGGCATGCCATAAACGAGATGTCGTGAGTGTTTTCCTAATTATTTGATGCTATTCAAATAGTTCAATACGTTAAGAGTTAATGTTTAAACAGAGTCTTGCTCGCGACCTTGGAGAGCAGCTGCTGACTGAAGTGAAGGCATTGTTAAAGACCACACCCCGCTTTGCAAGAGCATCGATGTTCGGAGTTTGGCATATCTTGTTCATGTACGCGCCGAGCTCGAACCCTCCATCATCCGCTGTAAATAATTAGTACACTTCGTAAGAGTAGGTAAAACTAGTAGAGCCTTTCTCAATATAGACGTGAGTAACCCGCGATTTTAAGTTAATTTAGTATGTCTCACGATAGTTATTATCAAACACAGGTACGTACATAGCCGTATTACATCCCCGCCCTCGTTTCTGGGCAGTGGCTATTGTTGGTAACCGGTGACGTAATCGACTAGGTACTTCCATTAAAAGTCTCATTAAAATGTTGCAATTAACACTATTACACCAGAAATCTAAAACATTTCGACAACATGATGTAAAATCGCGATGCACTGTTAGATCTGCCTAAGGTGTCTCTATGTTTGCTTTAGACCATTTTATTACATTCAGCCAGACTTGTCCAATAAAAGCTTTAATATATTAAGGTAAGTTCATTTAAAATGATGTTTATAAATATGTTGTAAGTAATTCATGTAAGTTATAACACTTATTTATATCAAACTAGATCTTTTACCCGCGGCGTTCGCTCCCGTCACGGAATAGAAAATACAGTAGGTACAACACAATACTCAATACAATACTTAATTTTATGTTCTGTGGCTCCCGTCATTTGACTACCTACCCTTACTCTACCTACCTACCCTACTCTAAGGTTATTTTTTACAAAATAGGTTATTTTTTTACAAAATAAATGATAAGTATTGAAAACTTAGTAATAATTTTGATCCGACAGACAAACTTTGTTTTGTCGGTCATTTTTTTTCCTCGTAGAACTTAAAATGTACCTTTTTAATAAATAAATAATAAATACAAAAATGTCATAGCATACATATTTATAAACATTATTTTTAAATGAACTTTGAATATTTGTCATAAAACAGAAATTAGTATAATTATGTTTTAATTACCTATTTTATTTTACATTAATTATATATATATGTATTTCATAAGTGATTCATTTAGTTTACACCAAGGCGAGTTTCTCGTCAGATAACAAGATTATGGTTATTGTTCCAGATTCTAAAAGACTGAAGTTGTTTCCTTATGTCGTACCGTCTCAGAATATTCCTTAAATAACCCCCGATAAAGAAGTACCATTAGAAAAAAGCACTCAAATAAATTTTCTTCCTATGTGGAAAGAAGATAGATCAGCTTAAAGCAATTAACCCTCTTAGATTTACTCAGTAGTGAAAGATATTGACAGCGTAATTATTGTCTTAGGTATCATTTTTCAATCTTATATACTATAAAAATGGATCGCAAAATGTGTTGGTAAGCGCATAACTCAACAACGCCTGGACCAATTTTGCTAATTCTTTTTTGTTGTGTTTGTTAGCGTCAGGAGAATGTTCTTAACAAAGAAAATATTATAATAGTAGAGGGGAAGATCAGGAAAAAATGACCCTTTGATAGCAAGATAGTTGGACCCGTGCGAAGCGGGGGGGGGGGGGGGGGGCGCTAGTGATTAGATAAAAGTCAACTGTGGAATAATAACGATGCTTTCGTGTCAGAATGTTTGTATAAGATAGTGACAGCAACAATTTTATTCCTCAGATAACATTTATCTCAATATTGAAAAATCAGCCCTTAAACAGCAAAATGCCACTTAAATCTGATTTTTATTTATAATTTATTTTTTCCCTGACGTTAATGTAGATATAAAATTAATGTGTCTGGCGCGACGCTACACGTCATTAATGTATTTCCACCTTTATAGGTAGTGACATTTAGTACTTGACACATTCACAGTCACAGAACTCTTGTACAATACAAATATACTGACTAATCGTCATAGATTTGGTCTGTGCTAATAATATAAAATAAATCTAATAAATTCTCGTAGGTACATCTGTGTAGCTGTTTGCCATCCCAAAAAAAGCTATTACCTAGCTGTCATTCACTGTCAGTCTGATGTGTTCGATCGAATATGATTACCTCGTAAAATACATAAAGACTATAATCATTTTGTTACTCACCCAAGAGTATAAGAACATTTCCTGATGTAGCTGCTTTATCAGATAATACGGTATCAGTGATAAAGAAACAAATTATCAGGTTGTAAACAGTACTCGTTTTATACGCCATGTTTACCGCCCGCCAACCTTACGGTTGTCAGCTGATAACTGGCAGATATTTGACGTGTCCAGTGAAGTGTTGGCGGTCAGCGGTACGGTACTACGGTGCACACTCACAGAGTAAACTAGTTATTGCTTCGGTGGTAGAGCTATTCGGCGTAAAGCAGTGCGTGTGGTTGGCGACGTAGTGTCCTACATAAAGACCGGCTTTAAAATTCTCCGATTGCCTCCAAAATTTAAATTTATTGTAATCGTCTAATAAGAAAATACATTTTCACGATCATGTCTAGCCGGCAGTCTGTTTTGTATCTTTTCGATGTGGATGGCACCCTGACTAAACCGCGGCAAGTTATAACAGAAGAACTGAAGGACTTCTTGTTAGATAAGGTGAAATCTAAAGTGAGTGTGGGACTCGTCAGTGGATCTGATTATGTTAAAATAGCTGAACAAATGGACGGGGCGGAAGTGGCAGCTAAGTTTGACTATGTTTTTTGTGAGAACGGTGTGGTTCAGTACCGCAATGGTAAGCTGATCAGTTCTGAAAGTATCCTGAGCCACCTAGGAGAGAAGTTGTTGCAAAGAGTCATCAATTTCTCACTTGGATATATGTCAAAGATTGAGTTACCAGCTAAGCGTGGTAACTTTGTTGAATTCAGATCAAGCATGATTAACATTTGCCCAGTGGGACGGTCTTGCAGCCAGTCTGAGCGAGAAGAGTTTGTTAAGTATGATACCATTCACTCCATTAGACAAAAATTTGTTGATGCATTGAAGACTGAATTTGAAGGTTCAGGTTTGACATTTGCACTCGGTGGCCAAATCAGTGTGGATGTGTTCCCTACGGGCTGGGACAAGACTTACTGCCTTAATCATGTAGCAGACCAGCACTTTGAACAAATACACTTTTTTGGAGATAAAACAATGGCTGGTGGTAATGACTATGAGATCTACAATGACCCACGGACAATTGGTCATAAAGTTATATCTCCAGATGACACCAAAGAACAAGTAGTTAGGTGCCTCAATATTTAATAAAATAAATAAATTACATTCTTGTCAATCACTTTAATAAATATTTTTATATTTCAAATGAATTTGTATTCTATAACAATGTTAATAATAATAAATATTAATGAAACAATATACAGTATACTACTCTGTGATTGTGATATCAATTATTGAGATACAGACAAGATGATTCCAATAGTGCTGGCTGACCTGTAATAACCTCATGATATGTATTTTGTTATCTAAAAAGAATATAAGATGTTTTTTTTGGTTTGTTTTTTTGTAACTGAAGTTTTTTTTCTTTCTCTATTAGAAAGCTACATTACTGTAAAGGAAAATAGGATAGGTGTCATTTTGTGGAATTCAAATACAGATTTGTTTAAAAAAAAGATGTTTGTACCTAAATGTAGTGGTTACATACTCTTTGGTAAATATAACCACTCCGCTCCCGACATCACATGATCGAAACCTACCAAAAAGCAAGCCAATTGTTTAAAAATAAAAACAAACTGTAGGGTTTGCGCAGATCTATCGATTCCCGCACGGAACAATCCTTGTGTGATCCACAAATTGTTGTTCCGGGTTCGGGTGTGGTGTGTATGTGAAATTGTATGTTTGTAAACGCACCTACAACACAGGAGATAAGCCTAGTGTAGGCCAAAGTATTTAGGTATAAAAAAAAACTCGCCGTGAAGAATATTAAACGAATGTATTTGATTTGAGTTGGATTTGAGAACTGAGATTTATTCTGCGAAAGCGTGCTATCCGAGCGATATATAACTTGCCCCGTCGTGAATCTTTGAGAGAACTTATCCTTACGGTGCCTTGTCAGTTTATATATTTATTTATTATAAGGTAGGCTCACCTCAGCTTATGTATACAAAGTGGTTTAAAGTTAAAGTATTGGTTATAGGCAGTAGGTCATATACTTACATTAGCCAGTTACGAGCTAACCAACATTCTAAAAATTATGCGTTTATACAGTGAAAATATATAGAAATTAAAACTAAAACTAATTAAATTGACGTAGGTAAGAGGCGATTAATGGTAGGGGCGGTAGGTATTTCTATTCCGTGGGTATATCATTAATAAACAGAGAAAAAAGGATCGGTACAATATGGGAACCTTGAGGAAGCCAGAATCTACATAATATGGATAGGATTCGTATCCGTTGATGACTAGGATTTGTGATCTGCGATGTAAATACGATGAGAACCAATTCAGTAACGAGCCATACGTATTCCATTGTAGTGCAATTTCAGCAAAAGCAAAGAATGATCGACGTTCTCGAACGCGTTAGAAAAATCGGCGAAGATAGCATCGATCTCAGATCTTTGATCTACCAGGGCAAGATTTGTATCTACGCTGCGACCAGCCTTGAAACCATGTTGGCAAGGCGAAATAACTTTGTTTAGATAGCGCGTGATGATGGGACATACCAGGGGTTCAAAGAATTTGGCAAAACAGGACAGAATGGATATAGGTCTATAGTTTCTAGCGTTTAATGGGTCGCCTTTTTTTATAAATGGTAACTATTTTGACACTTTTCCGTATGGTAGGGAAGACTCCTTCAGTAGGTAAGCGAGGAGATAAAAATCAGTTTCAGTGGTAAAACTTTACCGCAATGCTTAATAAAAGATGGTGGTATAGCATCAGGCCCTGGGCCTTTAGTGGAGTCGAGCTGTTTAAGGATTTTTAGAACTTCTCTTTCAGTAAAGTCAATTTTGTTTAGAATAGTCCGTCATAGATATTAGTAGTAGGTTCAAGACTGAAAACTGATTTAAATTGATCTTGATTTGAATTGATTGATTAGCTATCGAAGGACCGTCACTGGCTATCTGGCGAATATATGAAAATATTACCTACACAATTTTAATACTAGAGGCAAAGGCTGGCCGAAGTACAGAAATCCTTTATGGAGGCTGTGTAAATTGTTACAATAAAATTCTAAGTAGTGTATTAAATTTTAATGAAATAAAATTTAAAACTTAGGTATATTAAACGCGAATTGTGTAGACATGCATACTTACTACAAACTTTCAGATGCTATTGACAGCGCGTTGGTTCGGCTCCACTGGACAATACTCAAATATATATAGCCAGTAGTTACTAAATTTCTTAAAGTTAAAGAATCCTTGAATGAGTTTATATAGAAGCATTCTTTTAAATTGTGAGTACGCATATGTGAGTGCCATGTTCGAGACGACAAAAGATTAAAATTTAATGATAGATCCCATCATTTTTATACCTCATTTATTTACTAAGTACTATTCACTAACAATGCAGAGACACTGCATTGTTAGTGAATTGTAAAACAAATAATAATTTAAGAGTAACAATGAAGTTTCTTGCTAGTTCTTCTCCATTCGAAACTTTATTGTCCTAGCTTCTCTGACAGACTACTGTTCTACTTTGACGTTTCAAAAGTACCTACGTTATAATAGGATGGGGTGAATAAAGACAAAAGAGGGGTGAATAAATAGGTACTAGGAAAATTCGCCAATATCTATTTACCCCTTTCGTGTATCTATTCACCCCACAAATTCTATTCACCCCGTTTTACATACCTATTTATTGTTTAGTTGGAATAAATGATTTTGATTTGATGTGAGAAATGTTCCTAGAATCCTTATCTTCAACTTGGTCAAAGATGTTACAGATGGTTGATGGTGGATGGTTATGATAAACTTGTGCTTATACATACGTTGTCCAGTGGATAACTTAGACCAATACTTAGGTACCTTAATTGTTTTCATCTTTGTTCCGCATGGCAGTAACCATCATTGGGAGTTCTGGCTCACCGGATGTCCAGCGTAAGTATGTACATACCTACACCCGTGTCTGTGTAATTAGTTAGAGCCGTGAGCCCGGGTTATGTTAGACGTGACGTTTTGCGGTCATTTCGAAAGATCAAAGTTGTTTAAGAATGGTAGGTACAATGTATTCGTGTTGGGTGTTACTAAGTTGTGATGGTGGTGCATGGTCTCACGGTGGACGGATACGTGATAAGCACTTCTCAGTGTTTATCGCGGCTTCACCTATACTACTACTATACCAGTATTAGCTTGACTAATTGATTTTTTAGATTATCTGTGAGCGGCCCCAGTCGCCGGAAGAAAATTATTTATAGTTTACGAATCCGGCTACAGGGACTGCGGTCCGAGTTTTTATGGTCCCATTCGCCGGAAGCCTCAAACAAAGTACTTACCTATTTGTACATAATTTTAATATACAAAACTATTAAAACGCAACGCGGGAAACCCTACTTGGAAGGTAATTTGCGCCACCTATTGGGACTGGTCATCTCCAGGTTGTCTAAATATGTTGTCCTTGAGGTTAACTTCTTTTTCAGATTCTTTGCACATTAGTGTTACAATGTTCATACATATCAGAACCGACTAAATAATGTAACAAAGAAATGAAATTTAAAACTGATTGAAAAAGAGTAACCATGGAGTTTCTTGCTCGTTCTTCTCCATAGGAATCTACACTTTGGAACGAGCAAATAGCTTCACTAGAGGACAGACGGACAGACTGATGCGCCAAAGATAAAGCTCTTCAAAAGTGCAGTACTGTGGTCTAATTGAAATAAATGATTTTGACTTTTTACCCGACTACGGCAAAGCAAAAGGTGGGTTATGATTTTGACAGGCTATGTATGTATGGATGTATGTTCATCTGTTCCCTCGTAACTTCTAAACTAGTTATCAGAATTCGACATATGACATATCATTAGAAACGCCTTAATTGTCCGCTGGTTATATGCTACATGAGGTATCACAAAATCTAATGTGGCGTCCTCTAGCGGACAAAACAACCAGAGTAAAAAAATAAAGTTAAGATAATTATAGGTACCGTGTTTGGTATCATTTTAAAGCGCTTTACTTGTACATTTTGAATATATATATCTAGCATTTGCTTGTGACTTTGCCTGTACTCATGGGCTGTTTGCATATAATAGCTGGTGCTGCAAAATGCCACCTAGCGACTTGTGATTCAGTGGAAAGGCGTGCGAAGAGGCTGATTGGTGATCCAGATTTGGTTGGGTCCAATCTTCAAAGTCTTGAGCACAGGCGCAGAGTAGCCAGCCTTGCGGTTTTCTACAGGATGCATTTTGGAGAGTGTGCGCAGCACGATTTGATTCCGCAATCCCATTTTCACCTTCGGACATCCCGGCGTACGACAAATATCCACCCTTACGTTGTTGACTAAGCGTTTTGCCTCGTCATTTATACCGCGGTCCATCGAGGGATTGGAACAGTTTGTCGGCTGCAGTCTTTCCGTCCGAATATAATTTAGGTGTCTTCAAGGCTAGAGTGAAAAGACTCTTAATAAACTAGTGCGCCTTACCATCAACGATTGGTCACTGCTTACCATCAGGTGGGATTGCAGTCAAGTTTTATACTTTTTAATGCATATGCATTTATTATTGATTTTTAATGCAGCGAAAACGGACATGATACCTGCATAGTACATACCCTACACCTCGCTACAGGAGAATAAATCCTTATTTTTAAGGAGTCGTAACTGTGCAGCACTTGGCACTTCTCTTGCCATCAAAAATAGAATGGTTCCAAACCTCTTAGTTATAATGTAAGTTAGTTCATAATTTTCTACATCGAGGAACAGAGAAATCGCAATTTCAAACTAAAAAATAGCCGGTTGGCCAACGCAGGATGGAAAATATGCAGTTAGTTCAGGAAACAGGTGTGGTTCTCAAATATTTTATACTTAGAAAAGCCACGCTGGCATGAATGAGGCGGGCGATCCCCAAGCATGACAAAGTCTGGTCGCAGGATCCTCTCAGAACTTCTTCACGTGTGCTTATAACCTGATGTTTATAACAGTGGCGTAGCTAGGGGGGCAAGGGCCCTGGTGCATAGAGACAGAATCGGGCTCTCCTCCCCTCTTTCCGCGCAGTTTGAACTTATTGATACAAAAACGATCAACTGGACCGTATTGTGACGTAGTAACGTAATACGTTTCTGAAAAGCTCCTGTTGTCTTGGTGGGGGTCCTTCGGAAAAGGTCCCGGTGGTTTCAAAGGTCCCTTGTCAAGAATCAGACGTTTTTCGGTATCACTCAGTTTCTTGTTGATGTAATTTACCAAGTCATTTGAAATTTCGAGAACTTTTGAAGATGTAGAAATTGACGATTCGTCTACCGTAGGTTGCACGGAAGCGTCGAGGTAGTCATTTTCAGCAGGGGCATTGATGGTAGTATTTTGAACGATGACTTCGGCACTTTTGAACGATGTTTCGGCTGTTGAAGGAACTGTAGCAGAAAGCGGTTTCGTAAAAAAGCTATCTAGCTTGGGCAATTTTTTTTTACTTTCTTCTCTTTCTTGTCGTTGTTTCCGCTTTGCGGCATCGCTACGTTCCTTTTTTCGTTCCATAATTTTTAATTGGTAACTATCGTTATTTTAGAAATCCGGAGTAGGTACCTACTCACTGAGATTTTCCTATATTGCTTGTTAATGTTTAGTATAGGTTACAGCAAGCTCAACAGAAAAGAACCATAAATCAGCTTGTTTGGTAATAATGTGGTAATATCAATGTTAATTCATAAGAAGATATTATCGTTTCTATAGTAGGTAGCTCGTTTGTCAATTTGGACTTGAGTTTAGGAAAACGTTGATTATTTTTTATTGCCGATAAGGTTGAGAGCTATCATACATGATACGGTTAGCGTTGTGCTGCAACCTGTATCGTACATATCTTGTCATCGGATTTTTTTTTATTTTTTAGTTTTACCAGAATTTGGTGCCGGATGTACGGAATAGAAATCATAACATTAGTGGTGATACTTGATGAAATAAGGCTGGTAGTAGGGAATTACGAAGTACATCAGTAACAGTCAGCGACACACCTAGCATCAACTACTGTAGTACGTCCCAGACCTCTGAAAGTTGAAAAAATCGCCGGAAATATCATAAATGAAGAACTGATGCAAGGCAAGAGCGAATGAAAACTTCATTAAAAAGTTGATGAGCGGAATTTGTGAATTGATCTCACGACCGTCAAGCACGTGAGCTGATCCGGGCGGATGCTACGGGCGGACGCATCCAAACTACCATATAACTGAAATAACCATAACAAACAAACAGCACATGCTTATCGAGGACGCTTGGCGCATGTGTTGAAAATGTTGAACAAGGAGTTTAATCATTGGCGCCGCCCGTGTACGGATGTACACGGGCGGCGCCGAAGACTTACGAATAATTACAATACCACCATTTCTAATAGGGGCATCGTTCGATCGACGCTGTCTTTTACCTAAATTCTATATACATAAGGGTTCGTGACTGAAAATAAGCACGCTGCTATGCATACCGCACATTGGAAAAATCTGCTATACTTAACTATTAATGATGGGTAGGTATAGGTACGCACTAGAACAAAAACAAGCATTAATTCAACGATAACTACAAAAATGTAATATATAAAACATTCATTGTAAATTGACATCTAACCTATATACAACAGTTACACAGGTATTATCAAAAAATTTTCATGTACTGTGATTTGTACATTACCTAATCATAAGTCATATAAATATTACAGATGATATATTATTTGAAAGACCTATTCCAGTGCATGGAACATTACATGTTATTGGCACCGTTAATTACACCTATCCCGACTTATTACTTACATATTGTACTTGACTACTACAACCCTTTACTCTCAACTCCCAGATACCCCACAAATTAATTAATTTTATCCTAATGACCCTCGTATATTGGTTTTCTCTTTTCCATAAAAGATATCATACCCTCCTGGCGATCTTTCGTAGGAATGTTTATCTCATAACATTTTTGTTCGACCTCATAACCGTCCTTGATACTGAGCTGTATTCCCTCGTTGATGGCTTGTTTGGCGCAACGGAGAGCAATCGGTGCATTGTGGATTATCTCCCTTCCTAAAGATAAAGCCTTTTCTAACGCTGCATTGTTCGAGTTGCTCTGTGGTACTACGTGATTGACAATGCCTGCAATGCAATAATCATTTAGGACACATTCAAACCAACTACAATTGTCATGAGTCAAGAGTCATTACAAACCTAGATCCTTTGCTTCCTTGCCAGTGACTATTCTTGAAGTGAAAATAAGTTCTTTGGCAATATTGATGTTGATAGCTCTGGGTAATCTTTGAGTACCCCCTGCCCCAGGTATAAGTCCCCGACCAGTCTCAACCAGTCCCAACTTAGCTGTTTCTGCCACTACTCTAATGTCACAAGCTAAAGCCAGTTCCAAACCCCCACCCACTGCTACACCTTCTATGGCCGCGATTGTTGGCATGGGCAAATCTTCAATTTCTATAAATGTGGCTCGTAGTCCTTTGACAAACTTAGCCACTTCATCATCAGACATTTTGAAGCGCTCCTTCAAATCTGCACCTGTTATACAAAATTTTAAAGACTTAGAAAAAAAATACGTTTTGTTATTTTTGCGTCAAATAGCTTACTTATTTTTAAAAAATTCGCTAAAAAATATCGAAAAATTAGTGTATCGATCGATCGATGAATAAAAGTATAGTTATTTTTCAATATTTTATCGTATTAAAACGTCGAATTAATTTATTTTTGACCTAGGAAACTACCCAATTGTATATGGGTGCTTGTTCTTCTTTTAAGTAAGGACTGCTGGACAGTTTTAGATGAACAGTAACATAGGTTCTCCACTTACTCGCTTCTGCCAGCGGGTAGCCAGAATGAAATTTGTCATAGATGTAGGTTATAAGTAGTTATACTCATTGTATAACTACTTATAACTTGATAAATTTGTAAATGTGAGTGCCCTGTAAACTATTACAATTGGTTAGACTAGCAGAATGTCGGCCCTTATTTCAGCTTGGAGTTGTCATGCTCACTGAAAGGTCATACTGGTGGTGGCACGGGCTCTGGATCGCTTAATTCCCTATAATATGGTTGAGTTTGGGCGATGCTGGTGTACGTGTCATGTTCGTGAACGGGCGCCGTCAGTTGGGACTGGTCAGGTCTGGACTGTCTATTGTCTATATCTATTGTGTTATTTTCTTTTTATATTTGAATAAATATTAGTGTTACACTGTTCTCACATAATTGAACCAACTGTTTGTAAAAGGAATCTGTATGTGAAACTGATTTAAAAAGAGTAACTATGGAGTTTCTTGCTCATTCTTCTCCATCGGAATCTACACTTTGGAACGAGCAAATAGCTTCACTAAATATTAAATGAATCCTCCTAAAATGATTTGATTTGATTTGGACTAACCGACAGATTGACAAAATATCTTCAAAAAATTTTGTTTGATGTTCAAAAGTGCCTGTAAGGGTCTAATTGGAATGATTTTTGACTTTTTTATTTTTATTTTTTTCTTCTTATAGGTACATTGTTATATTGTTTTGACATTGTGGTGGCTTGGACACACTTGATCTATCTTTTGATGATGTATTGTACATAATATGTTGAGAATATAACCCTTAAATTAACTTGTATGTCATTCGAACTCTGTCTTGTAACTCATTTTAGAACTTAGTGTTCTAAAATGAGTTTGAATGAGTTATAGGTAAGGTCTTTTTTAATGTCATAAATCATGAAATTACTTTACTTGTTGCAATGGAACCCTTCCTGACTCAGACTCAGACTACACCGCATACATATAGGATTAAATTTATTAGTGACAGTCTGAGGTATGGGTATGGACCTCAAAATTTATTGTTTTTCTAATTGTGCTTCTATTTATTTTTTCAAATTTCATAAATCTTGTGAGTGTGGTAAATAAAGTTATTTTCCTGAAATTTTTAATGCAATTCACAGAATGCATCTACCTACAAAGTTTCAACAGTACCTATATTTCCTATATTATTATGTAGTTTCGAAAAAAAATCACAGTAACATATCAAATGATGAACAGATTTTTTGGCATTTGGTTTGAGTAGGCTAAAAAACCATTAGACTTAATGTAAAATGATAAAAATTTCAACCGTAAAAACCATTACAATTAAGTTTGATAGTAACTACCATTTGAAATACCAAATACTTAAAATAATTAATTGATAAGACCTTAAAATTTGTAATTACTTTGCCTGTACCTACTGAGAATAAAAAATCCAAAGTAAATTTCTCTAACTCTTAATTTCTTTGTGCACATTCCATGTACTAACTGAATTCTGCAATGATTTCAAAGGTTTTAGATTTTCTCTGCATCCATGATAAACCTTATTAATTTTCACCCTATTTCTGGGGTATAGAGGTGTGTCTAGATTATATTATTATAGATGTTGGGTATTGCAATTATTATAAAAAAATAATAGTCATGGTGACCAAAAATAGATTACAGAATCTTACCCGCACAGAATATCCCAGGTACCATGCTGTGAAGTATAACTACAGATATCTTGGTGTCCTCTCTGATCAATTGGTTGACTTCTCTCATAGCTTCGATCATATTGAAACTCAATGCATTGCGATTTTTGGGACTGTGTAATCCATACAAAGCAATACCTCGGTCTGTTCCTAATAACTTCTCGTATACTACAGGGCTTACATTCTCTGTTTGCTGTTGCGTGTTAGTTGCTAATAATCTTATTGACTTATTTTTTAATATTGAATTGTATCTTAACAACTTTGGAATCAACATTTTTACCAAAATAAGTTAAAAACACAAGTTTTTAATTTTGAAACTAGAATGTTATCTAGTTGCTACCTCTCATATAAAGAGATAATAATTATATAGATAACCAATTTTATTCTTGAACAGTCTTATCAATGTGGTGTAGCCAATGTTACTTGTTATTGTTACACAAACACTATAAAACTTGTTTATACTCCGTCAAAAAAGTGTTATTTACTGATAGGCACACTGACAGTGACTTGCCAACTTTTGTTTACTAACTTACAATATTATACAGCCACAGTATTTGGGGTGGCCATAATGACAACTCGTAGCCTTGGTTTATGTAGGCTTCAATTTTACCACACTTTTTAGACAAGCTGTACGTACCTATTTGTATTCGGCTCTTTGTGGGTAGACCCGTCTACACTTTTTTATGCAGGGAAACTATTGTTTTCCTTCATTCGGAGTTTTGATAATTATTGTAATTATGATGGATAAAACTTGACCCTGCTTAAAAAGAGAATAAAAAATATATTAATATTTCAAAACTTTTTTTAGAACATCAGATGTCTTCTTCCCTTTAAAATGAATTACACTCTTGGATTTCAGTGCTTTTCACGATTATCCCACTACATAGCTGACGACGAAATTGTCTATATTTTTATTTAACCCTCTACTTGTCTAAAAAAATCCTTTAAGGCTAAGAACTCACGGAGCGATTTTGAACCGTACCCGCCGCGGTAGCGGAACTGCGGTTTTATTTCCAAACTCACGAGACCGGTTATTTGCGCGGTTACACAGCCGCCGCGGTTGCGATCATCGCCCGCAAACGTGGCGGGCGATGATCGCAAGATTGCAAGACGGGCGGTTAATGATCAGTTGAGGTCCAGACCGCCATGGACACACACCAGAAACAAGCCGTTGCGTTATATTTACTTCACAGAAGACCCGCCGGCCCCCGCTGTTGCTCGCCAACCGATCGCAAAGCGCGCGGGTGCCACCCGCCGAGGCTGCGGGTAACCGCGACCCGCGCGATTCTACTAGTTGCCCGCCGGTACAGCGGGAGCCGCATACAACCGCGTACACCGCGGGCGTAAAACGCGTCGTGAAATGTGCTTTAATTTTTTATATAAATATTTGAATTCTACAGAAGCTGCGGGCCCGCAATCGCAGCGGACGCGGGCGAAAATCGCTCTGTGAGTTCTTAGCCTAACCTGACAATAACGAAAACAACCAAAAAAAGGATTGTCAAAATTGGTTAGGTACCTATGCCGTTTTGAGTTGTGTTTATTTTTGCGATTTATTTATATTTATTTTTTTCAATGGCAGTAAAATAATCGAAACTTGACAGATGTCACGTGACATTACCAAGTAACTTGACAGTTGACATACCTAACCTTAACACATATTTTATGTACGTATGACGAACGAAATGATGATTATAATTTTTTAAAGAAAGATCTTCTTTCATCATATTAAGCTATTTTTCACGAATTTAAATCGAAATAAGCCATATTCAGGCATGACGCCGGAACCATATATTGTTGATTTAGATCCAGACACCAAAACAACCTTAAAAATGTATCTAATCGAAAATGTACGGAATTCAGAAGTAATAAGGAATAATATTATCCACGGCGTTTGGAAATGTGCAGCCATTAAGCCAGAATTAATTATTGAGCCTTTTCAAGTAGCAGTAGCAGCAAACAAAGCTGTCTTATCTGAGAAATATAATACAATGGTTACAAGAACAGTTTTCTCTGAGATATTGTATAATTTATCAATCACAAAAAATATCACCCAGAGTTTGAGCCGATTTGGTATAGAAAAGGACACCAATTTGTTATTATGCTTTTTGGTTACTGAAGATTCAGATACCAGCTCTGAGATTTTATTGCAAATTGAAGGTGAATTTATACCCATGAATGATTTAAAAAGGTTTACATCAGCAAAGAATCTAAATAATCAGTATAAATTGAATACTTTGGAGAAAAGTCAAGAGTTAGCTGATATTATTATCAGTAGAATGGTAACTAAAAGTTTTGTAACACATTAAATGTACTTGAATTACAAGTGTTTGTTTTAATCAACCAGTGTTCTCTGTGCAGGTTTATTGTTAATATTACTTAGCTATATTGTATACAGCATTGAGCTAGGTGAGAGACTAATTCACATTTAAAACTAATCCGCCCCTAAGGCTACCCACTGACCCCTACTTTGTGCAAAAGTACCCCCTAGCCAAAATCTTGGTTATACACTTGCCTAATAAATCATATTACAGTACAATCTGCTATATAGCTGTTAATTTGTATCTAATGGCAAAATTAGTTTTTGTGCAGGTTCTAAGTCCCTACGACAACCACATAGTTTTTAGCTCTTCTATACATATCCATCGTCATATAATGACTAAAATCCAGAAACTGAAAAGTTGCAATACTGAGTGTCATAAGATGCATCTACCCAGCGGGTTTTGTTTTGCGGCCCTTGATCACAAGAGGTTTGCTCCTTAGCGATTTGGTAGCCGGCCCCTCACTTATTGACGGATTTGTAACGAAAATTGGCATGTTGCTCAAACCGCGTCTATAGTTGGCTGGAGTTCTGCTAGTTCGGTAAACGCCCTGCACTACACTGTTCACATGAGGTGTCTAGTACACGGGCTGAACATATTGTGGCTAACCAACCATGTACCCGACTGCCAAAAGTTGTTGTTTCCTGGTACAGCCTCATGTCTTTAAGGCCTTTGGATTCGTCTCAATAGCGTGAGATATTTGATGTAAAAAAGAAAAAAAAAAGGGTTAAAAGATGTTATACTCCAAAACTAAATAAAATTTTAAATAGGCGCAGGTGTAGACTAGTGCAAAATATGGAAATTAATGAACAATAACAAGGGATTACATTGAGCTGTCTTGTATATAACGGTAGTAGACTATAAAATTTACCATCCTGCAATTAACAGATAAATCTAAAACACGTAGAAAAAATATGTGGTTCAAGAGTCTAACTGTGAATAAGATTCCAGATGAAGCCCAGTAGTTTAGAGCGATTTACAATCAGGCCTTTTCATGTTCCCAGGGAAGGCAATATCAAATACCTATTTAGAATAATAAAAGGTACGTAAAAAACAAAAATGCAGTTTTCCGTCTAAATTCTGTGATACATTACTGAGACGGCGCCTGTAGTGTCGTTTCATACATCTGTCAGCACGTAAATAATATTCCGCAAAACATCCAGGATAAAATATTGAAACACTCAAATTTGAATAATATTTATTTTAACAACAACAATTATTATTATGTAAAATGTACATTAAATTACATAGTTAATATGTAAAAGCATAATCGATCACTTTATAGACAAAATGCAATAATATAATCAACAACCGATTGGCAACGTGTGTGTGTGTGTTTGTTCATCATATTGACAATGTTGAGGTTTGGTCACAACTGGTGACGATTGCTTACAATTACTATACTTTTCTATGGCCACACATTTCATAAGTGAATTCTGATTAACTTATTTCCAATATTAACAAAGTTTGTTCAATGAAAATAAACATAATAATTTACAAAATATTCATCATTACATCAGGTAAATGCTCATTATATCACTTAAACGCTATAGCTACCGGCACCTCTCACTTCATTGCGGCAATACATATTTATATTTATGGTTCCAGTTACGAGTTAATTACACTTGGCCATATCATTATTTGTATTTAAATCTAAACCACAAATAAATTCTAAAACTTATTACGTAGAGAACAAAACCCTATTCATTTTACAAAATGGCAGCTAGTCATTATTGAGTCTTAGGAACTTTTTGTAAATCACAAAGACAAATAATGTGACGAAAGGAAAATACAACATGTATAGAGTTGTTAGACAAGCAGCTTACTCGTACAGACGGCCCGGCGCTGCAGCGACCCCAGCGCCACCTACCTATGCTATATATACACCGGCACTGCGCCCCGCTCCGCGCCGCACTGCCCAGTAGAACACTTCTCGGTTCCTTCAAATTAGTTTTAATATATGTTCAATTCTCGCCAGAAATGATGGCAATATTTTGGGGTAAGTTTGTGCATTGATATTAGAATTCCTCTTGTGTTTTAGACTCGAAATAATAATTTGTGGATCAGTCAACGAGTTACTTTGTGAGGGGGTCGAAGTTACAACATGTTACGAGATTAGATAGCAGTTGCAAACGGCGCGACTCGGCTAGGTGTGTAGGTGGGTACCTGCGTCAGTGGAAGGGCAGCGCCAGGCTGTACAGCGAGGGTCACCGCCGCGCCTCCGCCACGTACACCGACACCGTGGAGTCCTTCGAGCCCACGCCCAGCGCGCAGCGCAGCGGGTGGAAGGCCAGGCACGACACGGGCCCGATGCGCGCGCCCATGAAGCCCTCGTGGAACTTGATCGTGTTCAGCGGCGTGCCCTTCAGGTCGTAGATGCTGATGCTCTGGTTGACGGAGCCGCTGGAAAGAAGGAGCCGTGAGTAGCGCGGAGCGCGGGCGCCGAGACAAGGCGGAACAGGGCGGGGCACACGTACCAGGCCACCAGGTCGCAGAGCGGGTGCACGTCGATGGCGGCGAGCGGCGCGGGCGCGCGGACGCTGTGCAGCGGCGCCATGGTGCGCGTGTCGATGAGGCGCAGCTCGCCGTCGCTGGCGCCGGTGAGCAGCAGCGCGCGGTCGGCGCGGTGCGCGGCGGCCAGCACGGGCGCGGCGTGCGGCGCCAGGCGCCACACGGGGGCGCGCGCGCCGCGCCCGTCCCAGGCGCGCACGCTGCCGTCGCCGAAGCCGGCCAGCAGCAGGTCGTCGGCGCGCCACAGCGCCGTGGCGGCGGCCTCGCTGTCGGTGGGGATGTCGGCCTGCAGCAGCTCGGCCTCGGCGTCCCACAGGCGCAGCCGCGCCGAGCGGCCGGCCAGCGCCAGCGAGCGGCGCGCGCCGCACCAGCGCAGCAGCGTGCCGGGCGGCGCGGGGTACGCCGCGCCCACTGACACCACACACACTCACTCAGTGCGACACTCTCCATACATTGCCTACTTTATTATTTACAAACTTGTTCCATAGCTGCAAAGCTTCTTCTTATGTGCTACCATGGTTAATGAGGCGACAACATGTCGAACCACGAACGCTGCTGGCGGATGGCTACACTACCGGATGGTCGGATTCGGCTGAAGTAATACTACGGCATTACATAAGACCGTACAGTACCCCTACCATGAGATGTCATCGAAAAAATACTCGCTAGCGTACTAACGTAGATCGATTTTGAATCGTGTATTTCGATAAAGCTTGCACCATGAGATTTACGAATTCTTGCGCAGACGCTAAGGTAAGCTCGACAGATCGTGTCGTGTAGGTAACTTAACTACTGAAAATGTAGGTAGTGTTCTAGTGTTACTGCCATGTTTTCAATATCACAACAAACCAACTAAAAGTCTCTCTTACAGACATATTTTTGGCTTTATAATTACACTCAAAAATGTATATAACTTTCACGTAAACATATGATTGACTCGTCAAAAGCTAGAGTTGTATTCGGGTTTTAACCTATCGAAATGTATTACACTCGTGGTACAAATTTATTTTTTCCTGTGATCGCTAGTGGCTCTGTTTTTGTTAATTACATACATACAAATAATTAACGGAGTCGCTAGCGAGGTTCGGTTGCGTAAACTCATGACAGTGGTACAGTGTGAAACATCAGTGAGGTTGTGTGAGTGAGCGAGGTTACCGGCGGCCCAAGCCCTGTATATCAGATGATGTTTCTGCCTGTATATCGACCATAGCTGGGCATAACTGGTTAATTCGTTGATCGTTACGTTTTGACGCGTAAAAGTGCCGTTTTCTGGCCTATTTGCAGAAATAAATTCATTGTTTCATTGTTAATTAACGAAGTTAACATTTCGAGTATCGGATTAACTTATAAGTTAACTTCAAAATAATTAAACGGACTCGTTAACTTCCGTAAAATTTCCTTAAGTCCGTTAATCGTTAATCTAGCATAGGTACACGTTCTGACATGAACGTCTGCGTGACGATGATTTTTTCAACTCTGTCACTCAGTTTAAAAAAAAACCAAAGAGCCAAAAATCTTTAAAGGGCAAAGCTCAAAGTCTCGTCAAAATGTGGCTAGATATGAAGTCGAAAGACTTCATATCGATTCCTCGGGGAACAGATATTAGTAAATCTGTTTAAATATAACACTGCTATACCCTCAAGCGCTGTAGTTGAACGTCTTTTCTCCGCGGGCAAGGATATTCTAAAGCCGAAACGAGCCTCGCTTTCTGATGAGAACTTCAACATATTAATATTCATGAAGGGGAATATTTACGTTATGCCAGATTGTAAGTGTGTAGCAACTAGTATTTTAGATAAAATTCAAAATTTAATAATCCAAATGAATGAAAAAAAAACATTGTTTTTCAACATTCCTATATTACACTCTAATTTGATTATATTCGTTTTTTTATTTCTTACCTGTATACTTCCAGAACCAAAAGTTATCACGTGTTAACGATTTAACGATTAAAGTTAACTTGCGTAAAATCTTCTAAAAAGTAACGCTTTAACTTTTCAGTAACGGATTAGTAGTTAACGAAGTTAATTATTTGTTTATTGATGGGCAGCTATGATACCGATATATCCCATAAAGACTCACGGCTGGCGTCCTGCTTGGTCCGGTTGCTGGCCTGGCGGTCCTCGGACGACGCAAACTGCTCCGACACCAGCTGCGCCAGACCTGCGCGCCAAAGACGACGTTAGTAGCGGCAGTAGCGGCAGCAGCGGCAGTAGTGGCAGGAGAGAGGCGAGCGCGTACTGTAGACGGCCTGCGCGGGCGGCGGGCGGTAGTCGGCGGCGGCGGGCGCGGCGCTGGTGTCGAGCGCGCGCCAGGCGGCCAGCAGCGCGGGCTGCGCGGCGCCGGCGACGGGCCGGTACACGGCCAGCTGGCCCGTGTGGCCCGCCACGGCCAGCAGCGCGTGCGCGTGCGCGTTGAGGTAGGCCAGCGCCGTGATGCGGCCCCAGGCGGGCTGCCACGCGCCCACGCACAGCTTGGCGGCCGTGCCCCAGTCCCACACGCCGAAGTTGTGCCGGAACGCCACGGCCGCGTGCTGCTCGAACGGGTGGAACTGCAGCACGCCGGCCGGCAGCGGGCAGCGCGAGTGGAACGCCGCCGTCTCCAGACGAGACACGCGCGCGCCGCGGAGCCCTGCCAATCAATATTCAGCTTTACAAATGTCCCTTGTTTTACAATGTTATATTACGCCCAGCAAGCCTTCATTTCAAACTCTTTAGTGTTGTGGAGGGGTAAAACTTGTAAGTTTGTGTTTTAACACATAAACTACCACATTTTAAATCAGAGTTCATACAGAAATAGACTACAGCCTATAGAAAGAATCGCGTTTGAGGCAAAACATGGACTTTGGCTGCAGGAGACCATTACAATACCGGTGGTGACGTCATCTTTACCTGAGAATAGTGACGAGAACAGCAGAAGTACTCGGGGTCAACCGTCAAAATGTTTCTCGAAATCGAGTAATAGAACTAAACGTAGAAAAACTATGGAGATTCGAAAGCAGCTGGCTGCCAGCGAATTAACTTATGCCACGCAAATGAGCTTGCAAGCTTCCGGAAATGTAGTCGCTTCGAATATTTTGAAGGACATTACAAAATCGCCAACAAGGGCGTTAAAGTTTCGGAAAATGGCAAGTTAGACCTCATGAGGATAAAAAAATTGTAGCAGAAACCAAGAAAATAATACAGCAGAAATTCAAAGACGTGATGGGGCTCTTGATTGATATACCGAAAGCAGCTCGCAGTTTTTTTGCGGATACAAAATTATCAAGTGAGTTAACCGGGGTGGATGAAACATTAATATACCGATTCAAGGTAATTTTGGACCGGACATGAGATTGATTTCGCTAAATTTGAGAGTTTTTAAACGGCTCAGTTATATGTCAGACTGTACAACTGGCACCCGATGACACCAACAATGCACAAAATTTTAGTGCATGGTGCGGAGATGATTTCTCATGCGTTGTTACCAATCGGACAACTTTGAGAAGAAGCAGCAGAAGCCCGAAACAAACATTTTCGGTCCTATCGGCTAGGATTTGCAAGCAAATTTTCACGGGAACATTGCAATATAGAAAAAATATCAAAAGATATTATTGTATATTTTAGTATCAAATACCACTTTGTGCGCTGGTCGATTTCCAAAATTCTTTCATTGATTGATAACTACAATGTTCCTCAGTGCTATAAACTTTAAAATATATGGATTTGGGTAGTTTAGTGGAACTATCGCTTTAAATGCTGCTGTATTAAAAATACTGTGATTCATTACTTTTATACGCGTGTGAAGCCGCGGGCGGAAACTAATTTGAGACGAGAGGCAGTGTTACCCCGGCGGGCGCCGCGGTGCAATGTTAGGCTTCCGCTATACCCTATCCCGACATCATACAATGGTATCATTAGTAGGGTATCTGCTAAAATAAAAGATCCGCCTATTCAACGATTCACTATTCTGGAACTAGAATGACGTTGTTTCATTTTCCTACTTAGTCAGAATGGTAGCGGCCGTATGAGGGCGGCCACGTGGGCGGTGACATCGGTACCTTCAGCGTGCGCCCGCAGGCGGCGGTTGCGCGCGGCCCGCCAGGCGCGCTCGTGGTAGGCGCGGCTCTCCACGTCGCTGTCCGCGCCCTCCGCGCCCTCCTCGGCGCGCGCGAACTCCGCCGCCGCCCACTCCACGAACTGCGTCGTCACTATCGCCTTCTTCACGGGCTGGCTGGACGTCGACGACGTGGAGTCCCTGTCGCGCGCCGCGCCCTCCTCGGACGCCGCCTGCGGCAGGCGCGCGGCGCGGCGGGGCGCGGCCGCGGGCGACGCGGGGGCGGGGCCGGGCGCGCCGCCCCGCCCGCCCGGCGACGCGGGCAGCGACGCCGGCTCGCGCCGCGCCAGCTCCAGCTCGCGCCCCACGTTGTCCACCTGCGCATCGCCCATATTCTACACATTGATATGAACTCCTGGACACCACCGACCGTATTTATATATTTTAATTTTTTGACAATGGAGCGCGTGTATGAACGTGGGATTGAAAATGATCGTTTGGACGGATATTTGCGTCAAGTATTACCTGATTGGCAATGTAGTTAATAATTTCGTTGGCCATCTGCGAAACCTGCGGGTGTGGCTCGCGCGACATCATGGTCAGGATGTTCCATAGCTTCATGTACACCGAACCGAACCCTGGCGGATAGAGTTGCCTCAGTAGAGGATCACACGTGGCAGGTGGAGAGCGGGAGGTAGAGGTGGGAGGCAGTTACCGATGGAGGGCAGCGCGAGCGCGGCTGCGTGGCGCGCCAGCGCGTGGTGGTGGTGGGCGGCGCGCGTGTCGGACAGCGCGTCCCAGCCCTGGTCGACCCGGCCGCCGCGCCCCGCCTCCCTGCGACACGCGCTCGTCACTGGCCGCCCCGGCCGGCCGCGCCCGGCCCCGCCCCGGGGCGGCGCATACTCACCTGTCACTCTTGCGCACCCTCTCCTGGATGTAGACGGCGATAAAGTGCTGCTCGAATATCAACACCATCCACTGTATGGCTGCAACACAATGACACCGCTGTAGTGACGCGGGCCTGCAGGCGCGGGTAGGGAACGTGGGAGGGGCAGGTACCGGCGAGTATCTCGTGGCGCACGAGCGGCGAGGCGTCGCAGGGCAGGCGCGCGGCGAGCTGCACGCCGACCTGCTGGTCGAGCGCGTTGGCGTGCTCGGAGCGCGCGGCGCCGGCGGCCACGAAGCTGCCGAGCGCGAAGGCGCAGGCGGCGCGCAGCTCGGGCTGGGGCCGCGCCAGCAGCGGGAACAGCTTCTCGTGGGCCAGGTCGCGCACGCCGGCCCAGCGCGCCGCGTCGAAGCCGCGCCACAGCCGGCCCAGGCACACGCACGCCCACTGCGCCAGCCGCGCCGACCCGTCGTTCAGCTGCTCCAGGCAGATGGAGATCATGGAGCCCTGCGACACCACCCGCATCACTTGTTTGCCCGACTGTCGCGTCAACCAGAACTACTAACATCATCTAGTCATCATCATGCGGACCACTGCTAGACAACGGCCTCTCCATATTCCCAGCCAGTGTTGGTGTGTAAATTGTCATTATACATCAGTCTGTTAAGATACTTTTTTGAAGTTTTAATTGATGTGTAAAATGTTATTTTAAATATAAGCCTTAAAAAATCTATCAAATCAGAGATAGTAGTGCCTAGATTGGTTTTGTTGAAAACTCAAGAAGGCACTCAGTGAGCATCCGTTACACTACTTGCCTAATGTATCTGGATTGCAAACCCCGAGCTGTGGATCCATCGGCGGATGCTCCTACTCAATTGCTTGTTAGCTAGATAACGCCGGTAATATCTATTCGCCTTCTTTGAGAAGACATCAACATAAACCCCACCGGCCTTATTATAAAACAAGGTTTTACTTTAGTCTAGGACTAAACCATTGAGCCAGTTTTCGTATTTCGAATTGAAGGTAGATGACAATAAGATTCAAAATTCAAAACCCGACTCAATGGTTTAAACCTGGACTAAAGATAAACCTTGTTTTGTAATAAGGGGGCACATGTTTATCTATACTAATATTATAAAGAGGTATTTTTTTTTAAGTTTGTATGTTTGTAAGTTTGTTTATAGGGGGTATCTTTGGAATCGCTGGTCGGATTGCCAAAATTCTTTCAGTGATAGATAGCTACATTATTTCTGAGTGCTATAGGCTATAAAACATCACGCTGCGATCAAATGGAGCCGAACAGCGGGTAAAATCGCGCTAGAGTAGCTAGTTGTTATACATAACAAACAATGTAAAATTCTTATGAATATCTAATAAACAATAATTGGAGATTGCCTAGAATTGGAAAAGGTGCGTTAAGTTTGTGACTGACCTGCAAGGCGGCCTCCTGTCCGGCGGGGTAGTTGTCGACGATGCCGGCCAGCACGTACGCCGCCAGCGTCCTGTGCTCGCTCTGTGGGGGACCGCGCTACTTACTACCATTGCACTGGGGCGCGGCCGTGCCAATACACACGCCGCGCGCCGGCAACAAGTGCTTCGTGTAAACATTTACATTACATATACTATACACTGTATGGCCAATAATCAAGCTGTTCACATAAGTATCGACATCTTTAGACGGTTCATTCGATAGCGCGATCAAAAAGTTATGTAAATAGTTTAAATAGTTGACAACAACTGAGTAATATATTCGGAGTTGTTATAAATAAAAATGAAACAAAAATTTTGCAGCTATTATATTGTTGGGTTTAGAATCGTTGTCCCGCGGTAACGACGTACGAGCACGCACATTCGCGCACTACCGGTCTGTGAGGACACAGGGCGGCGCGCCGGATCAAGTCATAAACTGACTTTGATAGCTGTGTCGTATAGTGCGGCTCGGAGTGTCGGCAATATTCATGGAACTAGATGTATCTAAGACAAGTGGCATCATAGGTAATACGGAATGTAGACTCACGTCAACTGATGGATCTTGCAGGACGGACAGAAAGTACTTGTGTCCTTTAGCATTGACCAGGTCCACTTGGCAGCTCTGTAACAACACGCCGGTAGAGAGACTGGCTTGTACACGATACCTATACTAGTCGCATGACCTCTGTCGGTTAGTTAAGTATCAGAATGCACAGAATGCAGTGGCAAACAGGCCGAGTGCAACAATATGAAAGTAATACAAAGGCATGTTAAATAGGGAATCGAAAAGCGCATAGTTACAGGGTCGACGGCAATGATCTTGGCCCAGATGTAGACCATGGAGGGGCGCAGGTCGGGCGCGGAGGCCTGCAGCAGCTTGAGCATGTAGGGGAAGATGCCGACGTTGAGCACGGCGCGCGCCGCCCAGGCGCCCAGCGCCAGGAAGCGGCACAGCAGGCGCAGCGCGCGCACGCGGTGCAGCGTGCTCAGCAGCACCTGCAGCACCATGGGCAGCTGCGCCGGCGCCGCGCGGTCCGCGCGCCCTGCGGACACACTCACTGCAGCCGCCGCGCCGGCCGGGGGGCCCAGCCTGCGCCCGCGCTGCTTACATTTGCCCAGGTCCAGCCACACCTGGAAGGCCGTGAGCTGGTCGCGGAAGAAGGGCGAGTGCGTGTACTCGGCGGGCTCGGGCCCGTGCAGGCGCGGCAGCTGCGCCAGCGCCAGGTCCAGCGTGTGCTCCCAGGCCGCCCACAGCGGGTGCGCCGCCAGCGACGGCAGCGCGGGCGACGACACGGGCGTGCAGTTGTACGAGCGCAGGATGCGGTCCGCCAGCAGGAAGTTGCGGCACAGCGACGCCGTCAGCAGGTCCGCGCGGAACAGCTGCTGGAACAGCTCCGGCGACAGCGAGCTCCACGCGATCGTGTCCGTGATGGCCGTGAAGATCCAGTTGAGCTCGCCCAGCATGGTGCGCCGGTCCGTCACCTGGCCCGGGATCCTGGGGGGGACACTGCGTTAGAGGGGAGCGAGGCGCTGCGCTACGCCGGACTAGGCAGGCCAGTACTTGTCGATGAGGTCGTGCACGTCGGGCGGCGCGACGCGCGTGCGCTCCCGCAGCACGAACCACTTCATGGCCATCTTGACGGGAGTGGTGAGGCACGCCGTGAACAGGTCGGCCGGCAGCTCGGGGTTCATGGGCAGCGACTGCCCCGCCGCACACGCTGCCAGCTGGATGCAGTTCTTGTAGGACACGGGCGGCGGCAGAGTGGTGCCCTCCTCCTTGGAGTTCAATTGCGCCTGTCCAACAGACGTACATTGAGAACGAGCGCCGACGCACACTGCGGCGGGGGTCGAGCTGTCGCGCCCGCTTACCTCGTACTCGCGCTCGTGCTGCTCCGCGAACTGCTTGAAGTTGTCGACGATGACGCCGGCGTTGGAGCAGTCGTACACGTACAGCGAGGGCGCCCCCATCCACGTCTGCAGGTCGTACATCGACAGGGGGATGTACTGCGTGTACGCCTGCTCCGAATAGACAGTTATAAAAACAGTTTGGAAAATAGTGTAAAACCAGTATTTCAAGTAGGGTTACCCTGTTGAACACCCATATCTCCCCCTGCGCGGTGGGCTTGGGCACGCCGTGGCCGTTGTAATGGAACAGCACTCGTTCATCCTTAGCGTTACGACGGAGAGAGCAACACAGCTTCTTCACCTACAAACAACACGTAGCGTACATTACATACCGCGTTCCACACGTACGCTACCTGACATGCAGACTACATCCTCGCATGTTTAGTATTATGTATCTATACAATACACTAGTTTCCAACTAGTCAAATTTAAAACTTTCATTCAAATGTCAAAAACTATACTTTTCTATGTTTGTATGAAACACCAACATAAAAAACTCCGAAAATAACGAAAATTTAGTGTATCGACAGGTCAATGAATAAAAATATAATTATTCTATCTTATTCTATATAATAATATCTTATTATTTTCAAAAGTCGAATTAATTTATTTTGCCCTAGGAAACTATCTAATTGATGACTGCATCGTCGGTCAAGAAGTCGCAACCAAGTACAATAATTGTACTTGGTTGCGGAATTATTCTGGAGTTTGACTGGTGTTGTTCCTTATATGTATACTGTGACGCGTACACGGTACACATTATTGTATAATGTATAATTGCTATGGTACCTGTAACACAGGTCCTACAAGAGCGACAGAATGAGCTGTGTCGAGTGAAGTGTGAGCGGCGCGGCCATGTTCAAGGATGAGCTCATACGCTGAAGGTCGGCGGACACGCCCGCAACTAATTATTATCTTAATTTACGCTCGCCAGCCGGCCGACACCCTAATGTTTATGGGTTGACACTGTTTAAATACATAGTCTGCTGAGTTACATTTCTATGAATATGTACCTACATTACAAGTTCACTGACACAGTTCTTTACAAACTGGCACGCTATATTGCAGAAGTTTACCTATGGTGACTTAAGTAAATAAAAATGGACAGTTTGGTTTAGACAAGTAGTCCATTCTCCGTAAGCCAGGCTAAACAGAGAGAGTAACCCTAGGAAGCTGAGTGTGTACCTCATCGCTGGTGGGGTCGAGGCTCTGCTTGTAGCGCGCGCGTGGCTGCCACCGCTCGTACTGCGACTGCAACGCGTGCCCGATGCTTTCCAGCGCCTTGCTGGCGGACAGCGACTGTGGGTCTGCACAGCGAACAATCAATTATTGCGCACCACGTCTGTACATACTGCCGCCTGTCTTCTTCATGCGGTGACAACTTTGCATATCTCCGATGAAAATATAAGCATTATATAAAATGTATCTCATTTTTATTCTGCTATGGTTATATATACATTTATGGTAGACTTCTATTACCTATCAATAAATGAATCGTTATTATTACTAAATTTAGTTTGATGTATAGGTATTAACGACAAAGTAACGCCTGGTTCTATCTGTACTTAATATTATAAAGAGGTAAAATTTGTAAGTTTGTATATTTGTAAGTTGTATGTAAGGGGTAATCTTTGGAACCACTGATTGGATTCCCAAAATTCTTTCACTTATTGATAGCTACAATGTTTCCGAGGGATATCGCGCTAGAATCAAATGGAGCCGAGCAGCGAGTAAAACCGCGCGGGAGTAGCTAGTATTATATAAATCCGATAATATGAAAAATACCATGCCACGATCATGTAAAGTATTCGAAGATAAGTCCTCACTTGCAAATATTGTATACTTACAGGTATACTTAAAGCCTTACTTGGATCTCGAGCCCGATATAAAGGTTATCATCACTTGAATACGTGCTTATAAATAATTTCACCAATGCGTTTATATGTAGATTACTTTACCCAAAGAATAGGCAAAGACGAGATTATTGCAATAGTCATGTCTTTGTGTATCCAATCACACGTTTTCATTAGTAAATCATAATTATTTTGAAACGGCCAAAAGGTTAAGGTCTTCACAATAATGAGACAGAGCGAGTTTCTGATATAAAACAAACTTACCTACTGTTTTTGCAAACATAAATGCTTATTATCACTTTGATAATCCCAAATCTGTACTGTATTGAATTTTTGTTGGCTGGAATATTTTATACCACAAGGTGAAAAACCTACATAGAGCCATCTGTCCTGAGAGGATGAAGAGGACTGCCCCGTGTGTCACGTGGGCGCGAGAGGCAATTTGAAAAAACTACACTAACTAGACTAATTGGAAAAAACCCCTATTCAACACGCAATGTTTTTAATGGATTCCTTATCGGATTTGTATTTAAATAACCCCATAAATCCTTCGTAATCAAACGTGGGATCAGAGCTTGGCATAACCTACCAGAAAACGTTATCACAGCAAAACAGACTTGGCAGATATTTGTCAAGTCTATTTCTGACAATAATATCTATAAATATATAGTGATAAAAAAGACCAAGCATAATTATATCAGTCCTCTCAATTGCTATATGCTTTATCTTATTTAGTAATATAATTATTTTTAGAGCATAAATAAGCACGAAAGAAACAGATGACAACCGCCGCGCCGTGTTGGATTGGCAGAAAAAATGTGCATTTCAGGGGGAAAAGAAGTGTATTACCAGCCTTTTAGGGGTAAGTTTGGTAGTAGTTTAGTAAGATTCAATAAGGGAATATACAATACAAGCACTTACTAGACTAACTGTCTTACATTGAGAATTATTCATATCCAATTCTGGTTTTGTCTTGAGACAGTGTAGATACCCAGATCGCGAGGCATTTAGAACCAAGGAAGATATTCTATGTTGTTTACCAAATAGTTTAGAGCAGACAGGAAGTGCTTCTAAACAATGTTTAACGAAATTGGTATACATTAGTGCCAGTTACTACAGATTTGTTATAAGTTCTTCAGTCATTGGTTTATCTATATGTAAGTAATTTGTAAGGTATTAAAATTAGTTGTTGATGAAAACCAATGTTATTTTGTTTATATGTAAGTATATTAAAGAAACAATGAATTAATTTTTGCAAATAGGCCATAAACAGCACTTCTACATGTCAAATATTATTAAATACATTATACATAATATACATCCCTAAAATAAAAAACAAATATGTTAGTCAACCAAGGCAAACATGTAGTTCTGTTATCAGGCAACATATTATTGAGGTCCTTATTGCATTTTTGAAATATCCCAGCAGTATGACTAATAAAAAAATGGGTATACAATGTGTACCTGCTTCCTCAATATTAATAGTGTGTCATTATGGACTCATATTAAATGTTATAATTTGTAAATAAAGTGATTACTTACCAATCCAGCATTCAAGCCTGGCACATGGCTGGGTTTTCACCACATCTGGGGGATCCACTCCCACATTGAGGCACAGCACCAAAGCCACGCAATGTGTCTTGTACTACACAAATAATTATAACAATCAAACTATTATATAACTTAAAGAAGAATTCAGTTTAGTTTTATGTCTATGTTTATTAATTCGATTTGAAATGTTAATACAATAATTCTCTCTGTAAATAATATACAAACAGGGGTATATAGATGTTGGATTATTTTTCTAGTATTTATTTACCTCTCTTCTGTATCTATTCACAAATAGTGAAAGGGATTCCACCATAATGCATATTATGTATAAATAAACTAATTTGGATGATTTTATTACTTTACCACTTTTTTATTAACCTGTGGTATGCCAGAATGCAACTCTTAGAAACAATAATAATTTCCTATTGTGTCAAATACCAACAGATGAGAGGTGAACAAATACCAACTACAATTTCATCTCCTTAGAGTATTTTTTTAGTAAGTTGTTGAAAACAAATTGAGTAATTATTGAATTGACATAGGCTGGCTGAATGTTAGCCTAGTGAATACCAGATTCAAAAATAAAACAATATTTTTTTGTCAATAACTTATCAGATCAGACACACAAACTTATCTGAATGAATAAGAATTAAGATGAGCATTAGCTGGTGTATTGGAAAAAAATTGTTTAGTCTATGTACAATATAGTTCTCACTGATTTGCCTTCATATAATAATCTATCACCTACATGTGCAACTAGCTGACTATTCATGCAGGTAAATGCAAATATAAACTGATACAATATAAATGTGACTGATTAAACTAAGTAGCAAACAGTATTTGTTGCAAATATAAATATGGACATAAACATGGTGTTACTTGATTAATTAGAGTTTAGATTCTTCCCACTCATAGTAGTTCATTTATATTCATCTATTTAGTAGTTCATTTATAATATCATCAGTAGATTATTATTGGATCAAGCCCAAACTATTTCCAAGGAGAAATCTTCTTGTCAGTCAACAATGTTGTTTATCAACAATCGTTCAATATATATTTATTTACATGGATGTAGATAATTAATAATTTAATGCGTTATGCAAGCTTCGTGCTTGTTGCATAAAAATATTTTTTAACGTTAGCACTCAACTCGCAATACTTGTCTACTTTCACAACAAAAACAAGTAGTATTTTTTTTGTAATGGTTGTATACGCTAAGCTAACAAAGCGTTCATTCAACGAACCATGTGCGTTTGTTGTCATCGTACTACGTTACTATCAGCTACGCATTAATGTTATACACAAGTTATCAATTGAAAGTCATCGTCTCACCTTTTCTTTGACTCTCCACGTGTGCTCCACACGTTCTGCGCCCTTTATGGGTTCAAGGTGTCTAGGTTTATCAAAACAGAGGGGTAAATCCCAATCGTCGACGTCTGAAGAAGTATCACTGTCGCCCTGACCACTGTTTTTCTCCTCATCTTTGACCGTAAGATAAGGAGGCATTTCTGTCATTTTCACACACCACTTTATCACAAAATTATCAAATAACACTGCTCAACGAATGCGAACACTAAAAGAAAACATTTTCAAAACCTCACAGAGTCATGTGCGCGTCCATTTTTCTACCACATGGGAATAAACAATAAATTTGTTTTCCATTTCACGCCAAACAATACATTTCTGTCTATTAAAATTATTAAATTTTTTACACTCATAACTTCTTAAACTTTTAGAATTACAATATTGATTAATGTTTACTTCAAAGATTTAAGGATAATTTATTCATTTAAAACTAGATATGCTGACTTCAACATTTAACTTTTGAATAAATTACGTGAGTGTAAAGGAGCGTTATTTAACTTCGTTCAAAATATTTTTTTATCAATCAGACATCAAAAAGTTGACGTAACTAAAACAATATCTTCTGTTTATATATAAAATTTCGTGTCACATGTTTGTCCGCGATGGACCGTGTGCATTTTGATCAAAGATAGGATAGCAAACATCTCAATTTATAGTCACATAGTCTTAGAGAGGGGAGATTGTGGAATCGGATGGAACGCAAATATCTGATTCCACAAACTTCAGGTCCCTTTCGCCATCCGATAGCTATAAATACTTGGGTATGTCAGAAGCGTTGGGCATCGATACTGCCGTCATGAAGCAAACGTTGCGGGAACGTTTCTTTGGTCGCCTGAGGAAAGTTCTAAACAGTCTTTTATCGGGTGGTAACAAGGTGCGTGCCTACAACGGTTGGGTCATGCCAGTACTGATGTACCTACTCCTTTGGCATACTCAAGTGGACTCAAACGGAATTAGATACCCTGGATAGAAAAGTCCGTTCATTGCTGACTGAGCATCGGATGCATCACCCACGATCATCGGTAATGAGACTGTACATTCCACGGAAATGTGGAGGAAGAGGCTTTTTAAATGCCAAAGCCCTCCACAACAGTGAAGTGTGCAGTCTCCGAAACTACTTCTTAAAAATGGAAGTGGGGATGCACCAAGATGTTGTCGCTGTGGACAAAGGACTTACTGCGCTCTCCTTAGCTATCGAGAATTGGAGAAAACCTGTAGTACTAAGCACTAAGGACCGTAAGGATGTATGGCAAAGCAAAGAGCTGCACGGACGCTACTATAGGGCTTTACATGGGCCAGAGGTAGACTTCTTAGCGTCCGTATCGTGGCTACGTTTCGGCAACTTATTTGGTGAAACAGAAGGTTTTGTCTGTGCAATTATGGACGAAGTTATGCTGACGAACAATTATCGAAAATATATTATAAAGGATGGTACGGCTGACATTTGTCGGGCATGTCATCGCCCAGGGGAATCCATCCGACATATAATTTCAGGTTGTTCTCACCTAGCTAATGGAGAGTACTTGCATAGACACAACCTCGTGGCCAGAATTATCCACCAGCAACTTGCTTTAAAATACAAACTTGTTGAATCTGAAGTGCCGTACTATAAGTATCTGCCTGACCCAGTTCTCGAGAATGGAGATGTCACACTGTATTGGGATCGAACTATCATCACTGATAGGACAATTGTAGCCAACAAACCTGACATTGTGATGATAGATCGATCCAGCCGACGCACAATGATAATTGATATAACAATCCCACATGACGAGAATCTTGTGAAAGCTGAAAAAGATAAAGCAAGTAAATATCTTGATTTAGCTCATGAGATTGTCGACATGTGGGATGTAGACTCAGCAATCATTGTGCCGATAGTCGTGTCTGCCAATGGTCTCATGGCTAAAAGCCTTGATAAACACCTAAGCAGGCTTACGTTAGATGGTTGGGTCAAGAATCTGATCCAGAAAGCTGTACTTCTAGACACGGCGCGCATTGTCCGGTGATTCCTTTATCTGGAACCCTGACCACCGGTTGCTTGGAACCCTCCCGTAACCGGTGGGATACTGCTTTTTAAATTTTTAAGTGTTTTTTTTTTGTTTTATGAAAATATTTAAAAATGTAAAAATCAAGTCATAAAATAAATAGTCACAATATTATTAACCTTAGCCACAGCAACAAAAATATTTATTTTTTATAAACACATACTAGGATTTTCTCCTGTGTCGTGGGTGCGTTTATTAACATACAAATTCACATAGGTACACATCACAACCAGACCCGGAACAACAATTTGTAGATCACACAAAGAGTTGTTCCGTGCGGGAATCGAACCCGCGACAATATTACTAGCAGACAATAATACTAGCGGCGAGTAAATTCTCTCGTCCAGGGTGAGGCGAGGGAGAGGGAGTGTCAGACTCTTACTGACTAAAAACCAGCCAGTTCTTTGCTTGATCCAGGCTGAGGCCTTTTACGCTTGACCTCTTGAGCCCTGAGACGCGAGCACGCTCCGCGGTGAATGAGGTTCTGGTCAGGCAGCTGAGACCCGAAAGGTTGCCGCTTCCTATCACTGCCACGGAGGACACGGTGATTCTTCTAATGAAGTTTCCATGCCCGGTATGTATCTGCGCTAGGTGGAAGGTAAATGGAGAACGCTATGAAATCTCTCTAGCAACTCCTAAAAGAGGGAACTTACCTCTGCTATAAGAGCGTGTCTGACTTATTACATGGCCTGGGTCAGGACGTGTGTGTAGTGTCTGTGTCATAGATGTATAAGAGTAGCAGACTAAACAAATTAAATTGCAAACCGATAGCATGATGACATAGTAATATACGAACTCGTAGCATTATGACTAGAAAAGTTTTTTCATGTTAATGATTAATCTTCGGAGGACGGCAATATAACAGCAGCAGATTTCCTGATAGTAAGTAATCGGCACCGCCCCGACGGACACTCGTAACACCAGAGACCTTACATTTGTTTGTGTTTTCATCATTTTGTTTGATCCTGAAATCCTGAAAGTACAAATAATCAAATCATATCAGAGAACCTATTTTATAGTATATCGTGCCATAAGTATTTAATATAAAATCGTCAAATATAATAGTTTCCAAAGAGTCTGTAACCACTACGTTTATAATGGTTTCTCCCGCCCTTGAGAGGAGAGAGGGAGTGTCAGACCCTTACTGAATTCGGTGTCCAGATGAGGCCTTGCGTCAGGTTGAAGGTGAGGACGCCGTGGCGTGGGTCTAGTCACTCGACTTCTCAAAGAGGGGTGTTACCGCTGCAATAACGGCAAGCCCGACCCTTTTTTGCCGGCATTTGGCCGCTAACGCACCTGCTGGTAAACGCTATGCGACCAACGATGGAGCATGCCTACTCATAAGCAACCTATTCACTCGGGCCTTGAAGACACCCAGGTTATATCCATCGGGGAACACAGACTCTGGCAAACAATTCCAGTTCTTAGTGGTTTGGATTATAAAACTGGAGGCAAACCGGTTTGTGCGTGTAGTGGGATATTCACCATAAAGCAATGACGTTTTGCCGATTGTCTGGTGGAAAGGACTGCGGCGAACCAAGCTGTGAAGCTCTCCCAAACATTTTCCGAAATGTTGATAAAAATAGGCTCGCAACTTTGCGCTTGTGTTCGAGGTTTTGAAGTCGGGACTCCACTAGCGCATCGTCGTTGTTGAGCCTCTTGGCACGTCTCAATGTGTTTTAGTTAGAGTGTCTAGTGGTTGGTGTTTAGCCGAGCCGTCCCATAGTAGGACTGAACTTGCGCTTGGTATAAGTTAAGAATGATGCTCCTACCTACCAGTTAGTTGTGCCTTTGACTCTATGTAGGAGCCAAAGTTAGGGATGGGCATCAGAGTTAAGCCAAGAAACTCAAGATGATCTGTCTACTATTAGATACCACTACTGAAAAGGCGAAGGAAAACATCGTCGATACCTGGTCTTATCACTTCTAATAATAAGTTTAAATCGATAATCTGCCTCGAGCAGCTGTGGTAATAAGTGCGCAAACCATCGACGTGGGAAGAGGCCGTTACTTAGCAAAAGGCACTTATAAACTGATGCTGATGAGGACTGCAATGTAATGTATTACGTAAGAAAAGATAAAACATTGTGCTTAGCAGCATTGGTATACATTTATTTATATATTATCTGAGTTTTTCTAATACAAGGAAAAATAAAAGCCACTTAATTGTAAGCACCAAACATTGATAAACATTACAAATAATAATGAGTTTGATTAACATAATTAAACAAATCGGTAACGGGAAAATGTTGTTTTCAAATAATGGTTATTATATTACACAGTACCTATCTAAGAGTTGAGCTTTGTTGATTCAGGTCACATTTTGACGGCACTGCACACCATACAAGTCTGGCACTGGTCTCCGTCGGGAAGGCACTCTTTGTGAAATGAATGCCTACAGTTGTACACCATCAAGTCTGAGGCATTGGACAGGTCCCTTATTATGATCCGGCCTTGGCACGCGCAGCACATGAAATCATCCGTAACAGATATCCCTCTCTGCTGGTTAATGATCAACTTTTGGTGCAGTTCGAAGTAGTTCCGCAGCGTGATCACCTTGCAAGCTTCCTGCACTGACAGCTGCAGATGGTAGTCGCACATCATCTTCGCGAGCGAATCCTTCAAGTCCTTTATCTCACATCCCGATTGAATGTTTTGTATCAACATTCGCGGGTCTACGTAATTACCTATTCTCTTAAGCAGTAGTGTCACGTACTCGGGCTTGTCTACTGTACGCTTGATGAGGTCCGTCCATAATTCTTTATCGTTATGTTCTTGGCAGAAATTGATAGCTTGATTTATGTCCTGTAACTGTTCAATAATTATTTGTAAAGCTTCTCGAGTATTTCCAATCCGTCCCAATAGAAACACCATTTCTGGATAAAATAAGTTAGTTTGGCATACGTCCAAAGCCTCTTGTATTGGATAATTATCACTGCATTTCAAGAATGGAAGTAGTTTGTCCCTTGCGTATTTAGCATAAAGCCTAACCAATTTACCGTGATATCTCCCATTTGGTTCAATTTTGCTGTAGGCGTCTAAGTATTTAAACAAGAGAAGGTCGTGGTTGGCCAGTTGCTTTTCCACTACTTCGACGGGGACTTTAGTTTTGTCGAGGAGCACAGCTGTGGCCTTGTCGGAGTCGAGTGTCATCAGCTCCAGTATCTTGTCGTGTATCACGTTGTACATGTTGTGTTTCGTGATCAGCGTGAACACGTCTTTATGCTGGAGCGTCAAATAGGTCGTCAGAGCTTTATCGTATTTCTTTTGGTAGCAATACAAAAGAGCCAAAGCTTCTAAATAAATATTTTTGTCGACCTCGGTATTAAGAAGATGTTCCAAAACTTCCTTTACAATAACGCCAGTCTTGTATAAACTGGGATTCCATTCTTGTACTAGTTTCAGAAATCCTTGTGAGTCCAATTTGAGATACTCATAAAATATTAATTCGTATATGTGTGAGCTTAATGCTTGTTCAGGAGTTTTGGGTACATATGCACTGATGACTCGTAACTGGTTAACTTCAGAAAACTTTAATATCTGCGTCTCCCACAAATTCTTGTCATTCTTGCATATCCTGGCACATAGAATAGCCGCCTCTTCGAACAAGTGCTCAGCCATCAAGTGGTCGAGGTACTGCACTCCGACTGTCACTACCGAGTGCTTTGCAGTCTTGCCACCGACTTCTTCGAGAACCGTGAGCGCCTTCTCGAATCGCCCTTGTTCTGTGAGCCATTTCACTCTGTCGTCGATGTCGTAGGGGCTTGCTACTACAATGTCTTTGGGAGAAACGATGAAGAATCTATTTTCCTCAATAAGCATTTCTAAATAGTAATCATTACAAGAATATTCCTCGTAGCCACGTATATTAAGGCTATCTGTTGATATTTCACAGAATTCACAGTCTTTATAATCAGCAACCGTGAGGACAGGTCTTTGTGCTTTACCTGTTTCAGGATCACACTCCTTGGGTACTCCTAGTAAGACCAACTGATCATCCAGAGGCCCCAAGCCACTGATGAAGTAGTCAGTTTGAAATGTGTACACTGGATCAACTAAGTATTCAGTGACATCTCGTGTTTGAAGTTCAATTTGGTTTCGTTTTCTTATTACACATATTCTAATGGTATCAACCCAACCAATCATGAGGGTTTTAGGAGCAGACCAGAGAAGGTTGCAGCGGTAATCTTCGATAGACCTGTTGGGGCTTTTTTCCCATTGAATGAGACCAAGTGAGCAGCGAGCAACAAGGTCATAAACTCGAACCCCCACCTCACTTGCCCATGCCACAAAGCGTTCATGCCATGACATGGCCTGCACGTAACCTTCACATTCGCACAACACAGTGCCACGAAGACGGTTCAAGAATGTTTTTTCGTATAATGTTAATTTGGTGTCACCTGTAACAGAAATACACTTTTTGAGCAATACACAAATACTTTTTCATAATGTTTCTCATGTCATGTCAATTATTATGGAATTAAGGTTTTAAAAAGTAGGTTCACATATTAATTTCATTGTACTTATTTAGTACAGGTTGCATTAGGACACAAATGAGCATGTAGCTAAAGAGGAAAATATTTTATTAATGCCAATTGTAAAGTGAATCGATAATGACAGTATTTTTAGTATAGTAGAATTGTTTATGAAACAATATGCCATTTCAAAAGATACCTACTAACACAGATAGAGAAAACAAGCAATTCAATTTTAATATTGAAATATTGTAACATACCAGTTAAAAACCTTCGACCTGAGCCAGATTTAAAATAAAAAGGATCCAGAGCTATGGATTTAATGACTCGGCCTAGGGTCAAGTTGTGAGTGTTATCATTGCTATACAAGCCGTACACCAGCACTTTTCCATCATCCGAGCAGCTAGCGATGTAGTCTCCATTCAGATCTACCGAGATTCTATTAACTGCTATTGCATGCGCCTGTAATTCTTTATTTTTTCCGTCTTGTGATATCGGCACCGTGTTTCCTTCGTGATCCAATAAATGTATCACTCCCCATTGTGTACCGAGACATATAAACTTTGTATGCACACAAATACAACTCACTGCATCTTTCAACAATATGTTTTGAACATCATTTGCAAGTCTATCGTATTTCAATTTGGGTTCCTCGTCTGGAGGTAGGCTGTCGCAACTTTCAAAATTTACGGCCATTACCAGCTTATCCTGAACAAGACCTTGTTAAACTTCTCACATAGATTTAGTCATAACTTAATGTCGATTTTTCTTGAGCGATTTATGATTTTATTGTTGAAAACATGATACAAGATGACATTACAGCGTAGTGGAGGAACAATTGATTTGGTCTGACGTTTGACATTTGACAATATGACTTTGACAATGTTTTTTTGGTAGGTTTTATTTATATTTATTGAAAATTTTACTAATAAGAAATTAATACTCTATGAACTACTATGTCATTTGTAGTGCACATGTAGCGTACAAAATTGAATTAGTGAATCTTGAGCTCAACTATTAGTGGCTAGATGGCTACAACATATATAAAGAAAATGTTCATTGGAGTCGATAAAATTTTATTCTATTAGAATATCGAAAATAAATCTTACAAGCACAAAATTCATTTTCCGATTTGTTACTAAACTTTAACTGTATCAAGCATAAAGACTAGACATCCAAATTTGAAAGACACGATTTTAATAAAACAAAGTACTTTTATAATACTAAAAAAGGCGCGAACATTGCGATTCATTTCAAAGAGTATGTAACCACTACTGATTCATTTTTTCAATAGAATTTATTAATCTGCCATTCATTCACCAATCTCTCGATTTGATGGTTTTGATTTTAGGTATAATGAATAGATGTAAAAGGTATCGTGCTAAGCCGATTAGTTACTACGAAAACCATTTATCTCCTTTTGGGAATAAAGTATTGTCAATAGTCAAAAAGCAATGGGGAAAAGGTAAGCTTTGGCACAAACCTACTCATTATTGTTTATAGGTCTAATAACTATACGATTACCTATGCTGTAAGTACTTAAATGCTGACTGTTTGATTTGGTAAGGTAAGTATTAGATGCTGGGTTCAATTAAGTAGTATTTTTTTCGATTTGTAATCGCGCGCGGTAGTTTGCGGTATATAGGCTCTATTCAAAGGTGAACGTGTTATTCATAAATAAAGTACCTACACCTCTATGTATTCTTTCGGGGACGAAGAGCCTTACGTTGTGATGTTACTGTCTTTGTTTGAGAAATGTTTTAATAACTACCTACCTTAATGTCGTGCCGAACATTATTGTGATTGACCCGCAACCCCGGCTGATCCCCACACCCCGGACTTCGGTGACGATGAAGCACTGTATGTCGGTGCCGTGTTTTACCAGGCCTGAAAGTTTCAGAAGCTTTTGCAAACTACAAACAAACTACTACAAATTACCTCTTTGTGTAGTGTAAATTTTAACATAAGTACTTATCTAGGTACTTTCTGTTGTCCATTTACTTGTCGTCTTTTGTAGGGGATATGGAAAACAAAACTGGAACACAACCTCAGCAACTCCCTACTCGACAGAATAAAATATTAGCGTAAGTACAGTTATCTACCAATGTAAGACGAACGACTGATTTTTCAATAGTCAGATACCTAAATGTTATCTGAGGAATAAAACTGTTGCTGTCACTGTCTTGTACAAACATACTGACGCGACAGCATCATAATTATTCCCCAGGTAACTTTTATCTAACCATTAAAAAATCAGCCCTAAGAGTCATTTTTTATTAGATATTTAATGGCTTACTCACGTGACTAGTTACAAGCCATGCTAGAGGCTCATATTCGTTAGCAGCATTGCGCTACACTTGTTTCAGTAAACGTCGCATTATTGCACGACTAAATATTGTCTAGTTTTTTATTTCCTTACACCAATGTTTGCAATTTTATTTTTTAGATGTTATTATCTGTTTTAGCTTACATGACGAGACAGTCGTGGATTTTCCGCAAACACAAGCAGGATTGCTTGGTGTATCTGCTCCTAGTGATAACACAAGTAAAAATTTGTTGGATATTAATTTGGAGTATGAAGCGGTTTCAGAAACGAATAACAATAAAAATGATTTCCTTCATCCGATCATTTCTAATAATGAGAACCTACTTCGTACCAATTCCGATAAGAATTCGTCTGATAAAACATTTGTTGAACCGAAAATAAACGAACTTGATATAAATTGGGATGATATGCTTAATTCCGAATTATTTGTAAAAATGTCCGCTGATGGCGACACAGATTGTAAAGAATTACATGAAAACTACAATATAATTGATAGGACTATTTCTGAAGAAAATGCCACCATCTCGTGTAGACCTAGTGGCGTTGAAAAAGAAAATAAACATAAAAATAAACGCAAAACTATAACAAGTAAAGTATCAGGTCCGAACGCAAAAGTACGCAAATCCAATAACAACGCTACGAAAAGTAATTCAAAGCTAATGGTTGAGATAAAACAAATGACCAAAAAAGATTTTCGCAAACAAAAATATACAAAGACTGTCAAAAATTGGCTTGATAATGTTGAATCCCCTCGCCTCGTTTGCGGAAACGTCGACAACAACTGCAGTAACGAAATGCCGGCCAAAGACAGTGTGCTGGATAACGTTGAACCAAATGCGCATCTGACCAAAACGTGTGACACTCCAGACAAAGAAATGGGTCCAGATAGAACACGGCCCGTAATGCAGAAAACGAAGAAAGTAGTTCAAGCTCAATTGGCAAATAAGGATGGCATCATGAGGTACAGTAAACCTAACATTACAGAGACAGGAGCTCGTAATGAATCCGTCACTAGACAAAGTACGTCCAAGGACACCTATGGAAATAAAAAAATAAAAAAGTTTGTTGCTCCCATTAAATCTCAAATTGTGGAAGATGTCAAGATGCAAGTTCACTCAGTAGATGAAGAGAATATTGCTAATTATAAGGACAACCTGCTACAGACGAAGGGTACAGAAATTGTTGCCGTATTGATTTATAGGTACCTACAGATAGTATATTCACGCTATATTGTTTTTATTTTTTACTAGCTTCACCCGCTGCTCAGCTTCATTTGACCGTAGGGTGATGTTTTGTACCCTAGGTATAGCACTCCGGCACATTGTAGCTATCTATCAGTGAAAGAATTTTGGCAATCCGACCAGAGCGGTTCCAAAGATTACCTCCTACATACAAACTTACAATGTTTACCTCTGTAAAACATTAGATAGACTTTTATTGTAAAGGAATTTGAAACAGAGATGCACATATCTAACTACATTTGATGTCACATAAGTACCTATTAGGTATAAAATCTACGCGAACTTGTGTTTTCCCGAATTTTGTAAAAAGAGGTTAACCCATTGCCATAAATATATCGGGAATAATTTCAGCCTCAATACTAATGTGAGACGTTTGAAAAACCGAAAAAGCCCTTTTTTTCCCGATCGTCAACAGTGTTGACGAAAGGGTGTTACCGAGCGGGAATAACCCTCATTCTTTATTCGACCGGGAATCGAATCAGACTTTCCTAGATCAACGAGGCAGACTTCTTCATCACGGTTTAAATTACTTTCATAATGTTTAGCACCATTCTGCGGTGGGATACTCGCGTTGTATCCCAGTAGTTAGTACCTACGTCAGTCGTCTGTCGTAGCTTGGTCGCGACAGTAACAAAGGTCACGAATTCATTACAATACGTAATGAATGTTTTGTGAGTGTACGTGAGCCGGTCGCCCACTTCGCCCACTAATCTAGTTCGTCGTTGCATATTGCAGCAATGGTTTCTGTCAGCTTAATAGTCATTACACTGGCGACGCGTGCTCTCCTAGCGGCGTCATCATCTGCCATAACGATATGTTCTACAGTTTCAAGACTCCTGGTCCGCGCCTCAAGTAAGTACCTACACGGCTACTACATTCCATGAAGGAACGGTCCCTATCTATCTCACACCTGCGTGTTGCTTGTTTCAGGGAGGGACTAGGTTACTTGCTCTCGAATAATGTGGTGGTGTGTTACGACGCTCGTAGTATTCTAATGTACCTCGGATCCTGCTTAGAGTTACACATTGGTACAATAGATATGCGCGATACAAAGGCAAGTCACTATATACCTACTTACTATAATATTTCCAGTCGCACATTCACCTGCAGGTAACATTCTTTACTATGCGAACAATGGTGGGTATACTTGCGACATCCCACTTACCGCGTGAGTGCAAGGTGGTGACACGGGCTGGCAGCTCGAGTCATCATCGGGTAAGTATTATTCCAGTTGGTTAACCCCATTTGCGATTCACATTCCAAAGTGTAGATTCCGATGGAGAAGAACGAGCAAGAAACTTCATGGGTATGGGTACTCTTTTTAAATCAGTGTTACATAAAGATTCTTTGATACATTATTTAGTTGGTTTGATTATGTGAGAACAGTGTAACGCTAATATACAGGGAACACAACAAAAAGAAAATAACTTTAAGGACAATAAACAGTGCGGAGCTGACCAGTCCCAATTGACGGCGCCCGTTCACGAACATGACACGTACACCAGCATCGCCCAACTCAACCATAATATAGGGAATCGAGCGATCCAGTGACCGTGCCTCGCGCCAATGTGACCTTTGAGTGAGCATGACAACTCCAACCTGACATAAGGACCGACATTCTGCTAGTCTAACTAATTGTAATAGTTATTATAAGTAATTCTAATAGGTCGTAATTAACCTACTTACCTACCTATATATTTTTTTTTTATTTCAAATCTACTTTCGTTTTAAATGATCCAAGATAAAACTGCTAGTGGCGCTATTGGTTTGATTAAAGATCGGCGCCTCATTACTGGACCCTGACAATCCTCCGGAGAACTTTTCAAGTGTACAAAGGCTGCTGGCGCCCTCCCCGACGTCGTCACCCGTTACACCAGGGGAGTGTGCGCTGCAAAGGGCGAGCTGGTACATGAGCCAACTGAAAGAGTGCTGGCTCAAACTATCGGACATGCTGAAAGAACATTCTCTATGGGAAGTCTTCATTGAAATTGAAATGAAAGTATTACCTATCATTACTGGTTAGTACCTAACGAAATATATTATAGGTATATAGGGTCCACTGGAATGTATACGGTAAACAAAAGTTTTAGATGTGTTTTCAATACTACGACTTGATCGATATATTATATACTAGCTACTCTCGCGCGGTTTCACCCGCTGCTTAGCTCCATTTGATCGTAGCGTGATGTTTTGTAGCCTATAGCACTCAGGAACATTGTAGCTATTTATCAGTAAAAGAATTTTGGCAATCTGACCAGCGGTTCCAAAGATTACCCCCTACATCTAAACTTACTTACCGCTTTATAATACTAGTATAGATATGATTATAACAATGACTGCACACAACATTAGGTTACTCGCCTCCACAATTGATGATATGTTTGACGGCTTCATCTAGTTTTTAACCGACTTCAAAAAAGGAAGAGGTTCTCAATTCGACGGGTATTTTTTTTTATGTATGTACACCGATTACTCAAAGACTCCGGGACCGATTTGCAAAATTTTTTTTTATTCGATAGTGTATACCTTCTTGCTATTTGGTTCCATTGTCATGAGGTCAGGATCTGATGATGGAATCCTGGAGAAACCTAGGGGAACTTTTGAAAATTGTAGGGGCGAGTAGTTTTTTTGTATGATGTTTAAGTAGGCCTTTAACAACACTACAACTTGACGAAGGTCGAAGTCGACCAGATGATGGAGCTGGAAGACAGTCGAGGGATCTCCTTGACTATTTGGAGTAGTTGCCTTGTGTTTGGGCTTGAATGATTCGTATTGGCGAGCACTTTGCACCAGGCTTGGTCGTAACTGTCATTAAGGGTCTTATGATGAGAACGGAAGACAGCTCAGGGAACTCCTGAACGGTTTACAGTAACTACTTCGTGTTTGAACTTAATTCATTTATATTGATGAAAGCTTTGTACCTGTATGGATTATAACAACTGAAGGTCTGCAGTTTACCTGATGATGGAGAACATTGACAGTCGAGGGAATTCCTCAACAATTCATAGCAGCTACCATGTGTTTGAGCTTAATTAATTCGTTTTGATAAGAACTTTACATCTAGATGGATTGTGTCTATCATTAGGGATCTGATGATGAAGACGAAGGACAGTCTAGGGAACTCCTTAACGGTTTAGAGTAGCTACCTCGTGTTTGGACTTAATTTATTTATATTGATAAGAACTTTCCCTCTCCCAGAGAGGTGGCCTGTGTCCCAGTAGTGGGAACATTAAAAAGGCTGGTGATGATGATGATGATGAGAACCATCCGATTTCTTGGGATCTATATTTTTTAATCGAGCGGCTCCTTTCGTAGGCCTACACATAGCTACTTAAAAAAATATATACTATTCAATATGTAAATTTATAGTATTTAAAATGTTACTGTAGTTTACAGAAGAACTTGTAACAGACACTAAAAAGTAAAAAATAAAAAAAAACTAGGTTTAAAAAAACCGACTTCAAAACAAAAAAGTTTCAAATAATTAAAATAGATATTTTAATACCACACTTACGCACGCGAAGCTAATACTTTTAATATTAATAATAAAACACTATCAATTCTATGTGCTACCTATTCATAGGTTTGAAGTCGGTGCCAAGCCCTAAACAGAATAAATCTAAATGAGAATTAAGATTGTTTAACCGCTAAAAGACGAAATTTCCACAACCAAGAACGAAGCTACCTCCTACTACTTTAACAACCAAAGTACGAGAACACTTTCAGAATTCATAATTCACCCAAATATCTTTCTAAGCTATATATAATTTCGCCGGTAACGAAACCATATACACTTCTGATTCTACGCTAACGCCATCAAGTTAGAAAATCGGTATTAAATTTCTTAAATCCTATCAAATAAATTCACACGCACCCGGCGAGTTTAGGTACTCATGTAAGTATCATGCTTATTATATTATGTATTAGGCTTGGCACCGACTTCAAACCTATGAATAGGTAGCACATAGAATTGATAGTGTTTTATTATTAATATTAAAAGTATTAGCTTTGCGTACGTAAGTGTGGTATTAAAATATCTATTTTAATTATTTGAAACTTTTTTGTTTTGAAGTCGGTTTTTTTAAACGTAGTTTTTTTCACATATAAATTGACGTGTAAAAATGCCGTTTTATGGCCTATTTGGAAAATAAATTCATTGTTTCATTGACTTTTATCAACAAGCACCGACTTCATAATTGATTATTCCTGTAGGATAGGCTAATGATTATAACGAGTAAATATTTTTTGCGCACGCAAGTGCATTCGTAAAGTAGTTTCATATTTTTTAAATTTTTGGTAAACGCTCTTCCCTTATATGGAGTTTGCCTATCAGTATCCATAAGCTCCCCTTGTGCTGGTATCAAACATACAAAAGCATACAACACTACGAATACGTTACTCGGACGGTGCAATGCGCAAATGCAAATGTAAGGACTTGAACCCCCAAGTTAGTATTGTCTCCGGGTACGCCTGATGCATTATATTGTAGATACGCAATATCGTACTCTACTCAGCTATGGAGCTTCGTGGCGTATGCGTCGACATGGAAACACTGAACTCGATGGAGCAAGCAGTCGCAGCTCGCCTGAAGGCGGTGGAGCAGCGGTGCTACAAGGCGGCCGGGAAGGTGTTCCAGATCAGCTCGCCGGCCCAGGTGCGCGCCCTGCTCTACGACGACCTGCAGCTGGACTACAGGTGCAACCTCAGCGTCAGGGGCACCGTGGCCAAAGGGGACAAGTCCACTAGTGAAGCTACGGTGAGCTGGTACCAGACACCCGCGGGGTCTCACGCGGCGCAGCTGTACCAGCCACTCACTGCACTTACAGCTGCGCAGTCTGGCGGCAGTGTCGCAGCACGAGCTGCCCAAGCTGGTATTGGAGTACCGGCACTTGCACAAGGCACACGCCACCTTCCTGGCCGGCATCGCGCACCACGTCCACAACGGAGTCGTCCGACCGACTTGGTGAGTCTGACCCAATTGCTTGATGCCTCTCTGTCACCTCTGAACACCATGTAAGACACTTTTGGACGTCAAACAGAATAATTTAATATCAAAGTCCTCTAGTGAAGCTATTTGCTCGTTCCAAAGTGTACATTCGTATGGAGAAGAATGAGCACGAAACACCCTGGTTAGGTACGGTTATTCAGTCGGTGTCGTCCATTTATGTGTCAACAACGCCAACCAACATTCCGCTAAGGCGACAGGAAACGAAAATAACCTCAAGGAAACCAATTTTCGGCGCCCATTCACGAGCATGACAAACACCAGCACCGCCTAACGCGACCATATTACTGACCGACCTGACTGACCGACTGCACGGTTGGTGCGGTGGCTGGGCAACTGGCTGCTGTGCAACGTGTCGCGGGTTCGATTCCCGCACGGAACAACCCTTTGTGTGATCTACAAATTGTTGTTCCGGGTCTGGGTGTCATGTGCATGTGAAATTGTATGTTTGTTACCGCACCCACGACACAGGAGAAAATCCTAGTGTGGGGCAAAGTTTACAAAAAAAAAAAATATTTGGTATTGGGAATTGAGCGATACAGTACATGTGCCACCGCCTATGAGACCTTTGAGTGAGCTGACAACTCCCAGCTGGCACAAGTTACAGGGCACTCACATGTACATACATGACATTGAAGTACAGCATCTGAGTAACAAGTTTGTAACCCTCTAAAATACCTTGACTAAAAAATTAGGTCGCCGTTCGGCCATATCAGCGACAAATCTAAAATATGATTTTGTTTCTAAAAAGTAACGATGCAGATCTATTTCAATTCATTTTCTTGTCCGTAACAATGAGAAAATAAAGTGCAACTAGGTCGCTTGACTTATTAACAGTTACCAATGTGTAACAGTGTTTGTAAATACTAACCTTTGACGAGAGTGTGTGGTGTAGGCTGCAGATGGCGGCGGCGACGGGGCGCATCGCGGCCAGCAGCCCCAACCTGCAGGCTATACCCAAAGCTCCCTACAGTCTCGTCCTGTTCCCCGACTCAGACGACGCCGATGGTAATATCTAACTGTTGATGTCTCGCAGGTCCGATGTCTGACTACTTACAGTATTCAACCAGAACCGCCTTTAACTAGGTACCTATTTCATTTCATTTTTTTTTACAACAAATAAACATTATTATTATTATTGTTCTTTCCTTTCACGGGACCACAGGGTCCCGGACCTTTGGAAGGCATACGCGGAGCCGAAGCCAACTCGCAGAGGCCCGTTGAACAATTTTAATCTAAATGTGATGGGACATCAGCCGGCAATTATCCCTGTAAGCACAATAAAAGTGCACCCAAGGACAATCCCTGGTTGATGCAGGACTATTGTAAAATGTGGTAACAATTGATAGGGTTATGGGTATGGGTTGCTATGCACTAGTGGATGAAAACTATGGAAATACTATGGCCCCTGCCCCTGACCAATATTGATACATACGGATAAACAGGCAGGGGGTGACTGGCAAACTCAATTAATGGGCCTCCGGAAACGGCCGCTAGCATGTAGCGACACGGGGGCAACATACGTTGAGCTGCTTGGGGAAGGAGAGGTATCCCACGGCTATCAGAGCAATCCCGGAAGTACGGTCAAGACCCCTACCAGCATCTTACTGAGATACATCCTTCCCCCGAGTCTCCTTCAGCTCCTACTCTTGCGAATCTCCACTCAAGCCAGCCAATTAAGGCAAGAATGAGGTGAGAGGGCTTGTTCCTCATCAGTGTTCACTCCAGCTAGTCACGAGGACTAACCGGAGAGAGAAGAACAAGACACCTCCCGGGAGTCAGGTCCGTGGGGTCGCCACTGCCCAACAGCTCGCCACAAGCTGCCTTGCGGATTTATTATTATATTATTATTTTGTATGTTCCTTTCCACTCACGGGACCACAGGGTCCCGGACTTTTGGAAGGCGTACGAGGGGCCGAAGCCAACTCGCAGAGGCCCTTTGAACAACTTTAATATAAGTGAAATGGGGCATCAGCCGGCAGTTATCCCTGTATGCACTATGAAAGTGCACCCAAGGACAATCCCCGGTTGATGGAGGACTATTGCGAAATGTGGTAAAAATTTATAAGGTTATGGGTATGAGTTGCTATGGACTAGTGGATGAAAACTATGAAAATACTATGGCCCCTGCCCCTGACCAATATTGATACATACGGATAAACAGGCAGGGGGTGACTGGCAAACTCAATTAATGGGCCCCCGGAAACGGCCACTAGCATGTAGCGACACGGGGGCAACATACGTTGAGCTGCTTGGGGAAGGAGAGGCATCCCACGGCTATCAGAGCAATCCCGGAAGTACGGTCAAGACCCCTACCAGCATCTTACTGAGATACATCCTTCCCCCGAGTCTCCTTCAACTCCTACTCTTGCGAATCTCCACTCAAGCCAGCCAATTAAGGCAAGAATGAGGTGAGAGGGCTTGTTCCTCATCAGTGTTCACTCCAGCTAGTCACGAGGACTAACCGGAGAGAGAAGAACAAGACACCTCCCGGGAGTCAGGTCCGTGGGGTCGCCACTGCCTTACAGCTCGCCACAAGCTGCCTTGCGGATTTATTATTATTTATTATTATTTTCGTCAAATTCGGCCAATAAAATGGGTAACGAAAATACGACAAAAAATGTGGTAACGGGCAGTTTGCGCATTGCAGCAGAGAGGGCGGCGCTGGCGCTGCGCGCGTGCTACGTGGCGCGCGCCGGGCGCCGCCTGCTGGCCGCCGACTTCCGCCACCTCGAGTGCCGCCTGCTCGCGCATCTCTCCGCCGACCGCGCGCTACTCCGCGCGCTGCGCGCCCCGCGCGACTTCTTCCGCGTGCTCGCCGCCGACTGGTACTGCTCGCGCGCCCCTAGCGATTTCATGTTATATTCAATATACACGTCTCCACTTATTTTCTGTCAATGAAGGCTGAAGAAGCCCGAGAGCGAAGTAGTCGCCGAGGAGAGGGAGCGGACGAAGCGATTAGTGTACGCGAGCCTGTACGGCGCCGGGCCGCGCAAGTTGATGGAGATACTGGGCGCCAGCTACCCGCGCGCGCTGCAGGTCGCCGCCAGCTTCCACAGTACGTGTCCCCCGAGCGCCGCGCGGCCCGGGCCTGGGGGAGACGGCCTGACGGCGCGTTGTGTGCAGGAACATTTCCGTCGCTGAAGTCGTTCGGCGACGCCGTGTGGCAGCGCTGCGTGGAGGCGCGCGGCCTCGTGCGCAGCCTGCGCGGCCGCCTGCGCCGCCTGCCCGCCGCCGCCGCGCGCGCGCCGCCCGCCGCCGCAGCGCAAGCGCGGCGCCAGGCCCTCAACTTCGTCGTGCAGGGTAATCCATTCTCATTCCGGTGTACGACGGAACTAGTCGCGTATAGAGTGCTGAACGCGCGGAGTGCGCAGGCTCGGCGGCCGACGTGTGCAAGATGGCCATGGTGCAGACGGCGCGCGCGCTGCGCGACGGCGCGGCGGAGCTGGTGCTGCAGGTGCACGACGAGCTGGTGTGGGACGTGGACGCGCGCCACCTGCAGGCCGCGGCAGGTACGACCGGCTGGCGGCCCGGCCGGCTGGCGGCCGACACTGACGCTCGCTTCCGCCGCAGGCAGCATCCAGCGGGCGATGGAGGACTGCGGGCGGGCGTGCGGCATGGCGATGGCGCTGCCCGTGGCGCTGCGCGTGGGCACGGACTGGGCGCACATGCAGCCCTACACCGTGTCACCTGCCACTCCGGAAGGTCAAGGGCTGTCTTCTAATCTCCTTTCTTAAGTTAATAAATACTTGTTTGTCGTTACATATGTTCAATATAATAAAAGAGCAACCAAACGTTTTATTTCAAATATAACAGCCAGTCTCGATGACCGCGGCAGGAGGTGATCTAATTTGATGTTGTCGCCTCGAAAATAATATCAATTTCCGTGCAGGCATAGACCTGATTAAAATCAACTACGAGGGGGTATTTGAAGAATATAAACGTAAAACTCAAGCAAATTAAGTACTTTATTGTTTGAGACAATTGAACATAAACATTTGACACAACATTAAATGATTACAACACAACATACATGCGCAGCTGTACATACTACATATTATTATATCGTTACACTTTTGTTGCTCAACTCATTGCGCTGATACCGAGTCTAACACGATGAGACAGTACCTACATCGCATGCGTGATATGGCAAACTAAGAAGTCCCAGTCTTTTTTCCATTCGAATTGATATTAGATTAGTTTGATAATATTAATAAATGTGGGAAAGCCAAGCAGACATATCCGAAACCTAAATCCCCAAAAGGCCGGCAACGCAATGGTAGTTGCGGCTGTACATGGGCGGCGATGATTGCTGCTGGTGATCATTAAATTCGGTTAATTCGTTTCCGAGATTTGGGACTCCTAAATTTGTACGTAATACCGCGCACCTTGAACGATTTACAGTGAATATAAATAATATGGTAAAACAGCTAACAGAAATAACTTCTTCAATATGCACGTAAGACAATATCATTCATAAAGGTATGTCTAGACTGCAGATATTTGCGTTTGTGCGGTCCTCCCGAGGTCGCAGTGAAGCAAGATAGGTACAGTGACAATACTTCCTTACTCCAAAAGGCACTCGCTCTCACTATTACCACCTCCCAGCCGAGGTACACAAAGATATTAAAAATAAATATATTTTGAGACATTTTTACTTGAGCTTGAGATTCAGCATTGCGTGAGTCTTCCTTCGCTTAAAATCCATAGTGGGTATTCTTGTGCACTAAACTTTCCATATTGATGAATTGAGTTCCAGAGTTCCAGTTCCTTCACCACTAAACATAAGCTAAGCCGCTTATATGCTGACATGATAAGTTATTCAATACAAACAAATATGACTTGTAAATAGCTATATATCAGTAGAAAGCATGTGGCAGGTACACTGCAGCAATGATTGACGCACGATACTACTTATAGTCAGCAGGCCAACCTAGGACTTTTTCATTGGATCGGACTTTATATCAAAACAATACAAATCTTAAGAAATTCTATAGAAGAGTAGGTTGACCACTGTATCTATGCATGTCGATACGTCGTAAGACATATCTTATGAATAATAACATTAAAATAATTACTATTTCTAGACACAATCAATTTTATTTCTAAAACGTCGATTTAGAAGGCACAATTTCTAAGTATATTCTTAAGCCCATATACTTATCGACGACATATACTGACGTTACGTTTGCTTCCCTAACTACGCGCCGCGGCGCTGCCCGCGCACGGGAATACAAATAATATTCTAAGGATGTATATAATATATACTTAATTTCGACTTATAGACTAATGGTATGTATAAGTAATATAATTTATTATTTTAAAAAATCGAGATTACAACTCAATCTGGATCATTTTCAGAGATTCTAAGGTAATAACACAATACTTAATGGTTTTATGTCTCATGGACTTAAAGTAAAATAAAATCTAATAATTTTAAGCAATATCTCAATTACAAAGCCTTATGGTTACAGAACTGTATTTCAACAGTTATTTGGTTCGATCGAGATTACATCCAGATAATATCACTAGCTTTCAAACAATTCTATTACAGATATATCGATATAAATATTGTATGGAAAGCCCTCAAGTTTTGTTTCTAAACACAAAATAAATAAATTTTTCCTTCTACTATTTTGACCTACGCGATGTTTGATGACCAAGCATAAATAGCACAGATAGTATAGTAGCAATGTAATCTAGTGACTTGTGCTCACTAGAGGCGTGGGTACCGTGTAGTCGGCCTGACAGTCACATCACTACCCCGACGTATGTAAACAGCCGGTGGTTCTTGACGTGCATACTGGTGTATCGCGTGGAATTGAATCCGTCCTTGACGATCATCGCTGGGTCCCGCATGTTTTCCTTCATTATGGTTTTGCGCTGTTGGTTCTTGCGCTCCTGTGGATGCCTCAACATCGTATAGCGGGACATTTCACGGGGATATCTGCAACCATTACATATACTGAGTCACTGGCATCGGTCTACCAACGGGGCATGGCTGTAGTACGCGCAAGATATTTCTTATCAAGAAGTATACATTATCAATTATTATTAAAAATAATCATTATTTTACACCACTTTTTCATGACGTGTGATGATGTCATGGATTAGGTTTTTTAGTGAGGGGAAAATCTGCAAATGACTTCTCTCGCCCAGGGTGGGGCGGGACGAAGTGTCAGACTCTTAATGACTACTGACTAACCCCTTACCCCCCCTCGTTCCTATAATTGCTCTGGGCCAAGGCTGCGGTGCCTCACTGGGCTTGCCCCGCAACCCCAGCTGATGTAGAGCGTTTGTGGTGGTCTATTGGCTTTCTGAGGCGCGCACAGAATGCTACGCGCCGTACGCTCGGGTATGGTTTTGGTCGGGCGGCGAGTTACCCTTACTCGCCGTCCGCAGACCCGCGCTTAAGGTGGCCGGAGATCGCCTCTCCGTCATGGATTAGGTATACAACCATATTCAATAACTTACCCACATTACACTCAGGCTATTTAACTTGAAGATTTAACAAGAACCATGAAAGAATGGGTCGGGTCGACCGGAGTGATACCACGGCCTCACAGAAAACCGGCGTGAAACAACTACAGCGTTGTTTCACCTCAATCCCTAAAACTCCAAATCCCTAATCCCTAAAAGGTCGGCAACGCACTCCTAACTCCTCCGTTGCGGGTGTCCATGGGCGGCGCTGGTTGCTTATCATCAGGTAATCCGTCTGCTCCTTTGCCGATCAATTACATAAAAAAAACAGATCTGATACAAATTTCATATTTAAATGGTTATTATGACTATGCAAAAAGTTTTTTTCTTGTTTGAATAAATTCATAATAATTATATAAAAAAGTGCCTTTTCAAATAATGAGTTACCTGATTATATTTAATTTGTGTGAGCTTATTCTCCACGAAAAGTCATCATCCTCGCCTCCCCAGCCTTCGAACCTGTTAGAGAACCCGTTGACTTGCACAAACTGCTCCGACTTGAGGGCCAGCACGCCGCCCGCCAAGTCTCCGTAGGGGAGCACGAATCTGAACTTGTCGATACTGGCGCTCATGTGGCGTGGCTCGTTGCCGCACGCGTACAGGTTGCTCGCGTCCAGCGGCAGCAAGTCGACGTCGTGTAGGATGAGACAGGGGAACTTGTCCCTGATTGCCACTTTGGCCCCAACATTGTACAGGACACCCTTGTTAAATATTTTCTCATCTTCTTGTTCTACTACATATATCCTGCAAGGCAATATTGGAAGAAAAATTATTCACAGTTAATAATGTACAAAGTAAATCTTTACAAAAGGATTAATTTACAACATATTTCAAATTAATACCTGTAGTGTATACTTTGGTTCCTCAGGAAATCATGCATATAAGGAAGGAATATGTCAAGCTGTCTCTGTCTATTCCTGTAAGCTACTATTATAGCAACACTGAAGATTGGAGTGCAATGTTCTGGAATGTAACTACCATTTACTAAGCCCGTTGCTGAGAAATTATCAAATGTTTTTGGCACCTCCCAGTTGTTTATGGATAGCTTTCTCTTGAGTACTGCATCATATTTACATTCTGGTTTTGATGTCTGTGTAATAAAAGTTGGTGATATCTGCTTATACAGTTGTGTTTCTAGTACCTCTGCAGGGAGATGTGTGTAGTTGTATGAACCACATGTTTCAAAAAACTGAATTATTGTCTTCAAAGCAATTATAAAACATACACAATTAATTATTCGCAGCTTTAATATCCTGAAAACAAACATATGTCTTATTATTCAATACCGTAACACAATTTAATTGTAAAGTAATAAAATATTATTGTAAAGTAATATAAATACAATTTTATTGTACCATATTGTTACAAATTAACTTGTATGATTTGACAAAATGTTCTAGACATATTCTATTTTGTTTTTGTTGTGGGTTTACATTCTGTAAAAATGCAAAAGTTTTGCTTTATTTAAAATTGTCAAAGTTGCACAGATTCAGGGATTCATGATTTATTTATTTGTGGTGGAGAAGCTAGCTTTAGGGAACAAGAAAAAGATTACAATATTGGTAAGGGACAGCCAGGGAGGTTATCACAACTGGAAGCCTGGAAGAATGAACGGACAGAACATTTTTTTGTCTTCATTTACTCTGGCTCTTGTCTATTGCAAGGGATTCTTGTTTATATTAATTCTGCCCTCCAGCCGTTTAATTACTAAGTATGCCTTTCCTCAACAAAATATGCTAACTGATAGTATTCAGTACTAAGATGGGCTGAGTTGCTTATGAATTGACTGAAAAATAAAAATAAGTACTTGCCTTGTTTTCCATGACCGTGTAAGCATCATAAAATATATGTGCTATCTTCTCTCAAATGAACCCACACCAATATCAATAAAATGAGATTCTGCTTCCAAGACCTAGTCCCAAATAAGGTGTTACATAATAAAATAAGCCACCATCTCAATGTAACAAAAGTAAATGGTTTATAAATCTAGTATTCCTACAAATCTAAAGACACTGCGCATAATCTTTCCATTAGGAACCATTGAGTTGAAAGTATTTTTTTTTAAGATTCCGTGCACAATAAAAAAATTGGGGACTACTGAGACTCCGCTGTCCATCGGTCTGTCTGTCTGTCTGTTTGTTTGTTTATTTGTCTGTCTGTCTGTCAATCACCAGTCCTATCTTATCAACTGTGATAGCTACACAGTTGAAATTCCGACAGAAGATGAGTTTCTGATGCCGCATTAACAAGAAGTAATAAAAATAATATATATTAGATATTTGAGGGGGGCTCCCATAAAACAAACGTTATTTTAGTACGGATCCCTTTGGGCCCGATCTCAATTTATACTTGTCGGGATTTGATAATGCTAGTACCCCTAAACGCCAAGGTTTTTACAAAATTTAAAGCAGCAGAGACTCACAGTTAACGAGATATATTTTATTCGAATTTCGAAAAAATCACGCCATTTCAGTCGGATATTATCATGGTAGATGTCAAATTTGACATTTCCCCTTTGTGAATGATATAGGTGTATGTCATCTATGTCATAAGTCAATATGGTTTCATTCAATTTTATCTCTATGGCGAAGTGTATGCAGTTTTATCCCGCCGCAGTTTTATCCCCCAGATGTCGCATGATCGCGTTTGCCATTTTAGTCCATTTGCCCCATGGAGGAATACTTTCTCTCTCTAAGTATCTATTAGTCTAAGATTTGTTAGGATTTCCTGTCAAATTATATGGAAGATATTGTAAAAATAATTTTCGTAAATAAAATTATTAATGTGGGGGAGTCATGCTTCGGCACGAATGGGTCGGCTCGACCAGAGTTATATTACGGCTTCACAGAAAACCGGCGTGAAACAACCACAGCGTTGTGTTTCGCCGTGTGAGTGAGGTTACCGGAGGCCCAATCCTTCCTCTCCTCCAATCCCTAAATTTCCAAATCCCTAATCCCCAAAAGATCGGAACGCACTTGTAACCCCTTTGTTGCGGGTGTCCATGGGCGGCACTGATTGCTTACCATCAGGTAATCCGACTGCTCGTTTGCCTACCTATAATGTAAAATATATATGTATATAGATTACAAAGTCAAAGTCCAATAATGTATTCCAAATAGACTAGTATTAGCGATTTTGAAAGTCAAATAAAAAATATTCAACATTATGTGCCGTCACTGTCTCCTTGCGAAGAATTTGGTCGTTCCACATTAGGGATTCCTATGGAGAAAAACGAGCAAGAAACTGCAGTTCATTTTGGAATAAATGTAGCAGGTTATTCACATATGTCAAAAACGTAAATAGACCTAATATTGAGCCCTGTGGCATGCCCATAGATACGCGTCTGCCACTCCGCCATTCCGCCACTCCGCCATTCACGCCTGGCGGAGTCCTGCCCTGCGTGCCTCAACCTGTCGAGGCACCAAGCGGTCGCCCCGCTCGACTGCCTCCACGTGCCACCAATAGAGGACGCGAGGAGCTTTGCATCGAGGTCCCAGGGCGGGGATCCGGCTAGGAGGCTCGCTGCCTCAAAGGAGATCGAACGCTATCCCCATACTGGCGCGGCGTATAACGCCATCGACCGTACGACTCCCATACAGAGCCTCCGGCAGGAGGAGATGCCCCCCCCTGGTTGGGCAGCGCAGCAGCGCGGCAGGGGGTCATCAACCGGGGGGCGTCCAGCCTTTCTCTAGTTTTATCGAGACTAACGAACAGCAATTCATTATTCATTTTTATATATAAGAAGTGCTCTATGTTTATTTCTTCATATTTTGTATGCATTATACGTTTATGTAGGTACATATTGTTGATGTGTTTATTTATAACTTAGCCATTAACTTTAGTCTCTTGTTGTGTATATACTTATATCATCTTTAAATTTAGTCTAATATATTGTTTGCTGCTTCCACTCATCGTTACTCATCTCTGCATTACCCAAAGGTCAGACTGTCGGCCAAAGTAATGGCTACGGTTATAAGTCCGCCTATGTACAAACATTTGTGTGCATAAAGCTTAATAAATAATTAAAAGCTAATCAAATTTAAGAAATCTATAAAGTACTTAAAATAAAATATGAAAATAATAAAATAAGAAAGCACTAATAAATAAGTAATAACAAATGAGATACAAATTAATTCTAGGTAATGTGTTGTAAGTGTTCGTGTATAAGTTGTAAGTGCGTGGACTTGTTGAATAATTAACATTGAATATTTATACTCATTAGAGGGAACATTTTATCGAACTGTATTTTTATGATGGATAATAAGTTAATAAATCTCACTCGGGTGTATTTGGCTGCATAATTTATTGTTTTTTTTTGTTTGTGATTTGTAAACATAATTTGTGAGTCGGCCGCATCTTTAAAATGTTAAATGCTGTGCTACTTATCGCACATCGCGTTAACATTCGGCAGGGATGCTGCTTCGGCTTATCGTCGTTTCCAAAAGGTATTATCTAATTACAAAACAAACTAATTAAACTAATTACAAAATTCTTTAGTCCCTAAAGCCTAGTTAGTTGAACAGCAGACAAAGTACAAATGTTTTAAAATCACAATGCTCCCAAACAAATAATATTTTGTGAATATGAATTTAATTAGTCTAATCCGTTCTTGTTGTTATTGATGCCGAGAAAAATGCAGTTTTTCGAGCTTGTTGTAATAGCTGAAATAATTTGCAATATTTTTAACTAAGTAATGATACACAGACGGTCAAGTTATTTGTTTTTCTAGTATTGTTTATCTATGCAGATAATAAACAAAACATTATTTATAATAAATTCATCATCATCATCAGCCTATAAGTGCCCACTGCTGAGCAAAGGCCTCTTCTCACGCGGAGAAGGTTTGAGCATTAATCACCACGCTTGCTCAATGCGGGTTGGCGATTTCAAACTTATAATTAGAAACTATAAGTCCAGGTTTTCTCACGATGTTTACCTTCACCGTATGTCAGTGGTGTCTAAATAATCATAGAAAGTACATATAACTCGGAAAAAGTCACATTGGTACTTGTCAGGTTTCGAACCCGCACCCTCATGCATGAGAAGCGGGCGCCTTAACCTCCGGGCCACCACGACTGATACATTACCACGTCTATACTGTTATTATTTTGTACAAAAAAAAAACCACATGCGCCGTAGTTTTAAAACAAGCGTAAGTTTAGTAGCTTAATTAGTACCAACCGTATCATGAATCATTCAGAACCGCCTATAACAACCTATTTCACTCCTCATGATACCCTTCCTTTAGGTAGGTACTCTATTTGCTTTATTTATAAATCCAAAGGAAACACTTAAACATTAAACAGCCACACTATGGGCCTACTTAGGAGTAAGTAAGTAAGATTATTTATTTTATAGCCTTAACTTTCAGAGTTCCCACTTATTTTAAAAAACTTGAGATCCCACGGCAGTCTTCCTCCTCCATCATCAGATTTACTTCATAACTTCATTGTAACCCACATAGGTGAGAAGTTTTCATTCATATAAATGAATTAAGTTCAAACACGATGTAGTTACTGTAAACCGTTCAGGAGTTCCCTGAACTGTCTTTTGTTCTCATCATCAGACCCCTAATGACAGTCACGACCATCATCTTGGTGCAAAGTGCTCACCAATACGAATCATTCAAGCCCAAAAACAAGGTAACTACTCCAAATAATCAAGGAGATCCCTCGACTGTCTTCCGCCTCCATCATCAGGTCAAGTTCGACCATCGGCAAGTTGTAGCTTTGTAAAAAGCCTACTAAAAACATGCAAAAGCACTACTCGCCCCTACAATTTTCGAAAGTTCCCCTCTGTTTCCCTAGGATTCCATCATCAGATTCTGACCTCATCAAAATTGGACCCTCTCGGGAGTATAACCTTTCAAACAAAACAAGAATTTTGGAAATCGTATGAACCGATTTATGTAAATGGTGGAGAAATCGGTGAACATACAAAAAAAAAAAACAATCAGCCGAACGTAGTACCTCCTCCTTTTTTTGAAGTCGGTAAAGAATACAGTTCAGATAAAGATGAAGAGAGTTGAACAGAGAGCCCACAGACCTTCACATTAATACTATTAGTAGAATACATATAGATGTTTGTTAAATTCTACTTAATTCTTCTTGTGCCATTATCAATACTAGGTATATATAATATTACAAAGTTGAAGACTGTTTGTTTGAACTCGCTAATCTCCGGAGCTACTGGTTCAAATTGAACACTCCTTTTTGTGTTTGTTTCTCCATTTATCGAGGAATACTATAAGCTATAAAACATCACGCTATGATCTTTAGGAGATTTTCTAAATTCGCGTGAGAGAAGCTAGCATACATAATAAATACAACAAAAAAGGAATTGGTACAATCGGTCCAGGCGTTGATGAGGCAAGCGCTTATCAACACATTTTGCTATTCATTTTTATATATAAGATTCATATTTTCTCATTCATCATCATCATTTTTCATTGGAGGTAGTCGGAGAGTCCGACTTCACGCCTTCGAGGCCCCCTGAACCTGTCGTCAAACGACCTGTGCCTCCCCCCCACCGCACAAATGACCACAAATGAGGTTGCACGGTCTTCCACATTATTTTTACATTAACCTTCTAGGGCTGCAAATCTAGTTTAGTTTAATTACGTGACTAGAACAATAAACGCAACATGTTATCAAACTTTGACATGTCCTGAATTCACGATTGCTTATCATATTTAGGGCATAATAGTCCCACAGAAACGATTACACTAGGTATGTTTTAATGATATGCATTAATAGTTTATCAAGTAGGTACCTACAATTTAGAATAGTATTTTAGTCTATTTCATATTAAAAGTCTTGTTAAATATAAATTATTCGCATGAGAGGTCGGAATTTGCAACCTTTTTCTGTTTCATCACGTAATTAATTCGTATGATGTAAATAAAACTGCAACAATATAAATAAGTTTGTTATCTAATCTAAATTTGTGAGAGCCCACGTGTTTTACAGCACGGTAGAAAACTCCGCTTACCATTGTCATGCATGCTTTTGCCACGTGGGTATCAGAAGCGCCGACAGCCGCCGTTTCCAGTATCTATAGATTTAATAAGATATATAGTTCAAAATTCTACATTAGGGCAACGGCAACGGCCAGAAAGGAATCAATGGACTGCCACTGGCTTTTCTTTTTGTGAGGGGAAAATCATTAAATGACTTTTCATTTCGGAGTGTCAGACTCTTACTGACTAAAAACCCCCCTGTTCCTTCTCCTGCTCTGGGCCGAGGTCGCGGTGCCTCATTGCGCTTACCCCGCAACCCCGGCTGAACATCAGCGCTACGTTAGCTACGCTCGGATCTGGTTCTAGTGAGGCGGCGAGCTACCCTTACTCGCCGACCGCAGACCCGCGCTTACGGTGGCCAGAGATCGTCCCTTGATCCCCGACGCCCGTAGTGTCACCTGTTGCGGCGGCTGAGGATTGCTCCCTCATGCGGGCCGCCTCCCTCTTTGCGAGCATAACTGCTTAACAGAAGGGGGAGACGGTGTCCCAGTATCTCTCGCTTCGCACTATGGCCTCGACTAAGGCCGGGCGCGAGAGGTCGCCGCCGCCGGTAATAGCGTGCCCGGGACTGCCACTAGCTGTTGATGTGATCAAGTAGGTTAGACCTTAAACGCGATCGAAACAGACTTTCAGATATCATTGGAGTTAGAGATTAAGATTTTGTTGTGTTACCGGGCACGGTAGACAAGGAACTGGGACGCCGTGTCCTCTTTCTGTAAAGCAGTGATGCTCGCAAAAAAGGTGGCGGACCCGAGCGTACGGTGCGTAGCGTTCCGCGCGCGCCTCAAAGAGCCAATAGACCACCACAGATGGGGCCTTATAGGACTGATTTTGCCGCCAGGGTTGCGGGGTAAGTGCAATGATGCAAGGCACCTCGACCTCGGCCCAGAGCAGGAGAAGGAATGGGGGGGGGGGGAGGGGTTGTCGGTAAGAGTCCGAAACTCTCTCCTGCCCGACCCTGGGTGGGAGAAGTCATTTGATGATTTTCCCCTCACAAAAAAAAGATAGATGCGAAATTCCGAGATACAGTCGTACATTTTGCAACCGTTACGTGCCTCATACACGGGTCTGGTTCTGGCCGGGTGGCGAGCTACCCTTGCTCGTCTACTGCAGACTATTTAGTAAGTTAGATTTTAAAGCTGGGTTTTCACAACTAGTGAAACTTATTACAAATAAAGTATTAGGAGTATTGTAGGAAATAATATAGGTATATTTTATTTTAAACATAAACTTGAAAATTTTAATAATAATAACAGGATCCCTAGTAGCTTTCTATGGATTTGTGTACATCACTAGCAATATCGATCTCGACGTTCTTATAAAATAGTTGTGTACATTATGCACAGACTTACTGCATTAATATAAATCTATGGCCTAATGACTAACCTATGTGATACTAGCGCATTGCGCCAACGAGTGAAAATGAATAGCAAAATACAAGTGTCTCATCTGTTTTTGACTAGTTTATAGTTATCTGTGGTGAAGCCTATAAATATATATTATTCTACTCTATGCTCTAAATACTCTTTGGTTTGGTTGGAACCATAGATATAGTATACTACACATACTATATAATATACTATACTAATATACTATATCTATGGTTGGAACGGTGGTCTCAGCTGGACGTAAACAAACACAAACTGTTTGATAACAAAAATGTTGTTGTCGTAATATTTATTTAATTGAGTGGCTTATTTTAATTGCTGGTTTTCTGGTGCTTTTTGGAATACTGTGTGAATAAATATATTTATAATTGGCAAAACCAGCTAAATGAAGGAAATAATCAAGAATGAGCCACAATTTGTTTGTAAACCCCTGGATAGCTACAGTGAATTAATGCTGTTTCTGGAAAATCCGCCGCCTTGGAGAACTTTATGTAAAGAAATGACGCCACATAGTGACTATCTAATACGAAATATAGAAATAAATAATAAAGATTCTTGGTCCCTTTTGAGACCGGAAAATTTCTGTCATTTCGATCCAGACTTGGAAGATGTGAAACGGTACGAGTCTAAAAGTTTGCCGAAAACATTAGTTTGCCATGATATGGCCAATGGATATCATGATGACAGGTAGGTTACCTTAATATTATACATATGTTACCTTAATGCTATAGCCTACACTAATCTATTGACTCAAAAATATATGATTTAACCTTTCAGTTGTGGCAATTAGATACATAATAGAAGAACAGTAGAATGTGTGAACACCGGTTTTCACTTGGGGTTTGATGAATTAATTAGCATCAGTAGTTAGTGAAGAAGAATTAGTTAGGAATATGAGCGTGTGAAAAAATCTTATGTTACTACATAAAATTTCTTCTAATTTGGATGTTTTATGGTTTTCTATAGTGTCTGTAACACAGAGAAAAAACAAGTGACACCACTCAGAGCAATCATTAAATTGTTTCAGTGTGATAGAGGGAACAAGTAACTTTGACGCATACACATTCTACAACTGGGCTGGCATTGACATATTCTGTTACTTCAGCCACCACCTGATTACGATACCTCCGGTGGGCTGGATCAACGTTGGTCATGCACACGGAGTCAAAGTTATTGGTGGGTTTGCTTATTTACATTATTTAGTTAGGTGCTTATCAGTAATATATTACTATACTCCAGGTAAATAGCTTTACATACTAATACTGTATTCCCATTTTAACCTCATTATGATATCATGATACAAAGAAGGTAGGTAGAAGGTAGTAATTTTGTTTAAAATGGTACAGGGTTGTTGGCAGATACAGACACAGATTGCATAGCTCTAAATATAACATTATATTTACATGCAATGCACAATCAGAAATAATTATTATTTGGGGAGCCTACTTGCGTTTGTAAAAGAAATAAAATATTATGGTCTAGCTAGCCATGCTATGCAATAATTTCGTATTTTATGTTGTTTTTATTTTATATTCTTACACCCCATCCTTTGCCCATTGTACCTTCATAAGAAAATTATTTGTTATAGAAAAAAACAGTTTTTGTCTTGATCCTTTGTGCCAAATGCATAAAATGTTAAATATGTTCTATTTGCTTGTCTAATATGTTAATCTACTAGCTTCTGCAGGTTTGACTAACATAACAAACATGTTCAATTATTTTAGACAGACCAGTATTAACAAGCATTCCCACATAGTTGCTACAAATATTAAAATATATGTTCCACACCAGGCACCATCATCACGGAGTGGGCAGATGGCATCACATTTTGGGACCAAGTGTTGGCTTCAGAGACCAAGTACCAGGATGTGGCCAGTGCCCTCGTTGCTATTGCTAAAATCCTTAAGTTTGATGGGTACCTTCTTAATGTTGAAAACAAGGTATTTTTTTATTTTTATTGGAAAGTGTAGCAAGCCACCACATGATTCCTCATGGTAAGCAAAGCAAAAAATCTCGAGTGGGGTGGATGGTGGATGGATGGTTTGGATGTCCGGCTCTCATACAGCGAAACAAAGTGCCATTCCGGGACCAGTTTATTCTGGAAGATGCGTACATAACTGTCGCAAGATAAAATGTCCCTATTGTTATTTGAAAGAAGTGTCTGTAGTACTAGTACTCTGTCGCAGAACTTGATCGCAGGTACACAGGTGAATTTACTTAAGTAGGTAGCGCATGTTGTGGGAGCATTAGCAGGCTTGTTTGTAGCGTGTGTATGGTTCGGTGACTGACGCTGATTGATGGCCAGATCACGCAGCCGACGATGCTGCTAGAGTTCGTCAAGTACTTCCACCGCATGCTGCACGAGGAGCTGCCGCACGCTACGCTGCTGTGGTACGACAGCGTCACCGTCTCGGGGACACTCAATTGGCAGAATAAACTTAATGAAAAGAATATGTAAGTATTGAAAAAAAAATTGTTCAACAGCTATTTATAGTTAGTTGTTTCATTGTTTTTGACGGCAGCAGTCAGTTGACCGATAAAGCCGCGATATAATATCGCCGCACCCAGCTGACGACACGCGCCACGAGTCACACAACACGTTTCGCAATACTGATACCTTATCTAGGATGCTCCTGATTTCATCTTTAGATATAGAGAGAAACACTTAACTAATTAGATACAAGTGCCACCAATACACAATTGGTGTTAGTTTTGAATGACGTTTCAAAAGTATCGCCTATATATGTATAATAACAGGTAGGGATAGTTATATATGATTAGATAAATGTGTTTAGACTGACTGTATTCCCTTAAATTAAAGTCAAACCACACAGTTTTTCTCCGGCTGGACCTGAAGCAGGGCGATTACAGCGTGCTAGCTGTCGAATTTGTTGTCCGTTCTACTCCATGAGGATCTACAGACTTCGCAATGATTCAAAGAATTTCGCTAAGATATGGACGAAAGCCATGGATGCTTTTCCTAAAATAGTTTAAGTTTTTACATTCTTTATTAGAAGTTATTCCAGCTATAAAATTCGTCGGAAGTTAAAGTATTACTATCCTAAAGGCAGTTGCTGATGTTTAGGGCATTCTTCGAGGCTTGCGATGGGCTGTTCACGAACTACTCGTGGACGAAGGAGGACGTGGCGTCGAGCGCGGCGCTGGCGGGCAGCCGCGTCACCGACCTCTACGTCGGCATCGACGTCTGGGGACGGAACTTCTTCGGCGGCGGCCAGTTTAACACGCAGGAGGTATTTACGCTGTATATTCACGTAACGCGGTCCTTAGACCACGAGTCGTGGTGTATGGTATAGCATGACGGGCGGTGTATGCGGCAGGCGGTGAAGGTGGTGCACGCGGCGGGCTGCTCGCTGGCGGTGTTCGCGCCGGCCTGGACGCACGAGATGCTCAGCCCCGAGCAGTTCGGCACCGACTCCGACCCGGCGCCCGTGGCCATGGGCGAGGACATGGACCTCTACGAAAAGTTCGTGCTGCGGGACCGCGCGCTTTGGGGCAGTCTGTGGCCCTTCCTGAACACGAGGGTACCTAACCAGCTGCCCTTCCAGACCTCCTTCTGTAGGGGCCTGGGAAAGAAGCGCTTCTTGTACGGCGAGGTATGTTCCATACTGTAGTGTGGTAGAGGTGTCATCTAGTGCGTCGTTTGACTGTACGTGTACTATGAAAAATATTAAGTTTATCTTTTCTACATACACATAACAATAGTTTTTTTTTTTTTTTTTTTTTTTTAAATAATTTAATTAGTAAAGTTACAGAAAAGTGTCCTTATCATCTAAACTCGCCAAACTTTAACGTTTGATGGCGAGAGGCGCTCTTTATACAATAACATATTTATACATAATAGTGAATTTAGTACCTAGGTGCAATTACTTAGGTTTTTTTTTATTTATTTAAATATTCCTATTTTATGCATACTATGTACTTATAGCTAGGTATGACACAGTTTATATAATAATAATTATTGACTAACATAAGAAACAAAACATAAAAACACACACAAACATAACATTCTTACTTCTTATTAATAATCTAATATAAAGCTTTTTAATTTTGACTTAAGAGATCCTTTGGGTAACTTTTTCCCTTCTTCTCTTAGCATCTCTATTTTATTAAATATATTAGGAACTATGTATGCGGATGTTCTCTTGCCATAATAATTTTTTATCTCTGGTAATATTAGTTTTTTTTCTCTAACCCTACGCGTATTATATTTGTTCTTTACATTAACTTTATAATCGTCATTAAAATAGTATTGCAAACCTACTAAATAATCTACTTTTTTGTCTATGGGTAAAATTTTACAAATAGAAAATAACTTATCATACTCTTTTTTGCAACTATCTTTAACATTTTTACTTACTAGGAACTTTATCAGTCTTATTTGTATATCTTTAATGTCTTTTATATATGTAATAAATGTTCGACCATACACAAGGAGGCCATAACTTCTTACCGAATCTGCAAGAGTAAAGTAAACTAATCTGAGAGTCTTTTTGTTCAGTACATTTTTTAATTGATAAATCTTACTTAATACAGATCTTAGTCTATTACAAATGTCGTTAACATGAAATTTCCAGTTAAAATTTTTATCTATTGTTAGGCCTAGGTATTTGAATTGAAGTACATTATCTAGTTTATTACATTTGCAGTTGTTTTTATTTCTATGTAGACATTCATAAGTGTGCCCTATTAGTGTGATATGTCCATTGTCTACTGATCTGGCAATATAATTGTACGGGGAATGTATATGCATAACTTTAGTTTTTGTAGTGTTTAAGATAATTCCGTTATCGTGTGCCCACTTGCTAATATTTTCAAAGTCCTCCTGTATAAACGTTTGGGCTTCCACTATATTTTTGGATGCATAGATAAGGCACATGTCATCAGCGTACATGAACACTCTACATCTGTTGACGACATTTGACACACTATTCACATGCATTATGTATCCCACTGGCCCGAACACCGATCCAGTCGGCACACCTAGGTCGACACCCGCCTCTTCCCCTGTCTTGCCAGCTATCATTGTACTTATTTTTCTATTGGTTAGATAGTCTTTAAACCAATTATTTGTGGGCCCACGTATTCCACAATCGTCCATCGCCTGTAATAAGATATCATGGTCTAATGTGTCAAATGCCTTTTTGTAATCAATAAAAAGAGCTATAACCTGTTTCCCCGAGTCTAGCGAACCATTGATGTAATCAGAAAAACCTAATAAAGCAGAGACAGTGTTCCGTCCTCTGCGGAAACCATGTTGTGTGTCACATAATATTTTATGTTGTTCTAAAAACCCACTAATCTGACCTACAATTATTTTTTCAGTAATTTTATCAATAACTGATAGAATTGCGATTGGTCTGTAATTTACAAATTCCAGATGGCTACCTGATTTGTAAATAGGACGGATAATTGCCTTTTTTAACATGTCGGGATAGGTACCAGTAGTTAGTGAATTGTTTATAAATAAAGCTAAAACCGGACTTATTCTCTTTTTTATACATATAATGTCCTGCGCTCTTATTGTATCTGGACCGGGGGCTTTTTCAGAAGACAAATTCTCTATGACCTTTTCTACATCTCTTGGAGTGATTTTTTTATATCTGTAACTCACCTCACTCGGTTTTACATATTTATTTCTATCTAAGAATTTTGAGTTACAGGTATGTTTAATTGCCTTTATTTCCTCCGTAAATGTTTTAGAAAACTGTGTACAAATTTGTTCTATGCTGTCCGTCTTTCCTAAATGCTTTAAAATAACATCATCTAAGCTATTTTTATTTCGACCTAACCATGTATTTATATTCGCCCATATCTTCCTATAATCTCCATTACATTTTGTAATTTGTTCCTGTCTGTATTTATTTTTTGCATCATTAATTTGTTTATTTACTTTATTTCTAAATTTTGTGTAATCTAATCGCTTATTCATATTCTGAGGATCCGCTTTCCATATTCTAAATAAACTATCTTTGCGTAATAACATTGTATACAATTCTCTATTTACCCATGGCTGTCTTATTGTTTTCTTATTACCTACTTTAACTTTAATTGTACTTTCTCTGTAAATCTGTTCAAATACACTACACATAGTCTTATACAATACAGTTACTGATCCTAGAAACACTGAGTTGTAGCCGGCGGGTGTGATGTATCAATATGTGCCAGGTGCTGAACCCCTCGCCGTGGTACAACCTGCGGCACCAGCAGTACCAGCCCAACTCCGCGCACGGCCCGCACGGCTACATCCTGACCTCCCTCGAGGGCCTCGCCACTGTGCACGAAGAGGTGCACTACAAGGATAAGAAGGGCATCATCCGCATGCGCAGCTCCTTCCTAAAGAGCCGCCAAGAGCTGCACTCCATCAGGGACATGCTGCCCGACACGTCCAGCTCCAGGAACATGGAGCCGGACTCGGCCGCCGGCGCCGAGGAAGCCGCCGGCGCCGACGACGCCTCGTCCGGCCGCGACAGGGCGCAGTCCATGATGCAGGCGTCGGTGAGCCTGAAGCTGGGCGGCGCCGACAAGCTGCGCTTCGGGCTGGCGCGCGTGCGCGGCGAGCGGCCCTGCCTCGAGCCGTACCTGCGCGACGCCTTCTCGGGCGGCGCCAGCCTGCGCGTGAACCCGTCGGACGAGCTCTGCGCGGAGCACCGCACGACGCGCCTGCTGCACTGCGACTGGGCGTGCGAGGCCGCGCTCATCTTCTGCGTCGTCACCAAGCAGCTGGACGGCTTCCCGGAGCAGAGCCTCAACGTGAAGCTGTGCATGCGGAACGCGGCGGGGCAGGAGCTGGCGGTGGTGCTGACGGGGCGCGACGTGGCGGCGGGCGGCGCGCTGGGCGCGGCGGCGGCCGGCACGCGCCACGTGTACCCGCTGCGCACGGCCAGCGAAGCCGTGCTGCGCCGGCTGCGGACCTACCTCTTGCTGTCGCAGCCCGACTTCTACGTGCCCGTCGACAACCTGTTCGGCTGGACGGTCCGGTACGTACAGCCGCCGGCACTCCCGCCTGGCCGGCCGCCTGCCCGACTGACGCGCTGTGTCCCGCAGGTACTACGAGGTGGACGTGCCGGGGGCCCGCATAACGTCCGTCAACCTGCGCACTGCGATGGAGAAAGGCGGCATCCTGCTGGGACACTTCGCAGTCTGCCCCAAGCTGTGAGTACCACGCGTGGTAGTGGTACTCACAGCTTACTCGGAGCCTAACTATAATGATTATGTTGTTCAAACAGAACAAACCAGAGTTGGAAAAAGAGTTTAGAAATTACGGTTGAACAAACGGGAAGCAAGCCCGCCCCGAGCGTTAGCGACGGCTACAAGGACCTTTGTGTCGCTCAGTAGTTGCTAGGCCAGGCGTGCAAGCAAGCAATCACGCGTCGTGTGCAATATATAGGGGGACTGGTAATTAGTGACCGATATTTAAACACGTGATTCTACTTAGATAAGAAACAACTTTAAGAAAACACAACTATTGCTCTGAGAAGCGACTAAGCGGAATGCGACCGCATTCGCATTGTTTTTTTTTTGACGCCCCCACCTCCTTGCGCATTTACTTGGCCGCCTTGGTCACCAGATCTAACTACTGGGGGTTCGCTAAAAACTGAGGCGGGCGACGTAATTTTTATAGCAATAAAAATAAAGTTAATAATATAGAAAGCAAGTCTCTTTGAGAAAGTTGTTTGTTATCATGAGTACAATCACGTGTTTAAATATCGGTCGCTAGTTACCAGTTACCTGATACATATAAAGCCTGAAGTTAGTCATTGTTACGTTATAATCATCGAGTTATGTAGGTACTACGTTTAACGAAATTAATCACCTTGGACTTTCTGTTTGAAGTAACGACGATGTCAAAACGTCTAAATTTTACTATTTATATAGTTAATGGAAGGTAGCCCGTGTAGTTAATCATCAATACTGGATTATCTTCCATTGCGTTAACATAAACTCCCCAGGAAACGACATCATAAATATTTATCACCCTACTACTCATAACCAGTAATCTATACCAAAAAACTACTGAATAGACTACCTATATTTAATCCTACCTGAACACCAATTTGACTTTAGGGAGAAGGACGGAACTGGTGAATAAGTCCACCGAATCGTCGATGCAGTAAGCAAATGTAGAGGATCGCAAGTACTGCTCCACGGCAGTCTTAGACATAAGGTAGGCGTTTTATAAATTGGCACCAGACTGTCACATACACGAGCTGAAGAAGCAACTACCACACTCACTTATTAATATGCTAAAGTCTTACCTTGACAAGTGAAGCGTTCGAGGCAAACGCGAGGTTGCTGCTCTGTAGTCTAGTACTCTGCTTTATACGTTAGAAAATCAGGTGTTACGCAAGGCAGTATATTGGGACCGACTTTTTAACCTCATATACATAGCTGAACTCTCTACAACATATTACTTTAGTGACAATCTTTACTGTTGATACCACGCTGTTATCGTCACATACTGATCCAGATCCATTACAAAATTTCCAAAAGCACCTGTAGAAAGTACAGCCATGGCTTAAAATATGGAGAATAAGTGCAAACCAAATCGACCCAGTTAAACTTAACGGTCGGAAATTTCCCAAAAATATCACGCAAAATACCCGGTGTTACCTGGCAGTAGCTTGTTCGTGCTAAGCGCAAACAAATGGACGCAAACTTGTGTTGTTTTCAATGTTTCCAGCCCTGCTAGCACTACTGTGAGTGTCGCACAATTAAAATTAAATGATCGAAACAAAATGATGATAAACAGCCAGTATGAACAACATCAAAACCCTATGATTCCAGAACAAAGGAACAGAGCAATGTTAGGGATTCCTCGATGTCTCAGTAACAAGTATGTCTCACGGTATAAATGGTGCAACAGGTTTCCAACACGCGTCTTAAATACCAGAGTAAACTAAAACACGCTAAAATGAACTCGAACGCGCCTTGAATGATGAGGGACGCGTGCACCATCTGAGATTAAAACAAAAAGACATTAGTTTAACTATAAGGTTTAGAAACTTCAAAGAGAGAGCTATCAGAGGGGATCCGTTGAATAGAGTGCACGGTGCACTCTCTTTTTTCTTACTCCCTGAACCAGTTGGGACGATGGATATATTTTGGAAGTATCGCAGGGAGTGAAACAAGAGTACAAAGTGCAGCTCGTGAACTTACGTGCTTCAGGGTTAAGTGATTTTATTTGTCCCTAACACAAATCTATTTTATTATTTTCTTTCCACTTTAATGGGACTTGGGTTCGTTTGGTTGTATGGGGCACGGATTTGTAACCTTAAAGGTTGTCATTGACGATAAGTCTGTTTGGAATGGACATATGGATTTAAATGGGTTTGGAAAACCAGAGCTGCAAAACGTTTACTGAGAATTGATGGATGCATCATCAACACCTTACCTTAAGCGTCTATTTCGCCACCGACATAAAGTTTCCGATACACTTACGTAGCACACGTCTTGTAAGCATGGAGATTGTTGTAAGTATTAGTGACAGAAATTGTCCTCGCATTCTACTCTCCGTTTTGGCAGGACTGGCAACGGCAATAGTGGCGGCGGATAAAACAGAAGGGGTGCGGGCGCGGCTCATGAAGGCATGCGCGTATCTGACAACTTGCATGCTTCCTTGCAACTTGAACCCAATATTTTATATACATATTACACGCGGACGCGCTGTATACTTATACTAATTATACAACAATGTAACACTTTTATTATGTTAATCATTATGTATTATCCAAAATATACAATTATATACTATTTTGAATATAAATGGTTGCGTTTTCTTTGATCATTATCAAAATATCGACATGTTATCATCATCGATGGATGAGTATTCAGGAAAAAACAAGACAATGTTACAAGTGGAGCGAGTCCTTGATCTCGCAGCAGTGAGTACTATCGGTCAGGTTGGAGTGTGTGGTGACATAAAGGCGTTATGTAAAACTGAGATAATCTGATGGCCTGATTGTGTGCCACTGATACGCCTGTATCGGCACCTCGAGCTGGTGCAGTGCGTGCTGTCCCCGCAGTAGTCGGCTGCCGACCCTGTAGTACGCTCTACGCTCCGGCAGCTCACGTCTTGCTATACCGCTACCGCTACCAACAGGCGACTTTGGCACTTTGTGGTAAGATTTATATTTTTTTATCTCTAGATCCGCTTACAGTGTACCTAAGTAAGTATAAAAATTTGAAATAAATTTAAAATTTTAATTATATTCCTTAGACTGTCCTGTTGGTCTCAGGTTCGATTCCAAAGCCGTGTAAAATTTTATTCGGTTTTATTATTCCACAAAATCACTCTAAAAATTTGTTTAATTATAATTAAATAACATAATATTTAAAAATATAAAAGTAGGAGCCAGCCGGCAGCGGGAGCAAGCTACCGGTGGTTAGGGCTCTAGAGACAGGACCCTCCTCACAATACGTGCCGTTTCAAGGAGGACTGCCTTCTGTATCTGTTTTTTGTGTGTGACGTTAGGCGGATGGATCAAGGGCCTCAGCCCTTGATCCATCCGCCTCTTAAGCACAGCCTCTTAAGGTGGTTGTCGAGGTTTAGGGACTAACTTCGGTTTTATTACTATTATTAAAATCTTCAGTAATAGACTGAATGCTATATAATATATGGAGACTGAAATAGCTCTTCAATTTAATGTCCAATGGTTTTATTAGGTTAGAAACCCTAGTTCACGCTAGCGCCGTAGTGCTCATTTAACTCCGTCCGGGTCCATTCGTATAACGCAACTAACTGATCAATTGTTAGTAATACATGGAGCATGTGGCTGCAGAGCTGGCTGGTAGCAGAGGTGTTATATGCCCGGCTAATGGCCGACTCAGGGCTCCCTGGGGTTCCAACCTTACACCAGTTTTGTTTTTATTTTTCGTCAACGACATGAGTGCCCTAATCGTTCATTGTAAATATTCAATGTTTCCCGATGTACTCAAAATTTATATTTATAAAGTTATAACTTCAAATGAAGACACTACCTACTTTAATTCAGGAGGATTTAGTTGGATAGAGTGGAACACTGGTGTACCTAAACTTAATCGCATGACACTTAACGTAGGTACATTAATGTAGCCATATATATACGATTCACGAGGAAAAAACACCTAAATGACTAGCAATATGATTTCTCATTTAGGCCTTAAGTTGAAGCGATACCTTCAGTATTAAAACAAGTTGCTGCCAGAGGTGGCCTAGGTTAGGTTAGAACTGCGACCCTCACAGATGTCACAGTATCTTCGCAAAGTGAGAAAAGTAAGAATGACGTCAAAATATTTATTTGATATTTAGGGCTACGTAGACAACTAGGAACCTTTATAATTTTGCTGTGTCTGTCTGTCTGTCTGACGGGAAAAATGTCGGTGTAGGTACTAGAAATCTGAGGAACCAATATGTTTCTATATCAATTACTTACGCCGAGAAAGTGGTTAAATAAAAAGTATTTCGTAGTAAGTAATAGTTAAATAATATTAGGGTACCCCTTAGTTACGTACGTCAAGTTTTTTTTCATTTCAACCCTAACGTGTCATAAATTGTTGGATAGATACCTAAATATTTAAAAATGAATAGAGGTTTATCTAGTTTTTTTTTGGAAATAATCGCTCCAAACTTTAAAAAATTGCGTCGCTCCTGGAAGTTGGGTGGGAGGCCCTCTAACTTTTTAGTACGCACACTTTGTGTGTCGGACGGGAAACTACGGAACTCTACACTGCGCGTAGCCCGATACGCTCTTAACACATCAAATGAGGGATTTCCTCACCTCCCGGCCGTCGCAGAAGACACTGTGGGTCGGGTATCGCGCGACGATCTACCGCCCCCATAAGATCATCACAGATAGGGCCCACTAAGGCCGATATCCAGTCGAGGTTGCCCTGGCCCGGAGCTGGTGGCGACAACGCTGTGGTCTTTAGTAAGTGACAGTCTGACGATCCCTCTCGCCACACCCAAAGCGGAGGAGTTCATTTTAAATCCTTAAAAAAAGAATTCCTAAGTACCAATGCACGTGTTGCTAGTTATTTGTTTCCTGAATATTTCGCTCGTACGTTGCACTCAGAGTGAAGGCCATTTTTTGTGTCTGTGGAAACCTTGAACCGCCGTGATAAACGTTCGCGAACTACCTGTATACTCAGTACTATTATGTAAGTAGGTCACTTGTACAAAAAATTGTAATGTGTGTCTATTGACGCCATCGTCTAGGATTCATTGACCCCTGGAGGACACCGCGAACAGGTAATAAACCTGAGACTTGACTCATCTCTCACGTAGTTATATATTTAAATAATAAACTTGCCGAATCTATTTGGGACTTTAAGTCCGTTTATAAGCAGAGGTCGCAAGCTGAGCGAGCATTTAGTGTTGGACCTACATCGCGGCGCGGCGCGGCCTACTGCACACACCGCAGGTACTAACATATGTATATCTGTTGTTGTTACGTGCTTATGTCCTAAACAGCGTATGTGTTACTCTTAAATACCTATAATCTATTTTTGTGCTCGAAGATTAACATAGATACGAGACGATACATACACTTATCAATAATATCCAAGAATTCAGTGGAGAGCCAGAGGAACATCCAATATTCTAATATAGTTAAGGCATCACTCCGGTCGGGGTTGGGTTCAGGTCGCAGCGAAAAAGGCGCGGGTTGGTTTTTAGTCAGTGAAAGTCTGAGACTCCCTCGTCAAAAAAAAAAAAACAAATCTATTTTTTGAGGGGCGATGGAGAGTATACTGACTTTATTAACCACACCGGTCCGTCTCTTGCTCCAGGCCGAGGCCACATTATTGTGCCTGACCCACAACCCTGGCTGAGAGTTTCGAGACCTAGCAGTCAAAAGTGATGCTTCTTACTTTCATCATCATCATCAGCCGGAAGACGTCCACTGCTGGACAAAGGCCTCCCTCTTAGCTCTCCACGTCGAACGACAAGTTGCCACCTGCATCCATTGGTTCCCGCGACACTGACGATGTCGTCGGTCCACCTAGCGGGAGGCTTCTTACCTTCTTTAATTTATTACATTTCCTATTAATTATAATAGGAAATGTAATAAACTACCTAACGCTTTTAATTAATTGATTAATTACCTAACGCTTTTATAAAAGAAATCGCTTACATTTGTGCAACATCTGCCAATGCTAAGATTCGGAGACTTAACCATCAATAACATTATGTAGGTGAAAAGTAGTATACATAGCTATATTATGGAGACGTAGGTACATACTTAGTTATTGTAGTCAACATACATTTATTTCGTTGAAGGTATACAAAACATAGTGAGTGCATTTTGAATGAATAGGAATAAGTATAAATGTGGGTAGGCCAACATAGTTTCGTGCGCGCGGTTCACATGATACCGAGTCGTCACTCACCATGTCTTGTAGGCGAGCCAGAACGTGTCGGGATAAATATAAAGATGGACATAAAGTTACTTGTGTTACTAAGGTGAGGTCAAATTCACACTTCATACGAGTAGACTAAAGCGTAGTTGTTTGTATTGAGCAGTAAAAAATGCATCGGATGTCTGCGAGTGCCAGGTCACATTTGCAAATACGAAGTAAAAACATACATATAGCTGCTATTTTCGAAATTCGACAACTGTGTCTGTAATATTTTGCTATTTGGTAATCTTAAATTGTGCGGGAGAGCCAATCTTCGGCACGATTGGGTTGGCTTGACCGGAGTGATGCCACGGCCTTACAGAAAGCCGGCGTGAAACAACCACAATTGTATTTCGCCGTGTGAGTGAGGTTACCGGAGGCCCAATCCCTCCCCTTACCAATCCTTTAAATATCCGCAACCCTTATTCCCAAAAGGCCCAAAGTGTTGCGAGTGTCCATGGGTACCATCAGGTAATCCGTCTGCTCGTTTGCCAACTTATTCCGTAAAAAATAAATCATATTTTTTGACAGAAATACAAAGATTTTGAAATGATGTTGTCTATAACTTCGATCGTTAAGTCAGGATCACTAAGTCGATAAGACGATTGAGATAATTTCAAAATTATTATTTTTAAAAGTAAACCGTACGTGCATACCGCTCTGAGGAATGGCTAGAGAGTTAGAGAGACGACATGGTGTCCTCAGTCCTTCACCTTTCGCCTGACGCAGGTGCTTACCGGACAGGGATGCTTCGGTAGGTGCTTGTTTCGGATCTGGTTGGAGGAAACGCCCGGGTGTAGTCATTGCAAGTAACACCCGAAGGACTCAATGGAGCATATTGTGGCGGTGTCCCCTGCTTGAGCAGAGCACCGTTGTGTCGGCACGAAATTGATCGGCGGCGGCGACTTCTCGCGTTCAGCCCTAGTCGAGGCGGTGAACGAATGATGTGGAGCGAGAGGAACTGGGAAGCCTCTTTTCAATGCGAAACAGAGATGTTCACAAAGAAGGAAGCCGAGTTCGTAAAGCAACTATTGTCCTCTCGCCACACACTGGGCAAGAGAGGTCATTTGATGAAAATGTGCATCAATAAATATATTTTTAAATAGTATATCTAATAGCTTTGTAAAGATAAATTTTAATTATATAGCAATGTGTTGTCTTGGCTGATCATAATCCCCCTAAGCGTATACTCCACCTCCAAAAACCCTTCCTAGACGAACAACAGACCTTCAAGACCTCATCGTAACTGTTAGACTTGCTAGAATAAGCGTAGCAACGAAACAAAACGCAACCACAGACCACTGAGAAAATTTTTGAATTCAGTTTTTGTTTGGAGTAATAAAACGAACTATTTAGGTATCTACTATGTAATGGCCTGGCTGTAATTTTTATAACTATTTAGATATAAAATTTATTATGTATGCACCTCAGCTTGCTAGTAGGTAATATTGTAATTCCATCGTGGAACTGATAATATGGAACCACTGGCAATCCTATCTAACTACAAATTAATTAATTACACATTAAGTGCTGTCACACTAAAACAAGTTTTTTTATCGTACAAGCAGGAGTGGAGCAACAACCGACGGTGGAGCTATCTCATCGAGGACGCAGGTTGGTACCGACATTGACACTTACATGGATTATTGTATATACAATACATATATATACCTTCAACTATCAAATTATTTTGGGAAATTGTTGATGTTCTCAACGTTTGTAAATAGTTTTTTTTTTTTTTTTGTGAGGGGAAAATCATCAAATGACTTCTCCCGCCCAGGGCCGGGCAGGAGGGAGTGTCAGACTCTTACTGACTAAAAACCCCCCTGTTCCTTCTCCTGCTCTGTGCCGAGGTCGCGTTACCTCATTGCGCTTACCCCGCAACCCCGACTGAACATCAGCCCTTTAGGGCCCCGTCTGTGGTGGTCTATTGGCTCTTTGAGGCGCGCGCGGAACGCTACGCGCCGTACACTCGGGCCTGGTTCTGGTCGGGCGGCGAGCTGCCCTTACTCGCCGACCGCAGGCCCGTACTTACGGTGGCCGGAGATCGTCCCTCGATCCCCGACGCCCGTAGTGTCGCCAGTTGCGGCTGCTGGGGCGTGAGGAGGAGGATTGCTCCCTCACGCGGGCCGCCTCTCTCTTTGCGAGCATGACTGCTTCACAAAAGGAGCAGACGGCGTCCCAGTTCCTCTCACTCCGCACCATGGCCTCGACTAAGGCCGGGCGCGAGAGGTCGCCGCCGCCGATCACTTCCCTAAGGATACGGCGGTGCTCAGCCCAGGCAGGGCATACCGCTACCGTATGCTCCACCGTATCCTCTAGGTGGTCCTCACAATGACGACACTCGGGCGTTTCCTCCCGCTGAATCCGAAACAGGAACCTACCGAAGCTGCCGTGCCCGGTAAGCACCTGCGTCAGACGGAAGGTGAGGACGCCGTGGCGTCTCTCAAGCCACTCCTCAAAGAGGGGTCTTACCGCTGCTATGGTAGCGTGCCCGGCCCTCGGTTGCGACAGTCGTTGTTTCCACTCTGCCATGAGATCTCGCCGGAGCTCATTCCGCCACGCACTAATTTGGCGCGGCAGAGGATCTTCGCCCCGGCGACGCGCGTCTGCGCGCAAACTGTAGACGCGCGCGAGCGCCTTCGCTTCTAGATCCCACGGCGGTGATCCGGCAAGGAGGTTCGCCGCCTCCCCGGAGATCGTGCGATACCCGCGGATTACTCGAATAGCCATGACCCTCTGGGACGCGACCAGCGTACGAGCCGGCCGCCGCTTCAAGGCCGGCGCCCACACAGGGGCACCGTAGAGGGCCATGGATCGCACAATCCCCATATACAACCTCCGGCAGGAGGCGTTTGGCCCCCCGAGGTTGGGAAGGAGCCGCTTGAGCGCGGCCCCAGACCGTTCTAACTTAGGGGCCAAACGACGAAAATGCTCCGTGAAGTTCCATCGGCTGTCGAGGACGAGACCCAGGTACTTCATCGCCGACTCGACGCCGATGGTAACTCCTCCTGCCGTTATTTGGGACCCATCTGGAGGTGGCGCGTTCCGACGGCCATAGAAACACATGGCCTCGGACTTGTGGAGCGCCACCTCGAGTCCCAACTGCCGGATCCTTGCAACGACTGTCGCAACCGCTTGTGACATCAGGTCGGCCGCCGCCTGATGCGACCTCCCGTTCGCCAGCACCAGCGTGTCGTCAGCATAACAGACAATGCTGACGCCGCTCGGGAGGTCGGTGCGTAGCACCCAATCGTACCCGATGTTCCACAGGAGAGGTCCCAGGACCGATCCCTGTGGGACACCGCGCGACACCTCTCGCCGATTCCACACGCCCCGGTGACCGGGGTAGATGACGCATCTGTCCGTCAAGTAAGCCTCGACTACACGACGGAGATAGGCAGGCACCCGGTGATACCGGAGTGCCTCCAAAATGCAGCTCCAGGGCAACGAGTTGAAGGCGTTGGCGATGTCCAGAGACACCGCCACGACGACTCGCCTCCCGGCCAACGCTGTCCCCGTCGTGAGGTCCCTCACGCGCATGATGGCGTCCACCGTGGAGCGCCCTCTGCGGAACGTTTGTAAATAGTTAATGACATAATCTGCAATATCTTTTTTACGAGACTAATCAGGCAGTTAGTTTTTAATTATTTATCAACGAATCGTTTTGCTACTGAAAGTGAATATCCTCCTAATTTCCCAGGTAATGGCCTTCACACAGTCACCTACACGTACGCATGTACTTGGCGCCTGTGTACATAAGTAAATACTACGTAGATTACTCGAGTTCATCTGAAGTCCGCTCGGTCATTCAAAAACGTTGCGGTTCAAGGCCTCGTCGTCTCAAACTATTATTACATTTTATTATTATACGTATTTCTATTTACGACAATTCACATAGAGTTGAAAATGGAAAACACCTTGATAGATACTTAATTTACGATTGCAAAAAACCAGTGTTTTTAAACTTTGATCTTTGATATTCAGGCGAGGTCAGACTTTTTGTATTTTATTTGTTTCTTTAGCGTAGCACAATACTACGCGTCTATGTATATTCAGGCAGTTTAGCTAGTGCATACAGATAAATTAGTTGCTATATCTATATGTAAGTAAGCAAAAATAAAACAATAAACGGGAAGACAATCGATAGCTAGAATCTATAGTAGGTAGATAGGCACATACAACCAAGAAAATGCTGAAACAATGATGAGCGGCGCGTCCCATGAATCTGCTCTAGATCCCGGAACGATATAAATCAGAAGATGATCATTAGGGGAGAAGAAAGCAAATTATAAATTGTATAGGTAAAGTTGTGCATGTAGTGGGTGGGTGGTTACAGACAACATGTGCTACGCGGTCGGCGGATGCGCGGGCGCAGGTCCCGCGGCCTCATACGTGGCTGCGGCGCTGCAGTTCTTCGCTGCCTCCCAGTGCCTGCTACAAGAGTCATATCCCCGGCACGCCCATGTCACAAGTAATACTGTTTTTTTATCTCAGTTAACATCAACAATTTTATCAAGGTTATTTCTTTACTATGATTATGCAAGGGAAATGTGCCCTCTGACTGTTATTGTGAAGTCGTTTTTTGTGCTGTTGAAGTAGGTACCTACTATTAAAGTTTAAACAAAAACAAGCGAGTAATCAACAAGACGAGTCGTTACAGCATAGTTACACTAAACGAAGCAGTAGTAAAATGTTATTAATTATCATTCAGATGGATCCCAGTACGACTTCATCGTAGTGGGCGGCGGCACGGCGGGCTCAGCGCTGGCAGCGCGCCTCGCTGAAGAGGACCGATTCAGCGTGCTGCTGCTAGAGGCAGGGCCGAACCCTCCCGTCGAGAGTATTGTGAGTACTCGTACACACGTGTATTCTTACTACAAATTTATTTGATACTTACTCCGTCTTGAATAATCATTCCAGATACCGGGCTTAAGACAAACCTTGAAAGAAACGCCATACGACTGGAACTTTACAACAGTAGACGACGGTGTCACGAGTCAGGCGCTGGCGAGCCACGTCCAGAGACAGCCGCGAGGCAAGATGCTGGGTGGCAGCGGCTCCCTCAACGACATGGTGTACGCGCGGGGACACCCGCAGGACTACTACGAGTGGGCCGACATCGCGGGCGACGTCTGGAACTGGACTAACGTGCTGGACTACTTCAAGAAGACCGAGCACATGACGGATAGCAAAATCGTCGGCAACGAGGAGCTCATGCAGTACCACGGCACTGGAGGAGCCATCGAGGTGGCAGGAGCCCACTATCCGGACAGCCCCAATAGCAAAATGATGCAAGCATTCCAAGAGTTGGGCTTTGCCGCCGTGGACGACATGACGTACCCGTACAAGATAGGTGTGGGCAAGTTCTCCCACACCGTCAGGGCCGGCCGCAGGGACAGCTCGTTGACAGCTATGCTGAACAAAGTCAAGTCTCGTAAACTCCACGTTTTGAAGAATACATTTGCGACGAAGATTTTGTTCGAAGGGAACAAGGCGGTCGGGATACTAGCCGACTCGGATGGCAGGGAGTTACATGTTTACGCGAAACACGAAGTGATCGTGTCGGCCGGCACGTTCAATACTCCCAAGCTGTTGCTGCTGTCGGGCGTGGGCCCCAGTCATATCCTCAACCAGTTCGGCATAGATGTTGTCCAAGATCTGCCCGTGGGACAAGGTCTGCAGGATCACGTAATGTTCTTGAACTTCATGACTGCTCATCGAGGAACGTGCGAGTTGAAGGAAAGTGATGGTTACTTTAACGTGGTCAAATATTTGTACAACGGCTCGGGCACGCTATCTTATTCAGACAGTATCGGGGCTTACTTGCCTCAGAAGGACAAAGACGCCAACATTCCTTACTTCGCTATCTACCCGTCCTGCGTGCCGGCCGGACAACTGACCAGTAAGCTGTGCATGCAGGGCATCGGCTTCACAAATGAAATTTGTGGAAAGTTACAGAAGGAAAATGAGTTGCATGAGCTGATAGTGGCGGCCGTGGTGCTGCTGAAGCCGCAGTCTCGCGGTAATGTCACTCTGAAGTCTGTACATCCGGACGTCGACCCCGCCATTTACTCTGGAACTTTTGACGACGAAGCAGACTTGGAGGGATTCCCGGAAGCCATCGAGAAAGCTCTATCTCTGGTGAACACGACGCACTTTAAGAAGCTGGGCGCGAGAGTGGTGGACCTCACCCCGGAGAGCTGCGTCGGCCTGCAGGGCGCGGCGCGCAAGCGCTGCTCGGTGCGTGCGCTGGCGCTGGCGGCGTGGCACGCGGTGGGCACGGCGCGGCTGGGCGCCGTCCTGGACGCCGAGCTGCGCGTGCGCGGCCTGCAGGGGCTGCGCGTCGCCGACGCCAGCGTCATGCCCACTATGGTGCGCGGGAACACCAACGCGCCGGTCGTCATGATCGCAGAGATGGCCGCCGACTTCATCAAAAATCAATACGGAGACAAGTGATTCTTGGACACCGTCTATACCTGACGTAAATCAATATTCTAATTTGACGAAATTGTATTAATATTTGTATATCAGCAATAGTAATCTTAGTTAATTGTTTGACGGAATAATTATTGAAAAATAATGTTATGTTTATATCTTGTAACCTAGGTAAATACTGCAAGTACCTGTATTGTATTAATTATATATTTTATGATGTGACGATGTCTAGCTTCGTATTATTAAGTATTTAATGTTGTATTCAGCAATTATTCGTGAATGTATCGAGTAAGCAGTAATTGTAACGTTAATTTAGTGACGCAGTCGCCTGCAGTGAGTGTGTCTGCACGCTACTTGGAGGCTGCAGGCGGCTGCTGTTCCCAGCTACGAGATAATGGTACCTGCCTCCTGCGCGTGATGTTAGTGATAGGACAGTAGTGAGAGTAGATAGCGACAGAACTTGCCGAGACCAATTATTTGCAGAGAAGAGCGTAATACGTACGACTGCAGCGTTAACAATTTGCTAACAACATTTTGCTAGGCGCCACATCACAGCTCGGTATACGTGCGGATTCTGATTGGTAAATACAACCAGGACCTACTAATTGGTTGGTAAATTGAACACATTATTATTACAAGCAAGTTACTGTATCGTACCATTAGTGCAGTATGCTGGAGTAACTTTAATTCGGTAACTTGACTACGGTACAACTGTACCGGTCTGTGTGTGTGTGAGTGCCACGCCAACACATGTGTAGTTGTGCGCATTATACCTTCTTATTGCTTCTGATAAATACTGTTTGATGAAATATTATATAATTATTGTATTCTAATAAACTGTGTGCTACTAACTGTATCTCGTGTTTTATAGTCCATTGTCGATCTACTCCTTGTATAAACATTTTATGTAATTGCGGCAACCAAATAGTCGGGTCCCCTGATGGCAACAAACTGCGTCGCCGATGGACGCCGGCAACATCGAGGAGTTACAAGTGGCTCGCCGACCTTTTATGACTTGGCCATTGTATTGACGGGGAGGGGAAAGGATTGGTCCAACTATTTGCTCAGCATTTTCTTTTTGAAAATACTCTAAGGACCTGTGATTCTTGTGTCATTTTATTATTTTATTACATTATAGACACTCAACGGACGGTATCCTAGCGGCCCGCCCACTTATACATACATTCTCATTCTCTGCGGCTTTGGAACCTAGCAAGTACTTTTGCCGAGTCATATGTAGGTACCTACATCAATTATTCAGATACCACATGCCGATTATTATTATTTCAAACGTTTTACATCGCCAATCCGCGTTCAGCAAGCGTCATGATTGAAGCTCATACCATCTCTGTGTTCTCACACAGGCGCGTTGTGTGGTGGCGTCGTGGTGGCTCAGGGTTAAAGCGACCGCTTCCTATGCATGGGTTCTGGATCCAAACCTGACAAGTAACAATGTGTCGTGATTCATGCTCAAACATTCTCCGTGTTATAAGAGACTTCTGCTCAGCAGTGGGCACTTAGGTATAGATTGATGGTGTTAGAAGAGGCATTTGCTCTCTAGCAGGCTAGTGAATGAAATAATGGATTGAACCAATTTTTTTTTAAGAAAGAAAAATGTGAACAGATCCTGCTTAGTTAAGTGCAGTGCTTAGCATTCGGCTGCCCGGTTCCTTATTCCATTATTATTCTCACTTCGAACAACTAATTAAGAATATTCAAATGGATTACGTTACAACTTAATTGTTACAAACTAGAAAGGTTATCGTTTCTCCCCATCTAAGGTGCGGGAATGCACCGCGACGTAACGTTAACGTAATCTAACGCGTTTTGACGTGACATGAATGGCCAATGTGATGAAGCCATGTTTTATATACGTGACTTATATATAGGGTATCTTTGTTACGTAATTGATAATACCAGCCTGGTGATAGTTATATAGTTGAAATAACGTGTGAGCTGTTGTGGTAAGTACCTAATATATAGTATATGATAAGTGGGCCTATGACCTACTTCCACTCTCTCCGTCCATCAATAAAAGTTATTTTATCCTCAAGCATTAATACTAGTCTAGTTAATTAATACTAGTTGTGGGACGGCAAACTAGCATATGTGTTACCTGATGGTAAGCAATCAGCGCCACCCATGGACAACCGCAACAACAGAGGAGTTACGAGTGTGTTGCCGATCTTCTGGTAATTAGGGATTGGGGGAGGGGAAGTATTGGGCCTTCGGTAACCCTACTAACACGACAAAACACAACGCTGTGGTTGTTTCTCGCCGGTTTTCTGTGAGGCCGCGGTACCACTCCGGTCAAGCCGGCCTATTCGTGCCGAAGCTTGGGTCTCCCACACTTAAAACAGTTCTTAGATTGCTTAAAGAGGGTCAATTCCACGTGGTAACTAAACTAGCAAACGCATCCCAATGCAAGGCTAGGGAAGAAATCGCTAATATCCAAGCAGATTTGATTGTAGATAGTCGCTGTGCATCAATTGGGAATTTCATAGGTGACGTGACGTGCTCTGTATTCAACAATATTGTACCAGTAGAGAAGGGGACACAGATAATTGGCAACATGGTGTCACTTAGTGCACGCGCACCTCGTAACGCGACACTTGGAACAGTTGACTGCATGGAGTCACCACGTCATGGCAAGCTCCTTCACTTTCTAACGCACCTGCGTATAGATGCGCACGCGCCCCTCTAGTGTTACAGTTTCCGGTGCTCGACTGGCCGGAAACGCTGCCAGGGATGGAACACGACGACAGCTGATAGTAGGCGGCGGTGAACTAATGATATCCTCCATATTAAGTAGTGGTTACTGGTCGGTATTACAGAGTGCGCCGTGTAATCCAGGCCATCAGCTAGTCGAGTCTGGCGGTCCAGTAGCATACTGCTGACTGTGTAAGTGGGCCCTTATAGTAATCATACACAAGAAATGTTAAAAAGATAGGTAGGTACCTACAGAGATTTGGCAATTGCTTCTGGTCGTCTCATTTCAGTAACACATTACAGTAAGCTTGGTCCCAAACTCAATTTCTACGATAATATATCATTGGTATCGTTATTTAAGTGTATGTCCAGCGGCCACTTTGCCACTTGTCACTTCATTTACCTAATTTTTTTGCTTTTAATGCACACGTATTGAAGTCCTTAAGTTGCACATATCACATTAAATAATAAAATTAATAATCTATTAATAAGCGTGCCTGTTTGAAATGATTATAAAATTTAACAAGAAGTGTTGCTATTGGCATATATTTAGGGATTTGGTGAAGAGAGAGACGGACGAAACAGCTGTGTGGACAATGCGTTATCAGACGAGGGGTGAGGTCGCGGCTGTTATCAATGAGCGGCGGACGACAACATCAACAAGAGGAGACAGGTGCGCGACTTTCACCGGCGCGGGAGCCGGCGCACGCTCAGTCGCTGCCGAGAGCCGAGCGCCGCGCACGCGCACCTCCAGTGATGCTCCGACATGGCCGACGCGGCGCGAGTGGACACGTACGACGCGCGAGTCACCACCGCCACGGTGTCCAGCCTCAAGTCCGAGGACTCCACCGAGCAGCTCATCTGCAAGACGCCGCAGAAGAAAGTTAAGAAAGTGACCAAAGACAAGAGTGTGAGTTCTAAGAGTGTTGAAGCGGGTAGTGATGAGCCTCACAGGAGGCGGCTCGTCGTCTTCCTGGGGCTGGGCCAGGTGGTGCTCGGCGCCTTGCTGGTGGGCGCCGGGGCGCTCGCCGTGGTGAAGGGCGCCGCCCTTTCGCGCGTGGGCGCTGGCCTGTGGGCGGGCTGCGTGGCTGTGGTGGCAGGGGTGGTCGGCGTGTTGGCCGGCATCAACGACTGCTACGGACTCAACGCCTCCAGCTCTGGGTGAGTGTCACTGAAAGTTGTCAGCAGTATGCCGAGAGAGAGTTTGTCGAGTGATTTATTCCGAACTAGGATTGTTTCTTCCCAAGCGGTATACTTGGTGCAACCGAGCATAAATTCGTCAAGTGAAACTAGTTTGTAATAAAAAGACGTATAATGCTATTTAAACTATACAGGAAAACTATCAAGTAAAACATTTGATTGCACGCTTATTGAGCCTGTAGGCTGTAAATGAGCGCTCGCCAGTAAGTGTAAATTGATAATAACAAAATATTTCGTACGTAAGACTAAGATGTAAATTAAAGTGAAAGTTATCTGCAGCGAAATAAACAAACAAGCCGGGCGGCGGCGCGACACTACACTACACTCATTTTACTAGAGTAGGTACTTTTCATACATCAATCATGATATTCAATATTCGATAGAAAATTTGGCATGATGGCGGCGCAGGCGCAGCACACAGAGCTACTTTTACTGGGAACGCGAACAAGTTCGGGGGCATCACGAACCGAGGCAAAAACTTAGTAAACTGACAAATTATGTGTGTCAGCGATGGCACCGCCACACTCGGCTCATTCATATTAAACTTTAGTAGAAAAACGACAAATACATAATTGTTTAATGTAAGGATCGAACACGACAATAATCACATTAGCCTAAAGTATAAACATATAGTTTAATATTATATTAAACTTTCTGCGTTAATTTGTTCATTAAACGAAATAAAATTCTATAAATTTTAATCAATTACTTCAAAAATATTTTTATTAGTTTCCCATTTATATACTACTGGCTACTCTCGCGCGGTTTCACCCGCTGCTCGGCTCTATTTGATCGTAGCGTGATGTTTTATAGCCTATAGCACTCAGTATATTGTAGCTAATATAGCTATATCAGTGAAAGATTTTTGACAATCCGACCAGCAGTTTCAAAGATTACCCCATACATAAAAACTTTAATTAGTATAGATAGATTTAGGGCGACATCCAAGTCCAAAGGTTAGGTTTTGTGACTACTATACCAATAAAAGGTAAATCATTTAACGAGCAATCAGAAGAATTAAAAAATAAAATAAAAGATACTGACAAAGAGGTTTGACGCATAATGAGCTAGCATCCATCATTGGGCCGGCTATGATGTAATGTCGATTTACTTTCAAAACAAACAAATAACAACAGTTGTCCGACTCCGGCGTTGAACTCGTGACCTTTCACTCAGCAACACAAATCGTTTGTAACAATGCAGTAATTTAACAGGTAACAGCATTTTTGGCAGACTCAGAACATTATTGCACTCAATGTGTCATTCTAATCTAGAACTATAAATAAGTAATATAATATAAAAATAAATGATTATTTCGTTTAAAAGGCACATTACAATATAAAGCTTGCCACCGTAAGAGTGTCTACGGATCACCACGTCGATTCTATAAAATTTGTTTGATTTTGAATCGTGTTCGAGTGCGAAGTGAGCATCGAAGTGACAGGGAAATTAAATTTTAGAATGCCACTTTTCATCATCATCATCTCATACTTTATCTATCAAAATGTTCATGTCAATTTAGGTTAACTCGCAAGTGTAGCGCTAGTGTACTACTACTCACAGCGGATGCAGATTCGAAGTTTAGAATGAAGTCTTACAGAATCACACTGCAGACCAGAATCAGACTCGAGCTTACAGCGCGTAGTACTCCGCGCGCGCCTCAAACAGCCACAAGATCACCACAGATGGGGCCCAACAGGATCGATGTTCAGTCAGGGCTGTGAGTGCAAGTGCAATAATGTTATGACTGCATAACATTATTGCACTTGCTTTGTTCCGGGCTGACACTGGTCAGTCCGGAGCAGGAGAAGGCGCGGCCTGGTTTTTTGTCAGTAAGAATCTGACAATCCAATCAGGGAGGACCACTTCAGTAAAAAGATGATTATCTGTCTATTTCTATTTTCATTCACCAGTTAGTTAGGTTAAGAGGTTCTCCGGCATCGCTTTGTATTCCACCTGTATCATCACTCCATGTATAAAACAAAGTGGCTTTCTATGTCCCTATATGCCTACCTATGCTGAAATCTCTAAAACTATACAATGGATTTTAATGGGTCTTTTAATGGATAGAGTGATTAAAGAGGAAAGTCAGTAGGCTGCGCGACGTCGCCGCGTCCGCGCACGCTGCTCATGAGGAAGAACCCCTCTGTGGTTCGAAACTTGTAGAGCTTTTCTCAATATTTACACGTGAATAACCCGCGATTTTTAGTTAATTAAGAGGAAAGTTTATATACATAATATATATATGTATACATCCAATAAATAGCGGAGAAATTAAGTGTCAGCATTGCACCCACGCGAAGCCGGGACGGGTCGCTAGTATTTTATTTAATTTTCATTTGTTTGACCTCCCACATCGAATCCTAGCTCGGTGGACGTGCTCGCGACCACCCGGCATACGAGACAGTCCACCCTGACACGAAAAATCTATAAAACTGAGCTGCAGACCGATCCTGATGAATGCAGTTTACCAATTTTAATTCCAAGCGTAACTGACGCCGTCTGCTATAAAATATGAATAGACGTGTACCACAAAGCTTTCCTCGCCAAACGTCCTTCAGTGAGGGAGTAGGAAGTCAGCTCAGTGGCAACATTCCACAAACTCGTTGCCATAGCAACCGAGTTGTTTGTTGAAAGTCCAGCGCTTTCTCTGCACTCCCGTGTTCAGTACATGTTGTAAGTTACGCAACTGCTAAGGTGGCCTCCACAGTCCACACGTGGACAACAGATACATTGGAAACAGATGTTCGATTTTCATTCAGATCTCATATAATTATAGACTAGGAGAGAAACGTGATCCCACTAGGTCAAAAACGAGAATCTTCTGTTTAACGATCAGTATTGTCTGTAAGGATAATATTAACTCGATTATACTTCATTAAATGTTATATTTCAGTAATATTTTAAAAGTTGACATGCAATCCCAATCCCGGACACATCCTCAAGGCCTCATCCTTTTCTTTATTTTCGAGGGGGGAAATAATCAAATAAAGCCGTAGTGATACCACGGCCTCACAAAAAACCGGCGTGAAACAACCACAGCGTTGTGTTTCGCCGTGTGAGTGAGGTTACCGAAGGCCCAATCCTTCCCCACCCCCAATCCTTCCTCAATCCCTAAATCTCCAAATCCCTAAAAGTCAAAGTCAAAAGTCAAAAATCATTTATTTCAATTAGACCACAGTAGGCACTTTTGAACGTCAAGCAAGCAAAAAAGGAAAAAAGTATATAACAAGAGCTTTAAAATTAAGCGTGTCAGTCTGTCCGTCTGTCCTCTAGTGAAGCTATTTGCTCGTTCCAAAGTGTAGATTCCTATGGAGAAGAACGAGCAAGAAACTCCATCCTAATCCCTGAAATGTCGGCAACGCACTCGTGACCATAGGCGGCGCTGATTACTTACCATCAGGTAATCCGTCTGCTCGTTTGCCGATCTACTACATAAAAAAAAAACAAAAAAAAGCCAGCAAACAATCAAGGGTGACGTAGATTCAGTGCACGAGTTTAGACACTAATAAAACCGCGGCCATTACAAATATTAGCGGCGCGCCATTTCCTTTTATTAACCTTTTAATTTTAGTTAGGAAATGGACAATAAACTTAGATTTCCTTGAGCTGTGTACATAAAGAAGACATTAAAGCCGGTGTGATTGAGAGCTCGGCCTGTGTCGGCTCCCGACCCGCGGAAGGAGATTAAAAATACATTAATTCATGAGAAAACACTAGTTCTGCTGCGACGGTAAACATAGGTAACTTTGTGCATGTATGTCATCTACCTAACTCGACCCGGGGCTTGAAACCAGGACCTCGTAGTGGTCAGCAGTGTCATGATGACGAACTTAAACATCCGACGCAACTTTTATAGCTATTTAAGTATTAGTAACGATCCAATGTTGTCTTCCCTCACAAGACACAGAGTCTGCTCACTGTCTCAGCACGTTCCTCTCTCCATGCTATATGAGATTCCAAGTGAGCACATACATTTCCTGACTACAAGTGTGCGTATTTACTATGTATAGAGTATGTCTGCGCGGGAGTGTTGCGCAGCGGACCGTGCCGTGTTCCGCTGCGCGCACGCAGATGTGAGTGCATACAGTACTATGCACTGTTCCCTGGTGTCTAACGTGAAGTTTACACTGACTTCTGAAACTTACATTGTCTCACCAAAAATAGCCTTGATATGTCATGTTCATCAGGCAATTTTCGAGTCTATTGTGGGAATATAAACTAGTTTTTTGTCTGTAGCCAACATACCAACCAATTATCATCTTATAACCACCAAGCTAGCAATATTGGCGCGGTAGCTATGTAGCCATGCTGGCGCGCAACGTGTCGCAGGTTCGATTCCCACACGGAACGGAACTGCTTGTGAGATCCACAAATTGTTGTTCCTGGTCTGGGTGTCATGTGTATGTGAAATTGTATGTTTATATAGGCGACAACGACACAGGTGAAGAAAGGTGGAGAAAATTCTAGTGCGGGGCAACGTTTTGTTTTGGAAATAAGAATTGAAATGTTGAGCTTATATTATCGTTGTTTTGGACCTTGGTTACTAATTCTCTGCCTACCTCGATGCACCGTGCATGTAGCCGCAACACGATGAGCACAATGTTGCACCTCTAGTACCGTTGCGTCACGTGCACGCGCCCCCGTGCAGCGCGCGTGGCTAACAGTTAGTTGAGCAGCATTGTGCGCTGGGAACTGCTGCTGCTCGCCGCGACCTGCGAGATATGCTTGCACATTTGCATTCGTCCACTTTTTGTTGCCATTTCCTTATTGAGCCTCATACTTTATAGCTCTTTATGAATAAATACAACTGTTAGCTGTAGCTTCGAATCATACACACAGTTGTTGTTGTTGTTTAAGTTGAGTTGACTTAAAACAAGATGAGTTTGAAACTTTTTAAATATGTAGTTATTGCAATAAATTTGGTCTTGCCCGAGTAAAAAAAATAAAGGCAGCGAATATTCTTTGTTTTTTGTAGTAACTAGATACATAAACAGTTTCCATTGCATGTGTTCAGTTGTTTTACGGAATCTGTGTTTTAAACAACTTGTCGCATAGTAATGGCGTGTGTGAGATTTATACTTACAAACTCATTTAATTATGCGAAATTCGTATTAATAAGTCTTTATAAATATTTATATAGGTACATATACTAACTTATACTAGTAATTGCAGACTATATTACGAAACTAACTTGTTCCAATATTTAGTTGTCTAATACGCAAACTGTAACTAGTCTGCTGTCCTTTGCAATTCTGATAGCATCATGTGTCGAGAGGAGTGAGTTGTTGGTACCGACGGACGGCAGCCACGGCCCTCACTGTGCATCTGACGAGGTTGTCTCGATTCGGACACAGTTAACAATTCCTTCTGTATTCATCTAGTTTGACAAACTTATCGTACTATGAAATACAATTCACTAAGTATTTGAAATTAAAAGCATCAAATCAAGAGAATTTTATCTTCAATCAATCGGATGAATTTTATCTGTGTGAGTTAAAAAACAAATCCATTTCCTACGTAACTGAGTATATAAAGAAAATAGTGTAAATGCTTATTCAGTGAGCAGCGATACCGCGCAATGAGTGAGTTCTATCAGCAGCTATAAATGATATAATGGGAAGTCGAACGGCTCGTAACCTGTGTACCTCAAAGCATTCCTTCAGTTTTACTGCACTAATTTAATAACTATCGAGGCTTTATATCCCTTGTATATACGTCTAGAGAAACAATTAAAATAATACGGCGGCGTCCTTTCAAGCCGCTGCATTATAATGAATGCGAGATTGCCATCTTATTGGACAGACAGAAGCTCGTCAAGCTATATCTGCCTTTAATAGATTTTCCACTCTTAGATTTTGCAATAAAGTCGAAAATATGTTTTATAAATGTTTCTACCATAACTACCCTCGTAGTTTGGTTGGCTCACTAAATATATATATCAAACAATGAAACAAGAATTTATTTTTGCAAATACATATTTAGGCCATAAAACGGCACTTTTACAAGTCAATTTATATGTGAAAAACTAGGTGAAGCCGGCATTTCCTATCTGACCACTCTGAGAAGAAATGCCGAAACAAACTCAATATCAATGTATTTAGTAGCTACATCAAGTTACAACAAATGTATTTGACACGTTCGCATTAGCTCTTTTAAACGAAGTTAGTTTAATTCAACAAGCTAGAAGTATAAAAAACTGTGATTGTCTCCCACATTTTAATACATGTTAGTTTGGTGTATAAAACCTTTATGTTGGATCTTGAGCCTGCCAGTAGCCGGCGTAACTAACTTCAAACTTCATGGTCATCAGCATTGGTGACCATGGAGGCATCAAGCTGGCCCAGTCATTACCCCAACCGTTATTCAAACCTAGGACATTAGTGTATAAGCTGTAGTTACGTGTGCAGTACGCTGACGACACAGGAAGTTAGTCTGTTCTCACGTAACACTAGAGTGCGCGTGCGCAGGGACATGGCATTATCGTGCGCAGACCTGTTGACAAGCTGTCAACTCCTGCGCACTAGATTGACGCGCAATTATTAAATGTTTTTTATGGTTAGAGTTATCAGCTACAGTCGTGGACACCTGCAGCATCATGAGGAGCACGAATACGTTGCCAGTCTTTATTTATCTTGTTGTAAAGGGTGTGTTGTGTATGTGAATTTCTATGTTTCTAAACGCACCCACGACACACACGAAAAAATCCTAGAGTGGGGCAACGTTTAAAAAAAAGAATTCGTAATTCGTGTTAACACAGAAGATAAGTTTTAAATGTGGGAGAGCGATGCTCCGGCACGAATCGGTCGCCGTGTGAGTTCAAGGATGGCCAGTCCTTCCCCTCCCACAATTCCTCCCCAAACCCAAAATCTCCGAATCCCTAATCTCTAACAGTTCGGCAAGGCACTTGTAACTCCTTCGTGTTTGCGAGAGTCCAGGGGCGGCGTTGATTGCTTACCATCAGGTAATCCTTTAGCTCGTTTGCCGTTCTATCAAGTCAAAAGATAAGAACTAGATCTTTAATGTTACGACTGTAGCCTTACAAAACTACCTTCAGTAGCTGCCATTCATCAACATATATATATGTATTTATCAACGTGCTGCTGATTGGCCATTGAGACATTCTCGCATGGACCCGCTAACTAGCAGGGTGGGTAGTGTGGCCACTCTCGCCACTTTCTGTTCCATTGCTTCACACTAACTGCAGTATTGCTGCATTCAGTAGCTCAGTAATAAAAGTTTGACGCCTCCATTTTGGTACTCTAATTGTCATTAAAAATCATCATTATAAATGACTAAATTCTACATTATAAAGACAGATAATGATTATAGTTTTAATTGGTGACATAGTAATATTATTGCAATATTATCAGTACCAGGGTGCATACGACAAGTGCACATCGCGTAACTATGCTTTCACTCACACACGATACGTTGCGTCACACAAGCCAATTTGTGTCATAACTTCATCACATCACGGTCGATTCTCAAGTGACAATCACGGGAGAAAATAATTAGTTGTTAAAGCGCCGAAAGGAAGATTGTAGCGATCGATGATTGATGGTGAGCGGCGCCTGCGCAGGTGATGGAGCCAAGATAAACTGTTTAATGATTGGTCGATCACGGAGGCGCTCTAATGAAATCTCGTGATGTTGTGCTCTTCACTCAGGGTTTCTATTCGTAACGAGTTTCTTTACAAGATTACTCCGACTTGAAGCTCGGACTTTACGTCATAGCTAAGTAGTTGTTGGTTATAAGAACTACATATATACAACCGTATTGTTGTTTAAGGTAGGTACTAGTAATATTAGTATTTTTGAAATGATAACAGTATAAACGTATCACTCCTCCTATGGTTGTTCATTACAATGAGATGAGTGGCTCATTCTTTTTTTTCTTATCACGTTTCCCGTTACGGCGTGCCCCGCGGCTTGGCTCGTCTGTATCGACAATCGACACCCTAATTATATGATACCGAGTCGATAGTGCCGGTACTTTCTCTGTAGCTGCTGTTAATTATTCGTTTCATATCGAGATTGACGGCTACCACCTACTACGGCCTTGATTGTCTCGCGAATATTCCACTGGAATGCAGATTATTTACTCGTAGAATAGGCACGGCACTGGCCTATCAAAGACCACTGCCAAGCCTCTTCTTACACAAGAAGTTTCAAGCGTTAATCGCTGTTCAAAGCTGATGATTTTATCATCATCAAGTGATATGTAAATAATATTAGTTAGCACATATACCTATATATGTAACACGGAAAAAAATCACGTTGGTTCTTGACTCCCTCATGCATAAGAAGAAGGAGCTTTAACCCTCGGACCTAATCCACGAACTACTTAGAATGCTTATTTCTTACAAATGTGTAACACAGTACTCGTAATGTACTGTTGAAGAATTTTTAAGACAATTATATTTTCCACCCAAGTTGGTCATACATTTACAATGTGTAATGGAATTGTTTCCCACCGGGGGACTTAATACCATAGTAATATTGAAAGCTTGAATAAAACTATTGATCACAAGTTATGATCAGTTCAATACTACACAATTAAGTATAATAGTGAAGATGGACCGCTCGGCGCAAACTTTCGCTGTTCAATTACCGGCAGTTCACGGAGGTCGCACGCAGTCACGACGCCCGGGGACCGAGTCTCGTACACTACGAACATACTCCCAGACAGTGGAATGATTGTTATGTGATACTGCCTCATATGACACAGGATCTCATATAGACAGAGAAATCAAAAAAGAAAGCAATATAGGTAGGTTTCCTCCTACGACTTCCTGATGGGTCAGTGCCTGCGACTTTTAAAAATATGTCAAGAAACTTTCCAGGACGATTCATTAGGGAGGCCTATGTTCAGCAGTTGTTCACTTCTTGTGGTTGACATGATGATGAAAGGATGAAACTATAACCTAGTAACGAATAGTTATATGTTATATGCGTTCCTAGCTAATCTCGCGCGGTTTCACCCGCTGCTCGACTCCATTTGATTGAAGCGTGATGTTTTATAGCCTATACCACTCGGGAACATTGTAGCTATCTATCAGTGAAAGAATTTTGGCAATCCAACAAGCGGTTCCAAAGATTACCCTCTACATACAAACTTACAAATTTTACCTCTTTATAATATTAGTATAGATTAGTTATATGCGAACACAATGATGAGGTGAGGTATTGTTACAGAAGCCCCCTGCTGACGGCGTTCCTGGCGCTGTCGCTGCTGTGCCTGGCGTGTGGCAACAGTGCCGCGGTGCTGGCCGCCACCGGGCTGCAGCGTGACTCGCTGCGCCAGCCCACCACACCCGCCAGCTTCGAAGTAAGTACCACGTCCATACTGTACGCCATGACTATCTGTCGCTACTGGCCCTAGGTGCGAGGAACCTGCGACCAACTGATCATAAACCAATATCTGTAGATGGATTTACTCACGTGTATTAAGTGAAAAAAAATCGACTATGTTTAAATCACAACGGGACTCTTATTCATGAGACGCATGCACGTTACGCTACCGACTAGTAGAACTTTAATATGCCCCACGATAAGATAATGACAGAATTTTATATCGATGTTATTCATGTATCGATAATATATCTAATCGATATAAAACTAAACCATCGAGCGATTTTCAACTAAGATCGGTTTAATGGTTCAGTTATGGGTTGGTAGGTCCATAAGAAGCTCGAGTAATATTAACATTAAGATATTATAGCTCCCGATACTAAACCAGTAAGACAGTAATTAATAAATCAGTATCAGCAACACAGCGAAACTTTCGATTGACGTGTACTTGGAGGTGGACGCCATGTTTTCCAGGCTATGTACTCGTGTACTCGAGATAATTGATTCAATTAGACGTTATCAACATTAGCATACAATCTGGCGTTACATCGGCCACGGCTATTTATTGGCCGGCGGGCTGTTGGGCAACCACTTGCCTGCATAAATAGCTCGCTATCAGTCCGGTCTATTTGTACATTCGTGGTACTAGCACTGGCGATAAAAACGTGCAAAATATTTATTCATAAAAATAAAAGACCAATAATCTAAAGATCGAGTGCAGTGAGCACTGATCTTTAAATTAGGTGTGATATGGTAGCTACACTGAAAAGCAATCAGTAGCTAACCGAACTTTCCGATTCGAATAAAAAATAGCCAGTAACACTCAAACCGTTTTATTACCGAACCATTAAATCAGCCATGCAGCACAGCTAGGAAGCTAGGCACAGTACCTTCTATATTTATTATACTTCAATAAATTACAGACGTGCGTAAGTACTCAGTAAGTACGTATGTCCCCACATGTTACGGCATTGCTTGCTCACGTGTGACGCAACCCCTTTACTGCGAATGGTCTAGGAACTCCAGCTAAACAAATTACTTTACTACAAGTATTTCCTCACTTTCCTCGTTTTAGTGTTTACTTGGTAGGTAACTTCAAACACCTTTCCACTTTATGCTGCTGAGATAACGAGCGTCGTAATAACCTATCTACCTCGATCTGTCCATAGATTTAGGTACTTACTAAAGAAAACAGTTGTGTCCAAGTTGTATCGAGCTTTGGTCAAAATCTGTCTTTGTGTACATCCAAATCTATCAAGTGATAGAGGTGATACTGACTGATTTAAAAGCACGGACGATAATAGCAGAAGGTCGCCGGGTGACATGTGATGCTTGTGGGCTAATGGGCAGAGCATGATCCGTGTACATGTCGCGATGACTATTATCGCAGAGTGTGCTCGAGCCAGCCTTGTTCCACATCGTGTAGTTAGTCGATTCAATGTAGATGTTACCTTAATTCAATCATTATTAAGGCAATTCACCGACTCTGTCTTTTGTAACATCGATAGTTAAATTTTACAATTTGTCTACATAAGTTTTCGTCTCCCAAGTGTATACTTTTGAAAACACAATCATGTTCCTACATTAATACCTATTGCATAAATTACCAAGTGTGGAAGCCATACTTCGCCAAATGGGTCACCTCACCTCACAGAAACCAATGTAAATCAACGTTTGTGTTTCGCTTCGCCATGTGAGTGAAGTAACTGGATGACCAAAACTCCTCCCTATCCCCAAGTCCCAAATCTCTAGCCCCAAGAAGGTTGACAATGTAATCTGGTACTGTTCATGGACTGTTATTGTCTGCTATTTTAAGTGCTTCACCAGCCAATACCGATGCTGTGGTACATACAAGTAAGCCCACATTACGTTGATTCAATATCAGTGAGGTAAACATAATCTGGTGCAAATGAGCGGATGTTGTGAGTCTCCAGTCAAGGTTGACATCAGCCGGCGTTGAACCCAAGTCACTGCGATTACGTGTAATGACACAAGTCACGAATGACGGCACGGTGCTGCGTGAGTACGCGCGGTATTGGAGAGGCTCGCTCTAATTACACTTGCACAATGATAACCATTGCTTCGAAGTTTCATATAACTTGTAGAAATGTAGAAATTACATTTTTCACGTGTTTTGTATGACTACGTAATGTATTATGTGAAGCTGTATCAGTGTATTCACGCGTATCTAATAAGCAGCGTTATTGAAACAACATACATAGATAACGTTATTGAGTCAATTGATTGTTGCACGGTTGGTGCAGTGGCTGGGTAATTGGCTGCCGGACAACGTGTCGCGGGTTCATTTCCCGCACGGAACACCTCTGTGTGATCCACAAATTGTTATTCCGGGTCTGGGTGTCGTGGGTATTGGAAATTGTATGTTTGCAACCGCACCTACGACACAGGAGAAAATCCTAATGTGGGGCAATGCCCCAAACGTCAAATCCTGTAAATTGTTCATTGGCGACGCAGGTTCGATCGAGCCTTATCCGACAAAATCAAAACATTTGGTATTTACTGAAAATGCGTCAAGCAGTCAAGATGATTTCATATTTTCCATAATTAAACAAATATTAACCTTCCTGAGACGAATGGAATAACACTGATGGTATTTTAATACCTGACCAGATGTAATGATAGTTGTTAATCTGGCAGTTTCAGCAACAGCTGTGTATGTACCTCGTGAGATAACCGGCGGGGGAGGTCAACGGCCTGACGCCTCATTAAAATAACATCTTACCAAGTTACCACACAAAACGTAACGGTCAGCTACTCACACCAACTAACTACTGCTCAGCAGATACTACATGGGCTGTGCACTTACATGCCAAATATATTACCCATAGTACTGACTGATTATGCACAAACTTCAAATACTTCAAGGTTGTGGAATACACCTCTATAGTACAATATTCTTCCTTCCACAATAAGTTACCGCAAACCCTAGTCAGAGCAGGATTCCATATCCTGCAAGGTGGTTGGTTAGTTGTCAACTTCCAATACTGTCACATGGCGACAACCTCAGCGTTGGGTTTCGTTGTGTGAATGAGGTTATTGGAGGTCCAATCCTTCTTCCCCTCCCGCAATCCCTTCTCAATCCCTGAATCTCCAATATCCTAAACTCCAAAAGACCGAGAACACATTTATTACTCTGGCGTGTTGCGGGTGTCTTGCTCGTTTGCCGACCTATCACCTAAAAAAAAATGCAACATTTTGTGAACACATTCAAAATTTATGTGGATATGCATTGTCTATGCAATTCACATCCATATTAATAGCTAACGGATATATTTGATAAATGTCTAATTAGCGCTGCAGCAGTAATGGTGTTAAAAGTCAAACTATATTAACGAGCAATATTGTTCTCTCATCAAGCATTGTTCCGCGCTCCTGTGGGAAGCAATCTACTGATTATCACGTAAACCTACATTACTAGTAATAACAAACTTTACAAGCTGCCTGGCAACATGAGGTCAATAATATATTAAGTTATCAAGAAACAGAAATATACTGTTGAGTTTATTTTATAACCATATTGAATAATTATTATTTTATATTTAAACAACTTTAAATTAAAGGAGATTTTAAGTTTGTCAGTAATAAGGTTGTTCATTAAGCTATAATTAACACCGAGAGTGTAATAACAATAGTACATATTTGTTACATTCACACGTTACACAGGAACGGTATCGTTCAACACGTGTTTATGTCTATACAATAGTGCCAGGTGATAGCTCATGGCTCACTAGTGGCATGGTGGCCAGCCTCCAGGAGGTCGACCAGTCCGTTGCTCGAGGCTGATGTTACCTTCACTACACTGCAGCTGTCATTATGTATTGAGATTGTTTTGGCATGTATAGTGTACTAAGAATATCATTATCTCAACGTTTAAAACAGAGATTGCCGAGAGACTTCCATCATTGACCTTTTTAAATATTTGTTGTGATTAGTAGTATTTTGGACCAATTGTTTGTTTAATGAGCTCGTGTCATTATCAGTCATTCAGTTGATTCGATTCTGTCTTACTATTGCAGTACGGCAGAATCGAATCAACCTTCACCGGCTAAGCGTCTCTTTTAGGGCCATGAGTGATAGTTGTGATGGTTAACCAAAGTGTTACGAGTATAACTGTAAAGTCACTAAACTAAACTATGTTCTCTTTGCCGCAGGATGAGATGGAAGCGTGGACGCCGGTGCTGACAAACATTGCGCTGCTGATCATTGCGAGTGCGCACTGTCTGCTGTGCATCATCAGTATCTACCACCTGTCGAAGCGGGTCTGTCCCTGCTTCCGACCCAAGCAAGCCTTCGAGCACAACCAGTTCGACCCTGCCTTCAAGCCAGTCCAGCAGTACGTTGTGACGGTGGACGAGGTGAAGAAGGCTCACGATGTGGAGCGCGTGCGCAACCACGAGCTCTGCAAGGAGTTGGAGGTGAAGCTGCAGGGAGACAGCAACAAGAAGAAGGTGGGTGTCGTGTCGAGAGGTAGGTCTTGGCGCAGATGACATATTGATGTCATTTGTAATACACATTCAATTAACGAGCCGAGGGAGTAGTTAGCTTGTTTAGATTGAAATCAAAACCATATATTTATATATTAAAAAATCTTTAGGAGGAGCCGGAGTACGGTAGCGCCAACAGCAAGGAGAAGCTGGTGACGCGGTGGCTGGGACGACAGCAGGCGCCAGCGGCGGTGCTGGGGGCGCCGGCGGCGGCTGTGGCGGCCGCGCGGCGTCGCGGCGTGCGCAAGCAGAGGAAGCCGCCGCCACTGGTGCTGCTGCCCGCCCACCCTGCCAGCACGGTCAGTCACCTTATAGTTTTGAATATAATGTTCGCTTGCAATCATTACTCCGTGTTTAAGGAATCAATGTGTATTTAGATCCGTCTCTTTGTTGAGCAAAATCAACATCATGCAACAATCATGTTCAACGATTTCCGAAATATTCTAAAGATTTTTATTTCTAGGTTAGTGTTTGGCTATTAAAAGCAGATTACGTTTCTTCACGATAAATCCTGCCTATCTCCTTCTGGAATAATAGATATAACGTGGCAATACTTAGCAACTCCGCTGCAGGTAGCACAACCACGAATTTATGATAGCAGAATAAAAATAAAACTAAGTATCGTCGGCACTAAAACATCGTAGATTGTACATATTTCATGTCGCATTACTTGCTACTAGCTACTTAAACAATTTGCAACATTTACTTAAACATTGAACAAAATTACTTTTCCGGATCACTTCTTGACTTATTGCCGATAGCTAAACGCGGAGCTGTGAAAGATCTTGCAATATTACCGAGGCGTCCGAGCCATTCCGTTTTATCATCCGAAGACGTGTACATATTAAAATATTTTTACCAATTTAAGAACTCATCATCATCACTCATCTATTGCCAAATACCAGCAGAATTCTTATTTTTATTAAATATTTCTAGAAACAAAAATACATATTCGTGACCTATTTATGAAAGTTTCAGATGAATGAAATATACATATATCTACATACTTGATGATATTTGTGTGTAAGTAGACACACTGATTTATACAAATGAGCAGTTCGTGGTTATTTTTAATTCAGAACCGTTTAGTATCTGTTTAATGCGTGTAGTGTAGCGTTGCTGAAATGATACCAGTTTTTACAATAATTGCGTTCATAAATTAAATACACATCTATGTTATGCAATATTTTTAGGAAATATTTTAACACTTATATTGTAGTAGTATTTGCTGTTGTAAACGAAACTGAAAACATCCGATACTTGCGATTTTTGATTTGCGCAACAGTTAATATTGACTTTTATAGCCTTTTTAGTTCACTACTTCCGGTGAATTAAAATTACCCAACAAATAATTAATTGCTTTATAACACAACCTTTAACAATTTTCTTCGATTTCCACGTTCTGCTACACGCTCATGTAGCAAAGTGGCTACGAGCAAACCACCCATATAAAAGACATCAACGCGTTGTAATTCTAGGAACACGTTAGCTGTTTCTGTTATTGTATTTCTTTCATTCATATTTAAAAAGAACAAATTAAATGAAAGCCAAATTTGTTAAAATTTTTGGTGATTTAATACAAAAAGAAATGCGTATGTGCTAAATGGTTTAGGCAAATACTATTAAAAACTATCATTTGACAAAATAACAAATTTAATGTCTACTATATTTCGTTCAGATATCAATTAAGAACTTGTCCTGCATAATTGAACCTACATTTAGTACGACCGCGTCCGTTCGATAGGGCAGTGAGGTTACATTGGTCAACAACCGTCACGAAGGGTGACGTAACGTGAAGATGTGCGCACACGCAGACACATGCTGTGTTGTTATTGCAAATGACTGAACATCGTGAGGTTAAAGTATAATCTTCAAAACACAAACATCACCTTTATTAATATACTACATTCAATAAAATACACTATCATAAGAACCTTGAAATATAAAGTCTTAATTAGGCGCCTAAATTATCTTAAATTATACGTCGCAAACTTTGAACACTCGCAATAATTATTGTTATTTTATTACAATCAATAATGTACTTATACGACAATCATGTCACGCTTATTTTTTTCTTATATTTTTATTTATATTTAAGTATGAATTAAACAGGTACGTGACCAGATTTTTAATTACCGAAATCAAGATATGAATACATCAGCCCAGACTCGAACCTGTTCCTACATGGTCCTGTAAGTCACAAAAACTAATGATTAGTTATAAAAACTTGCCACACGTCAGGCTACGAGTGTTTTCCGCGTTGCGCGTGCGCAGGTCCTTCCTGAATTGATTGATTCGCTGACATGCCCCAACTTACGTTTAATAGTTTTTGTACATAAATGCGTCGCCTTATAAGGAAGCCGCTATTTTGAGATATCAAAAAATAGCGGCTTCCGGTTTAATGTTTACTAAAACTGCAAACTACGATGTGACTACATGAGCAACTTAAAAAAATCTTAAAAAATCCAACAAAAACAATATTTAATTCACAAAAATTAACTTGGTTCGGATTATCAGTTACATTTCTTTCTTCATTCTGAGTTACATTCAGAATAATTATCATTCATTAAAAAATATAACTCCATGGTTTTAATATTACTACATTACACATGCAAATCTCTAGACTACCTTTATCTGATCTTGATCTGCTCAGCGGTTTACGCTACGTTTGCACATTTTATTGTAAAAGTTTAGCGAATATCTTGTATAAAATTAACATAATCTGCAGTTCGTTTCTCTTTTCACTAGATATCACTTTTTGTTGTTTTCTCTGTGAAACGGTAATTTTGGCAAAAACATAAAGAAACAAGAACAAACGGACGCAAATATTTAGCTCGGTTGTACGGCATGCGCAGGCGCACCGGTTAGTAACAGATTTACTTAAGTTCCACATCAAACAATGACACCGAAAATGTCCGGCGATTACCGTAATTTGTCACACTGACACTACTCAAGTGACGAATCGTATTTGGACATAATTGTTTGGTCCCAAATATGGAACGAGCGTTAAAAAGTTATAAGAACATCAAATAGGGTTTTTAACTTTCTGTAGAAGGTTTAAAGAAGATGAAGAAATGTTTATCTGCCAAAACATGCGTTTATATACAAATTGAGCATTGAGTAGTAATATCTTTTAAAATCTGTAGGTCCGTACATTTTGTAATCAAATGAGGCATATTAGTACCAATATTAGTTACTTTTTCAGTGTTGTAATACATTTGTAACTGGATTACACATATGAGAGCGCCATCGTGTCATCAATGTGCATTTACATAATTACACAAAAAACAAAATATTTTACTCTAGCAAATGCGTCCTCCTTGCCTTTGCGTATAAAATGATTTGTACGCGAAATATAATCTGCAACTCGTTTCTCTATACTGCCAAACATTAACTTGTAGTTGATTCTAAAATTAAACTTCTGTTCATGGCCGAAAAAATATTGATTTGCCCTTGAGTGTACCGTGCAGTGCTGTCTCAAATAACATTTTTGAACAAACAGTGATTAATCTCATTGATCAGTCATTTTAAAACATAAAGACCAAGTTGTAACCGTGCGTTAAAGTAATATTATCACGACTGTAGCAGCTAAAGATAGTATCTAGTTCACGCTATTCATGGTTACAGACTACAAAGCAATAACTTGAGAAGACGACACAAAAAGAGATATGTAATTAATTCGCGCCACTCTCGGCCGCTGCGCTGCGCGTACGCACAATAACTGCTCACTTTCGTCAACTGGCCATTGAATGACGTTAGGGTTGTCACTGGGAAAAAGTTGAGATTTTGTTTATACAAAGTCACTCAGTAACACAAACACTATCGCAAGTTCATTGAAATACGTTCAGATAATGATATTGATTCTAGGAAACATTTTATCACAGTCTTTTTTTAATTAAAATAAAGTAACACCATTAAAGAAGGTGTACGGTTTACAGGCTGTGGTAATTAGGAAAAAAATCCAGTTTATTTGAAAATACGTAGCTCCTCGAGGCAGTGGTCAGCACACCGACGTCGATGGCATCACAGAGCAGCACGCAGCAGCAGCACGGCTGTTACAAATAGAGGAGAGGCGAGCAGCTCGGGTTGCTCTTTCAGTCTCACCGAGACAGGTCACCGCGTCGAGCCAGTCAGTTCACTTAAAGGCCTATTATATTATTGTCTCTGAATTATTAACCACGCGAAAATGGTTCCGATATTGCCGTTCATCGGGTAGTGGTCAGTACCACCACCCGCCGAAGAATTCGCGTGTGTGTATGAGAGCGGAACGATAACAAAAAGCGCGCCGCTATGCGCCCGCGCAGCCGGCCGCGGCCGCCGGAACACCGCACGAGCCTTAATTACTGGCTTCATTGATTGTAACCGATCACCGCATTACTACGAGCAGTGCTGACGCCTGGACATCAGCTTCTTGTGTTCTTTCATACACATCTCAAAAACTAAAAGCGTGTTATCTGTCGACAATACATTGGCCGTTAGACCGAGCTAGATATATCTGTTCAGTCATTTATTTCTAAACTGCTAAAAGTTTTCTGTTTAATAGATTTAGTTTACTAGAGCGCTTCTTTTGTAATGGTTGATCAAACGAACAAATTGAACGATAGAGCAAAAAGTACTTCCAGCAGTGAGACAGCAATCAGTTATCACCATTATCATAAACTATTGCTAAGGCTCTGGTTGTGAATAACAACGTATTCCTGTCCGTGACAGACTCGTTACTGAGTTATCGATACTGCAGCTCATACATTGCCTCACTTCATTTAATATGCAATCAGACAACTGGCACGAATTCTTCTAATTACTAACCTCGATCATGATTTATCGATTGATTCCGATTAATAATTAACTTAATCAATCACACATCAAATGTATTTCGACATTTCCACAACTTGTATCCGACAGATTGAGAATCAATTTGAATATAAATTAGCAGAAACATTCGCGAGGCTGGCAACACACTTTTGAAATATTATTTTGTGCTAAATGTCAGGCTAAGGCGTGTGGTATCTGCGGAAATATTTTAGCACAATTATGTGAATGGAAGTCGAACCTGCTCCACTATATGTGGGTCATATGTCACTTGTATTGGCTACACTAGGTTTGGTTGAGTGTGACTTGAAAATAGTTTGATCTCCCGCTGGTGCAGGTAATGAAGTACTAAAGTGTGAACAATATTGTCAAGTGGAATAGTGGACGTGTGACTGTTCTCATGAGCATGATACAGCATTAGCTCCAAGTAAGTGGCATCCTTGTGCCACATACCGGCCGTTACCCGCGGCTCGCGAGGTGTGGCGCGCCCGCCTCAGTCACTCCGCCAACTTATCTCACCTGCCCAGTATCAATCCTCGGAGAATGGATAATACCGAGTCATTGGTCCTACTGAATTAACTATAGACTCTATAAACATTTGTTGTAACTAAACCATGCGTTTTTGAAGCGCAATATAGTCAGTACGTCAGTGAAGCTAAATGCTCATTCCAAAGCGTAGATTAGAATGGAGAAGAACGAGCAAGGAACTACATAGTATGTAGTAGGGACAGTACATCTGTCTTTATGGAATGCTTTAGCGTCTTACAACTTAACGTATCACTATATACCTACTGCAGAAAGATGTCTCACGTTCTTAATGTTTATCTTCAACTGCATTCTCGTAAAGTAACGTGATTTTGCAGTAAACAAGACAGACTCAGGCAAATCTCTGTGAACGGCTTCTCGAAGTTTGTCCATCCTTGTGCCACATTCCGTTGCACGCTGGGCGCGGTCGTAGAACAAGTCGACGAGTGCCAAATTCTGCCCAGCTCAGTTTATTGTACACTCAGTGCTAATGTTTTTTAGGATACTTCTGTTACTTACAACTGTGCGATTTTTGCGAAATTTTCTGCCTCGCATAGCAAAACTTTGGAATTATCTTTCGGCGGCGGTATTTCTGAACCGACACGATGTTCAAACCTTCAACGTGCGTACACAGTGTGAATCCTCTGGTGTTGCGGGTGTCCACGGGATTTGATCACTTAACATTAGGTAATACGTGTGCTCATATGCCTCCTATTCTTTAATAAAACTTCTGTGGTTATAATTAGCTGCTTGCTGTAGCTACCATCCGAGATATTTATACACTTAGCTAGTGCGTGAGCATACCTTTTTATATTTTCCAATTATTTAGCCGTGAGCTACTTCTTTTAGTAAAAGGTGATCATATTGCTTTTGTTTTTGTATGTTGGTTATTACAGTTGGCTCGTCGTATTCCCATATATCAATGGGTTGCCATATTTAAGCGTACGGTGTTCGGAGCGCCATCTCGTAGGTACGTCATTGGAATGCCAGCGCTCGCTGTTCGCACAATTAAAACAATAATTATAATCGCATCCGCTGCTTCTAACTAGAGCGCAGTGCGTGAGCGCACTCTTTGACAATTATTTAGATATAACCGCAAATAAAACTAAACCATATCAACACTCATTTAGAGCATACTTCCAGTTGTCATCATCATTTGGATCAGTATCTTGACATCGATCGAGAATATACTCTGTGCGCCTTGCAATATAGTTTATATTTATATTATGGTGCATTTATTTACGAGCTGCGTACCCGTTGTCATGGTAACTGGAGCGAAGATGCTGAATTTATGAAGTTAAGAGATTTGTACGCTACAGAGGTTGGTTTAATGTGGCGCAGAGTACCCGCTGCGCGTTTCATTCAGCTGATTATATCAAACCACAGTATGTCACAAAATAGACACGAACAACACAAAATGAACGAACACAACGAAATTTAACACATGAAAGTACCTGGTACCTGTGTACGCTTTATGCTCAGTCGTAAAGATGCACTTCCTCCCGCGGTGGTCGAGCTAATTGCAGATAATAATGTATCGACAAGAAGTGCCATCCACCGCGAGTGCTAATGCTGACCTATACATACAAACGTACCCATAACAAACATACAGCCAGTAGCTTAGATTCCTCATATTAACACGATAATCGCATGTTTCCTCTGCGCGTGCAATTAGCGACCATATCAAAGGAGCCGACGACTGTGAGAGAGAGACAGAGCTACACTGGAGATAGAGAGGCTGTATAAATGTTTTGTTGTGCAGCCGCGGTTTGTTCAGAACGTGTTCGGTTCGTGTATTAAATGGTTACATTTCCGCGACTTGTGGGAAGGATTTTATTTCATTTCACCGATCGATGGAGTGTTTTATGGCAGACACGGGCCTTGGATGGGAGTCCGTGACTGTAGATAATCGTTGTGAAATTATTGTTGGAGCTTTTAGAAATAAACGGTTTGCTACTAAGGATATTAAATTATGATATACTGCTTAGCTGTACTAGTCGTGGTCAGTCGTGATGCATCCTGCTTTACGTCTCCCAGAGATGATATTTATACAGATCCAACACAATAAATAACCCTAATAACATAATCCTAGCTCGGTAGCCCCCCTCAACGTATCACGGCATTGGATTTCCATAGGCTGCACTGGCTATGCACTCTCCCGCGGCCCCGCCTGTCAATCTCAGGAACATTGAGACGGAGACAGACATACAGCATAAATGCATACCGAGCAGTTATTATATGTAAACAGAAGGGCTTTGCTTTCACCCGACATTTGCAATTGTAATGGAAACATCTTAATTTCGCAGCCTGGGAGGTAAGAATGCTTTCTACATTGCACGGCGCCCTGTTTTGGTACACAATGGCTGCAGGGCTGATGTCCGCACGCCACGCTGCTTGCTGACAATGATGCATTACTAGTTTCAATGACATGATCAAGTATCTATTGGCCAAATGTATGTGATAAAGTTGCGTAGTATTTGTGCGTTGTGTTTCGCTGTGTGAATGAGGTTACCGGAGGCCCAATCTTTCCTTAACCACTCATCCTGAAATCCCCAACAATCCACAAAATACCGGCAAAACTCATTTAGGATTGTGGGTGTCGATTGCTTACCACTACGTTATCCGTCTGCTAGTTTTCTGACCTTTCTCATAAAAAAAGTTACGGCAGTACCTAGTTACCTACTTAAGACTTACTACTTAAAGTAATGTAAACAAAAAAAAAGTATTTAGTGTGGTAAGGAATTATGGTACCTATAGACTATAGAGTATAATGTAAGAGTACAACAACGTGTAACATTAGTATTGACTTCGAAGTGTCATGAGACTATTTTCCCAGTGCAGCGGTAGATTGCAACGACTTCTTTACCCGACAACTAATGATTTTTACTGACGTTTCCTCCTCGTCACCTAGTTTACAGTAGTGAACACAGTACAAACAGTCTCAATTAGTAGATAACATTGATAGCAAATTTTCAATGTTAATATTCTTTATGAAAATATTTGATATAGACTTCCTTTACAAACTTTTTTTCACTCAAAACAAATATATTAATTTTATTTATCATAAAATGTTGGCATTTAAAATGCATGAACTTGTCGTGATATTGCAGCATTAAAATATTTATAATACCTCACTATACATACTAACAAATAATGAGAAATTCTAATCGCGTATCGTAAGATTTTTTAATAGGCTATAGTTTTTAGGAATTCTCTAATAAATTCTCTAATAAGTATAGGTATATGTATGTAACCAAATACGTATCGGTGGACTTCATTGATGATTTGGTCATCACACACCAAATCATTTGATCATTTTCCCCTCACAAAAAAAGTAATCGTGAAGTGTTCGTTTGGAATCCCTTTTCACATTTAATACGTTTAGTTCCGATTGGATTGCAGCACATAGCCTATTTCTGCGAAATAATGGAAAAAAGTGGTTGTAGTAAGGCGCGGGCCGGTGCAGGCCGGTAGAAACGCAGCGATTACACCACTTTCACCGGATCGCGGGAGAAACCACACAATTACACACGCTGGGCAGCGGGCAGCCGCCGCTCGTGTGTGACCCGCCAAGTCGCCGGTAAGGGCAACTGTTGCCACATGGAAGCTGGTGCATCACGGCCTGGCTGGCTTCGATACATCCAAAACTTCACACAAAGATGAATAGTCTAATTCACCTATCGCAAAACTACAGATTTTGGATCTTGGAGTTGCAGTGAACTACTCTTAAAACAAAGGAGTATCAGTAGATCACAATACCGTGTGATAGCTGAACATGGAACCAGTACAGCTCATCGATCACGAAGCTTTGTGTCATAACAAGCGTTACGTCAGACGGCAGAGTCAATCGGTCAGCAGTAAGGCACTGACTGACTGACTGATGGAGGCAGTCGGTGCGGACATTTACACGCCGATGCACAGACCGGATGTTTACGTGATTATGTAAATGTGGGTTGAGTATGTAGTTGTAGCTGGGTGCAATTTTTGAGGAAGTTCAATAAGAGACCTGAATTTACATCGTTACGTGTTTAAAGACGAATTCATTCCACAAAATCAATTATTAAAGAATATACTTGACGGTCGGTGCAATAGCTGGATAACTGGCTGCCGTGCAACGTGTCGCAGGTTTCGATTCCCATACGGATGTATTTTGTACGATACACACATTGTTGTTCTGAGTTTCGGTGTGATGTACATAATGTAACATACAAACATAAAATTGTTGGACAACGATTTCAAAAATGAATAGAAAATAATATTGTTTATTTAATGACCAAATTCAATACCCAAATAACAGAAAACTATTGATAAAGAACAATAATAAATACTAGCACACACCACACTACTCTGAAAGCCCACAGCACATTGCGGCAACATTGCCTAGAGGCTAATTATCAATCCAATCTAACAGCTAGACACAAAAAGTATAAAAGCTTTGTAATAATAAGAAATGCACAATAAATAAATAACTGATAGAGAGACAGGCGCGAGGACCTACTGTGTGTTTGGTTACGCAAGGTGCGGCGTTGGATCGCATGGACAGAGTTCGGGGCGTTGTAAGTCGCCCGCGGCGTGTAGCCTCTACATGTATCAGTTGGAGTGCTCGTGCTGACTCATCGTGCTCGAAGCATTTCTCCTCATCACGTTACGTATGGTCCTCGATCCAAGTACCGCAGGTTCCTCTTTCATAACGTCAGCTTTCACGACCTTTGCGTTCAATTAATTCCTCTTCACAGCACTTTCACAGTTGTAGTTTATTAGCAAATCATTTACTTGTCTATTATTGTATTTGATGTGGTTGTTGTGAAATCATTTAAACTCTTCCGTAGTAATAAATCAATATTCACTAAACCTGTTCTTTACACCTGTGTCATACAAAATAAAAGAAAATATAAATATCATTGTTCATGTTGGTACTTGGTAACTGCGCGCGTATATATGTAATTAGAATTACTCGAACAACTTTCCACGCTCCGTTAATTCCATCTCAATATGAAACAACATAAAAATAGAAGAGTGCAAATCATTATGAAGTATTGTTATCGTAATTAAAATCGTGTCTGCATTTCTAAGTTAATTGAAGCACATTACGACACGCGCTGTGTAAACATTCGCTCGTAAACTCTTCAGCGGCAGGTTTGCGACACGTGCATTATGAAAATTCAGCGTCGCGCAATAAAACAGCAATATGTACCGACGCTGTTGTAGGCTTTACTGCTTGACCGCTACTGCTGTGAAATGCGCGAGACTTCCGTTAAAACAGTACGCAGTAACTATGTAAGTTAGTGTTTACTAGGAAGAGCTTGACAGAATACAACACTGTAAACAGATGAGACACTCAGGCTACCCACAGCTCAGGAGGTGTTCGTGCAGTAGTCCAATCAGTGTGGGTTCGTGCACTGCGACAACAAATCAAAACAACAATAGAGGGCGACGGCTGGGAAACTCCCCGACGGCGGGACATCATCAATGATTGTCATCTTAATTGCACTAGGTACTCGAGGATGACGCTCCCGTCTCACACCATTTCCGCCTACTTTTATAGCGAGATGTTACACATTAGTGTTCTATCAAGATGTTTTGACTGTGACAGTAACTTTAACAGCCAAACCGCTGACTACTTCAAGAGCAGATATAACGCCTTGTCATTACTAAGTTATATGTTTAAACATTAAAGTGTTTCCAAATGTACGTCTAGCGTCTAGCAGTAAACGTATTGAGGTGTCGCTGTAAAGTCTACTCACGTCTGCAATGTAATGTAAGGTGCAGTTTTGGAACAAATTCTTTGGCACCGAGATCTAATTGCCTCACTGCGAAACAAGAGCCAACAACACGAGCGAAATTGACATTCTCCACGATTTTCATTATTTCACTTGTTAAGCTATCAATGAAATCGAGTATTTTGAATTCCTTATAATAATTTTTATTATAACTTTCTTGAGACATTCTAAATTATTTATTATGTTTTCGGCTTACTCACGTAATAATTTGACGAGATACTCGACTAGTTTCAAGCCATGCGCGACTCGACGACGACTGTCGCGGAATGCTGCTCATGAATATGGGCCTCTAGCATGGCTTGAAACTAGTCGAGTATCTCGTCAAATTATTACGTGAGTAAGCCGAAAACATAATAAATAATTCCTTATAATAATAATAATTTATCTTCAAATTGTCTGAAGTAGTGTCTGTCTGTTGTGAGAAGCTAGCTATAACCGAGAATCCCCATAGCAGTGCGTCAGTCGCGCAATCCCCGCAAGTATCCCAGCATCCTCCCACAAACAGATCATTTATGCACTTTTTCTCTTCCATTCATCGATATTGGCAAAACCTGTGCACAAAGGGACATATGTGGCCATCATTGTGTCGCTAATTGTGACTAATTGCTGCACAATGGGGATATAAAAACATGGTGTGCGTCCACTCCGCTCGTATGTGAAGGCCTCAAGGTCTATAACCCTTGAAAGGTATGACACACTTAGCTCACTCAATAGTTTTTCAATACATAAGGAGTTAAGGACATGTCCGTTCACTGCACTAATCTGTCCGTTTCCTTTCTGGTTTAGAAAATGACAGAAAACCGTTGCAGTATTCCTATTTGGAGTCTGACTAAATACCTAATGGTTTATATTAATTGATTGTCGTTGAATTCTTTGGCCGTTACGGTCATCTTGAGGTTTTATTGAGGTTTATGACACAGCTATTGTCCACGCTGACTGACTTTAGTTTATGACATATTACCAAATTTCCCATGTATGTACAATGTAATCACGCAGCTAACTGTCCGTGACCAATGCGGTCATCCTCGCGATCTCGCGTAACCTATGTATGTCGATAAGCCTCTCGAATCCCACAGTGAGTGGCTTACATAAACAGTATTTATTGTTTTAGTGACCGTTCATTTTTCCGGCAAATCACCGCCACGGCCCCGCAACTAAACTTATTAATTTTGCGTAACCACTAATTATTATCAAACACGGAACGATGCCCGCCATTTTGGTAGTTTTGACATAACCATGATACAGCCATCACTATAATTTTGACATAACGCTCGGTAGGTACCTATATTCAATTTGAACAATAAAATGTTTTATTGTATTGTTGTAAATGTTAGATTGTGATAATATTGTGTGTTTGGTCTAGTTCACGTTAGTTTTGTCATCAAGTCAATGTTTGAATGTTGATTGTTATCTACCAGCTATTACTAAATCAGAGATCTCAATCTAGTGCTCACATTTCTTGGAGAGTGGCTGCACCCTATGCGCTGCCCTGTGGAGAGACGCCTGGTATCGGCGATGGTGTAGGCAGCAGACCGGTATTGAGTTCTCGGAAGTGCGGTCATTCGGTTCGGGAAAGCGATACGTGTTCATATGAAAGTCTCGGCACACAAGAAAACGTACGAAGCTCTAATGATTACTGGACAGCGCTAGGAAATAACTAACTAACTACTAAACTTTAATTGGCTAGCATTTAACCAAGTATTCTGTAGATCTCTGCTATGGATGTTATTTTAATAGCTTACTATATGCAGTTATGATAATTTAATTTATGAAAACCCTTTTTGAAACAGTCTCTATCTCAAACCAGCCTCCTTAAAAATCTGGATGAAAATAAAGAAAACCACTAGAAACTAAATGAAATCAGGTCGCATTTCTAGAGCTGAGTTAAGTGAGGTGCATATTACCTGGAACAGTGTTGTTGTGATGCGAGTAACGAGGTTGCGCACGCGCAGGTGTGAGGGCGCGGGGTGCGTTAGCGCAGCACGTCACTAGCTACCCGGCAGCTTTCAGTTTCTATAGCGAGAGTGTACCTGCAGCTGAGCAGGAGCCATCACACTGCATGGGGCACACAGTAGCTCACTGGGCTGGGCGGGCTCTAAACATAAGCATATTGTTATTATATCACCATGTCTTTTATTTACTAGACTAGACTAGATAATACTTTGTCACTCCAAAATTGATCCTGCAACTGCATATGCTAAGAAACGTTGTAAAAGCAACTAGGTGCATAATATGCAACTTGGATTTGTTAGTTTATTAGTTTCCAAGTAGTTGCTTACTCAAAACATATCGAGAAAGTTGTGTTATAACGAATAATAAAACGTTTTAAACAATAATTAAGTATAACTACCGCCTGTTATTTCCTACAATTGTATTTTATTTATTGAGGTGTGAATGTATTTGCAAGTTAAGTAATGGTGCATCAGAAATTAATCGAGTAACTAACCAAATGTTTATTATTTGTTACAGGTAAGTCGACATAACTGATGAAAGCAGCTTAGATGTATTCAGTAAGTAATTGCAGTTATTGAAGACAATGAATAAAAAATCGGCTCTACTAAGTAGGCAGGCGTTAATGTATTTTCATGTAATTAATGTGGCATTACAAACAGTAGGGCAACCCGCAGGAAAAGTACAATTACGTCCTAAAAACAGTGCGGTTTGTGTCGGTGTGCGTTGAGCAAGAGTTGCGCATGCGTTGATAAAAAACCGCAGGGAACCGCACCACTACTGCAACATGAAGTCCCACAGTGCGCACAGTGCGCACGCGCCGCCAGTTTCGACATTTCCTAGAAATACGTGTTTTGTAGAGAGCTGGCGAAACATTTGATTAGTTCTCTGAATAGCTCCGCGTTCTTGGATAATTAGGGAAGAACATAATTCAGTTCATACAACGAACATTCGAGAGTAATAAAGCAAGATGGTAAAACATCACCATTATTAGCCTGAACACATCCAGAGCTGGATAAAACTCACACTCAGTACGTTTGTTGCTGGATGACTTGGATATTACAGAAATTTAAAGGATGTTCTTGCCCGTCCCATAGGCGTCAAATTTTATTTCTCGTCGTCTATCGAAGTAATCGCTCGAAAATCGTATATGCCAACTTTTATTGAATGGCATACATCTCGCACTAGTTATGTGCGAGAAAGGTAAAAGATTTATCGAATTAAAAAAAAACAACTACATGCATATAGGTATTTATTTTTAGTCAAGGTCAAAATCGTACTTAGCCTTTGATTATTAATATGACATATTAATAATCAAAGTACTTAGCTTAAATATTCGTGGAATTTACAAACTGCTTTTTACTCCGAAATAGGCTGTATATTCAATCTTAATTTTGCGAATTACCACAAGTTCAACGTTATAGTTAGTTATAAATAGCTTCATCATTAACTGATTTACTTTTAAAAACTTGTTTACAGTCTGGGCAGACTCAAGCTAAAAATAGTAATATTAAATATTTGACCTAGTGAACTAAATAAGGTATTGAATTAACAACAATAACAACATTTTACATTGGTAAAAATCACAGAAAACCGGCGGGACAATGTGAACAGAGAGCCAAGACCAGAGACTTCAACTCCCACAATCTCTAAATCTCCGAAAAACGAATCTCCAAAAGGCACCGCACTCGTAAGTCATCTGGTGTTGTAGATGTCTATGGGCGGCGCCGATTGCTTACAATCAGGTGACCCGTACGCTCGTTTGCAGAACTACCATATAAAAAGACTTGCCCCCACTCCGCCACGTTAATGAAATTAAACATAATGTAATAAAACGTGATACCACAGCTACCTACAGCACCACTAACGGTATGAACACGATACACTAATGATAGATTTGCTATACAACTTATTTTCATTTCTTATTGCCGAAAATCTCAGCAGAAACTTCCAACCAAACAATTTTACACCTTAAGTACTTGGATGTAAAGTTGATATTGTGTAAAACTGATGGTACGGTATGGGAAGATCATTGCTATTTGATGGATTTTAACAAAATGTCAATGATTTGAATGGTATTATTAATATAACTGTAGTTGGTTCGTGTGTTAAATTTACAAGTTTTTTCGAATGAGGACATCTGATCGGTAGCAAGAGGCCTCCATGTGCCGTGCTGTATAGGCAGTAAAGGCTCAGCGATTCACTAGTTCTCTATGTAGCCACGCATCTGACCTGCGATATCCGCGTGCCAAATACATAAACATTGTGGTCCTCAATTTTAATTTAAAAGTTGACCACGAGCTAATCGAGTTTTCTAAACTTAAACGTTGCCAGTAACTTCAAATTTTAACAAAATAGACGATCAATGGTTATTTTCGATTCATTGTAAAGTTTTGCAGTAGACAATAGGGTTAATGACAATTGTCTTTGGCAAGAAACGTCATAAAATCAAACGTTCCATGCACATTTCTCCATCGCCATCAACAATAAGTGTTGGTTCTCGCGCGGGTACCTGCACAGCGCGGCGCACCGGTGCAGTTGCGAATACATACACATTACAAAACATTGAGTACACAGTCAATGACAAAAGAGTCCTCGGCGAACAATCGCACTCTGACCGTTATTGCAGATGGCTTATGAAGTTATGATCTTTGATTGCGCAAGAGTTGCCGGTGCGGGTGCGCCTGCGCACTGCGGTATGCACCTGACGCGATACTTTTTGCGCGTAACTGCATTTATCTTTATTTATGTTTATGAGTTTGCATTTTGTGATTTATGTAATCCGATTGTTGTTATGCTGCCATTTTTAATCATATTTTGATGCTTACTCTAAATATTTGACAGAACTTAAAAATATGATATTGGGTACAAATTTGACGATTCTGCTAAACTGGTATGAGACACACACTGGTATTTATGCGTAAAACGAATTATGGCCAAACACGTCACCGCTATTTCTGCTGACCCCAACTTTCGTTTGCACAAAATTCAATGTGAAACTAATCTCAGGCGCCTGATCGATGTCGTTTAAAAGGTTAACTGCGCGGCTCAAAATCGCGACTACGGCTTTCGAAACTTACAAATGTTATTCCGAAGTTCAAACAAACATTCACGCGCGTAGGTGGGTAGATACATTTCAGCCATAAACAGGATTTATAGGTAAGTCTTAAACAAATATAATTAGAGGGAAACTAGATACTTATACGTTTTGTAAATAATACATAGGAATACTTATATAACTAAGTTATCCTATCCTACTATAATATAAGAAACGTGAAGGTTTCGATAATATATGGATGTATGTTTTTTATTATTTTACGCAAAAACGGCTAGACCGATTTGTTTGAAATTTCGTATGAAGATGCTGGAGGCTGGATCATGGCCTATATGTTATATATACTAGTTTTTATCAACGTACTACGCGGGTGACGCCGTGCGCAAAAACTAGTACTTAATAAATAACGACGAACATTCAAACGTATTTGTCCAATGTTCGATAGGCCTTCTTCCTTACTTCACCTACCACAAAATTTCTTTCGGCTCCCATCACAGGCGAGTTCGTGTGTGGTGTAAGTGGCTCAGTAGGTACTGGATGAGTGTATGGCAGGATTGTTACTGGTTAGTGGTTACATACCGACTCGTATTATATTGTTAAAGTAAAACAAAACGTTCCGTGCGCTGTGTTTGTGAAACATTTGCTGAACCAGTCACGATCCCCAGTAATTAAGGTAACACAAGCTTTTATATATTTCATTTTTTCACTTTTTGTTGTATATGCGCTTATTCTGTATCTTCGATTTTTATCTTTCAGTACAAATATATTCCTTCGTCTTATAGATTAATTAACTCTATAGGGAAATCATAAATAAAAAAATTCTAAGACTTAAAGGTACTATTTCATTTTTGACATTTTTGTCGAAAATCCGTTTGAAATGAACGAATGAGCTAAATGGACCTCCCCAGTTTCTATACAATTATGTCTTTAGCATAAGTTAACTCTTCAATAAATAAACACCAGAAACTTGTACTGCCTCCTTAACCTCGGCTTCGACACGATTTTCGCATTCACATTTTGTCGAATATTTTTTTGCTATGTGTGTCGTGTATCGTCCGTCCATAATCATTGTGTTCCTAACAAACATGAATAATTACATTTAAAAAACATTAGAGTACATTCATTGACTGATAAAAGAAACAAATAGCGATAAAATATAATAGACCTTATCCGATTTTAATCGTAGTCTAAGAAAATATTTTCTTAAGCAAACTAAAAAAAAGGAAGGATCAATATTGTATAGCGTTTACGTCATTATCTTTATGGCAGTTGACATCTGTAAAGAGTTGTAAGTACTTAACTACAAATGAGTGTGTAAACAAGTGCTTTACTATAGGTCTGTACTCAGTACCTACGTGTCCAATCTAGGCTCAGCTCGCGGCGCGGCGGTGCTCGGAGGGCCGTCCCTTTCACCGGCACTCCGCACACGCCTGCTACATTCTGGAACAGTGCACTGCCACAACTCCCATACACCACAACCTCGTAAACAGTTGGCAGGAAAGCTTACATATAGAGGTTCTAATAAAAAACTCGGCCCACGCAATTTACCACTCAAAAACAAGAAACAATATAACAATACTTACTTATTATATTTATGACAGAAAAGGGCAATTGTTATTAAAATTAATATTATTTTATTTTTATCCTTATTAAAAA